CAATTCCTGCAAGTCATTACTGTTTGCGAACTAAAGAAGATATTTAGAAATGATTAATTTATTTTTAATCGCTTCTTTTCTCTTTTGTATTACGCAGTTCCTCCATCAGTCAAAGCCGTTAATCAATTAGTCGCAGCTCCAGTTGAAAGTCATGTTTCGTTTGCATGTATTGTCGAAGCATTTCCGAAGCCTCTCAATACATGGTTCAGTCGTGAAGGTGAGCAACAATTTTCATCCTTAAACTCTCATTTATCTTCAATAACATCAATTTCATGTTCCTGAATATCGCCTGGGAGTTTTTTTCTTGACTTTTTTCAATTTTCCAAAATGACTTGGTGCTTTTTTTTCTTTCTCTTTCCATGTTTGTGCTTCATCTAATTCAATTTTCACCATTCATTGTTATTCTCGTTGTTACATGCTGATGCTATTCTGATATATCTCGTACAACTTTCATGCCATTTGTCACGATGTTTATATTTAAAATGAAATGTTACTTAATGTTTCTGCTGCATGCGGAATGCGGTAACAGACTCAAAATTATATCATGGTGAAAAGTATCACATAATTGAGTCAATGATTAATTCGTTTACATGGCAAATGAATATAACAGTGAGGAATCTACAGAAAAGTGACTTTGGACAATACGTATGTTCAAGTGAGAATGCTCTCGGTAAATCTGATGCACCGATACGATTGCAAGGTAAGGAACAAAATGACAGGAAAATTAATTTTTCTCATTCCTACTTTCTCTCACTTCCAACACTCATTAATTTATGGCATTACAATTGTTTCTACTCTTTTCTATTTTAATGCAAAAACTTTTTACTTTTTATTGCTGCTTACTCCTGCTGTTCTCATTCATGATGCTCAAAATGCAGAACTTTTGTTACCAAAGAAACCAACAACAACACCAACTCCATATATTTTCACAACAGTAAAGCCACCGAGAAACAGGAATAAACAACAGCATAATCATCAACATAAGACACAGCATGATGGTAAAGGAACAAAGGATATAATTGGAGGACCAAATCAAATCCAAACGATTCGTGAAAATGAAGCAAATGCTGCGAGTGAAGGTAAACTTTTTTCTTATCACTTTTCGAGCATTTCCTTGATACTTTATAAATTATTATAATGCACAAGTCAGGCACAAGTAATCTTTAAAAATTTGTTAAAATAAGGAAGAAGCAAATTAAGAAAGTTGAAGTTTTTTTTTGCAAAACCGGCAAAACCAAAAATAAGGAAATTTTTGATAATCTAAGGAAATTCAAATAATTTCAACTTCCTCGTCTTCCCATTTTTGTGTTGAAAACTTACTTAAAACTTTTCCATGATAATTTAAATTAATTTATGAGATGAAAGCTACATTAAGTATGATCTACTTAAAGCATTAATGTTTATTATGGAAATGCGTGTTTGCAAAAGTTTAGAGACATGATTATGGTAATGATATTCTCATTACACAACATAATATAATTTTAATTATAAGTAAATAATGAAATCAAATCAAAAGCTGTGAGCAGCAACAGAATGAATTAAATGAACAATGATTGTCATGATGAAATAGCCAATTTAGAAGTTTAATTGAATTTCTCTCCATTTAGTTGACGATAGTATCATGTCATGAACTATAAATTGCATTAATTAAGTGACTCGTTAAGTATGACAGAAGATAGCTTTTGTTTGAATTGACTTCCTTTATATAAATTCATTCTTAGTGGGATGTTTACAATTTAAAACTTATTCATACTGAGTACTTAGTAGACAAATGAGCAGAACTATACATCTAATAAACATAAATTTTACAGCTTACACAAGTGACTATCAGTCTATTCTGTGCATTCCATAAATACAATAATGTTAAATGAGTAAAAAGGTAATTTAATGAGCGACAGACGAACAACATTGTTAAATTAGATATTGCTTCTACTGCCAGTACTACTGAAATTCATCCGGTGGATATCTTTAACATGATAATAATACAATGTGTCTTCTTGCTGTGTCACTATTTAATGAACTTTTCATGCTCATCTTTAAAACTATAACAAGAATGACGACAAATTCTTTTTACTCTATCTCATCGTCATTGCTGGATGTTCTATTAGTAAAGGGAAAAAAAAAGTTTTAGCGATACAAAAAAAAACTTTCGTTTCTATCTCCTTTGTTTCCTCTACAGCTTAATTGCTGTATTATGTTCTTTTTTTATGTACAGCCAACATTCTTATGAAAGAATTTAAAACTTTTTTTTTGCTAGTTTTCTCTCGAACATTGCAAGTGGAGCGTTTAATGCCATTTAGCTTTTCTACTCCGCTTTTTTATTGTTTCGAAGCACTAAAGCAGCAAAAAAGTATTAACAAAATGAATAGGAGAAGTTTTCTGTACTCTCAAAAAAGAGATTACAACTTGTTATAAAGTCTTATGCGAATTATTATTTCTGAATTGAGACGAAATGAATTTTACCTTATACTACCTTGTACAAATTAACTTGGTAGTAATGAATGTAGATTTGTTGAATTTATTAAAATTACTAGTTTTGCGGATTCGCTGTTGTGGCAAACTTATACTTGACATTTTAATAAATTTGTTGTTTCACCTTGGTTCATTAAAATGGACTTAACTTCATGGCAAACAGTTTTATTTGACACAAGCAAGACATTTCATTTTTAAAGACAATTCAACTTCATAAAATGAAGAAAGAATGACCAGACAGGTAAATTACATTCCAGATTACTATTAACAACAATCTGCTCATCAGAGTGCAGCAAATAACATTTCCAAGTATTTTCGTACATTAATTTATTTATCAAATCATTAAGACAAGCAATTCTAAATGCATAACATAAAAACCAGACAGCATATTGAGGAAAAATTATATATACTTTACTGTTGTGGGAATTTTCCCTTTTCATTCTTATCATAAAATTTTTCTCAGCAACATCTGCCTGAGCTTTAAAAGTGTTTATCGTTTTATGATTTTTAATAATCTTTCAACAGCATGTTCCTTAACCTCTCAGCTATTTTTCACTTACCATTTCCACTCAATTAATGAGTTTATGTTGTATTAATGATTCTTTTATTTATTTTAATTTAATTATTTCGCTGAATAAGAAAGCAAATTATCGAATTTTTTGCTTAAGGCGATGGGAATTTTTGAAATTGTCGACTAAATAATTTTTGTAAATCCAGCATTATCATTATTGAGATAATTAATTTTGTAAAAATATTTTCTCATTTTTTTTTGTTCTGATTGTGGATTAAATATCAAGAAAAAGCACAAGAGAATTCCATCAGAACTGTGCCTTAAGGGTCCAATCATATTGAATTGTTATGAAACAAACGAGCTACTAAATATTTGGGAGTGGAAATTTCTTCTTAATTTTGGATGTCCTGATTGAGGACGTGATTTTTCTATTTTCAGAAGCTTTCAGCTTGATTTGATTCCATTGTGTGGTGTCTTCCTTAATCTAATTTATGATATTTTTTGCCTCGACACATTCTCAATAGAAACTTTTGTCACCTTTTCATCATATGATGCCTTCATGTCTATCGACACTTACATTCAATTCTATTCATTCGAATGTGAATCAACTAATTTCATTTATTGACGACGAAAAATCACGCAAAAATCAGAAATAAGCTTGGGGGGAAATTCAATTTGTGGTGTCTTCATCAATGTCATCAGTAGCGATATAAATAATTCAGTTGCTTATTCGCAAATTTGATTCCACATAAACTTAATTTGAATGTGAATTTATTATTTGATTTGAAATCATAAAGAAGAAACTTCAATGAAGCGTGGTTTATAGAGCAAACTAAGCTTTCATGTGGATTAGTAAGTTATTTGTAGATTAATTAAATTTCTATTGAGTTTCAAATATCAATAAAATTTCAGTAAATTCTCTACATGACATTGAAAGTTCCAATGGAGTTTTTTATTGAAATTTTTTCATTTCTGCATTCCTTAATATCTGTAAAAGTATTCACAGTTCTAGTTTCATTTAAATAAAATACATATGAAGTGTCAAGCGAGAGGAAAAATGTGTGAAAAATTTCATATGGAAATTATTTTATGCTGATCTCAGTAGATATAAACGCATGTGAGCAAATGGTAATAGAAAGAGAAAAGGACAAAATGTTGTCAGTGGAAAAATGTTCACCATGACACATTGTAAGGGAAAGAAATGGAACAAACAAAATATTGGTTTGCATGCAAAAAGACAAAAGAATGTTTAAAGAGAAGCACAAGAGCAAATATATATTTTGTGTTGAGAGGATGGCGAAAATTTTCCATTCTATCTTTTTTGTTTGTTCCCAATATTTGACTTTTTGGCAACAATCTCTCATTCTATTGACTTTCAAAACTTTTTGTTGAATGGTTAAGAGTGGGAGAAAGGACAGAAATATAAAGCTATTAAGCAATGAAAGTTTTTTCATGAAAATAAAAACAAAAGTCAAAGTCATGAGGAGAATCAATTAATTTCTTTTTTTTCCTCTATTTTGTTTCCAATTTTCTTCTCCATTAACTTTTTGTCTTTAGCAATATTCTGTGGATGGTAATTTGATATATTTAGCTTGTCAGTTCTGTTATGATTTAAATATAGGTTGCAAATTATTTAAAACGTTCAAATTTACACTATTAAAGCTTAACTGCACGTTGAACTTTATTGTTTTGAAATCGATTTGTTCAATTCAGTGTTGCAAATGTAGATGTCTACACTAGATGAAGAATGTAGATTCTTCAATAGTTTTTGTCTAGCTAAGAAACTTTCTTCATAAAGATCGTTTCTATATGAAGGTAGAAAATCTAATCTACACAAAGATTATCTCTACATAAAGATTCTGTCTAGATAAAGATTCGATGTAGATGTCTACAATTCTACATTTTTTCCAAGTCTACATCAGAGAAGAATGTAGAATTGTAGACATCTACATCGAATCTTTATGTAGACAGATTCTTTATGTAGAAATAATCTTTGTGTAGATTAGATTTTCTTTCTTCATGTAGAATCGATCTTTATGAAGAAATTTCTGTCTCAGAATTTATCTGATCCAGACAAATAGCAAGAATGCAACACTGGTTCAATTTTTATCTTCAAAATTGTGTGTTTCAACACAGAATGTAAAGTTTATATTATTGTCTACTTAGTAAATGAACAATAATCATATTCTTTGTGATAACAGCTTTTACCATGCAAATTTCAGAATTTTGTTACATTTCATAATTTTACAAATTAAGGGAAAATTCAGCTTTAAATTTTGGTGTTTCAAAAGAGTCTAATCTCCCCAAAAATCTAATTCCGCATTGAAATACGTCAAATAGCACTCATAAATGACTCATCGTATCATTACCGTGTTATTTGTAAACAACAAAAAATCAAACTCTGAAGTGCTCTTCAAAAAACGTAAATGCTCTGAAAATACAACGAGATACACATGCATACCTATACAGTTAAATCATACAATCACATATAAATCATTATCAACTGAGCGTAGCAAAAAATAGAATCTCGATAAAATCGAAAAAAAAACTTATTCACATAACTTGTTGTCAGTTTCTCTTTGTGTATTAATCGAGTGACAACAAATATTGTCAAATAAAAAAGTCATCATGGGAAGTTGTTGGGAATTTCTTGAATTTTCTCAGAAGATGAAACCACAAGGAAATTCATTGGCAGGTGGAGTAATGTTGATGCTTGTTAGTGGTTTGCAAATCGGATGGATAATGGACAATCGAGTTGATAAATTGCCATGGACTGAAGGCCATTCAGATTTGCTAGTTAATTTAGCAGCTGTTGCATTTTATGCATCTGCCGTCGGTGGAGTTTATATTGCTGCAATGACCATAAATCGGTTGACCAAAACGAACATTTATGTAAGTAGGAAATGGCTGAATTTTTCTTTGTCAATTAATTGAATTTCTTATCAATTTTTTAGTTTACGTCACTCACGTTTGCGATCGTCGCTTCAGCCCTGCTTATCGTTCAGCCAAATAATTTCTACATCGTCTTACTCACGCGGATAATGATTGGATTCGCTCATGGATATTCTTATCTAACCATAATCATTCACGCTTCAGAAATAATGCACCAAAAATTACGAGGCATGATAATTGCCGCCTTACAAGTATGCATTCTTTCATCTATGATTGTGACAAGTTCTTTTGCTGCAACAATGATGGAAGAGTCTATGGAAGCATTTCAATATGTTGGAATTATTGGACTCATCTACTGTATCCTTGGGTTTATTTTCACTTTAATATTTACACGTGAGTCACCTGTCAAATTAATGAAAGAGAAGAAATTTGATGAAGCGATGAAAATAATGATTCAAGTACGAAATGAATCGAGTGAAACGTGGAGTATCCGTAATGAATACAATGAATTAAAGAAAATGGTTGAGGAGGATGACGAAACAACTAAAAATATCTTTGAGAATGGAAATACAAGACCGCTTGGATTAATTCTTTTGCTTAAAATTGCTTTTGTAATTTCATTTAATTATGGATTAAATTACATCAGATTAAAGTACACAAGCAGCTTCATCACGCAAGAAGGGCACAATTTATCTTCATTGACATTTTTGACTGTCAGAATTTTGGTTTTAATCTTCACAATGTTTTCAATTGAATTTAATGGAAGAAAAATTCATTTTCTTATTTCACATGCTGCAACTGCTGTTTTGTTGATTGCATTTGCAGTACTCGTGTTCGTCCAACCCTCAAATTTCACATTTGGTTATGAAACAATTCAATTTTTACTCGAAGTTGCTGGTGGAATCGGAATTGGAGTTGTATCAGATGTTTATTCCTCTGAAGCATTTAATACAGTCAAGAAAACACGATCCTTATGCTTTGTAACAGCTATAGAGTTTATACTGCATGGTGTCATAATTTTCACTACTTATAAAGTTGAAGCATCCTCAACATTTGATGGAATTTATGTTATGGCATCTGGAGTTGTAGTATTGGCAATTACTTATCTTCTTTACAAAACATTGCCAGAGACTGCAAAGATGTCTATTCGACAAACAAGGAATGAGTTTCTGCAGTGAGGTGAAATCGTTTTTGGAGGATCAAGTAAAATGGAACCGCAAGGAATCACATTTCAGTGATGATTACATTGTTATTTTGGGGAAGTTCCTTTTACCATTTATAGAAAAGAGTTCAAATTTTAAAAAGCAGCATGCATTATAGTCATTATTAATAATATGAGATTGGATACCTAAATGACAGTATAACTTAGGACTTAAATAAAATATTAAAACGAGCGTGTCAACAAGTTTTCAATTCACATTCAAAAAAGTCTCAAACTAATTAATTTCAAATCTCATTCCAGATTCTCCAATGTTCTTTTTTTGTATAGAGAGAAGCAGTTGGTATGTTATGCTAATAATTATATTGGGAATTTAAATGAAACGCCACAAGCATTTTAAAGCAAATGAATTTTAAACAAGCAGTAAAGTGAAGAGAGAAAAAATATGATAAAAAATTACAAAAGCGTCACCCGAGAAGAAAAACAAAACCAGAAATGAAATGGAACAAGAAAGGAAGTGTGCGGAGATGAGATAAACATTTTTATAGCAATCAAGCTTGAGCGCATTAAGATATAATGTTGATGCTTTACATATCCAATAATTTATATTTGCAGATGGGATCTAAACGAACAGTTATATTCACACTTATTTGTGTTGTGACGCTGTACTTCCTTTCCCATCTCTACAATTCCTTTTAATTAAAAAGCATTACACAAATGGGAATATTTTCTCTTCCTCTATAATTTAAAAATATAAATGTATATGAGGATAGGGAGCTGAAAATGAAATTCTACCGTTCCAGCATGAGACTTACATCCAGCACCAGCGACAATTTTTTTAAATGATGACGAATCAGGATGCTGAAAAACAATTGTCTTCCCATTCATTGTGTATCATTTTGCTAAACAGAAAAAGGAATATTGATGTGGTGGAGTCACCATAGAAAGACTGGAAAATTAATGGATCTGTGCATGCATATACTAAAAATAGCAAGCAAAAAATGAACGGATGGGAGCAAAAATCAATTAAAACGCTCCATTGCAGTGAAATTGAAGCAAAAATAACTGGACTGAAGACTAATGACTTCTGTCAAATGACCAGCTATGTTACCGACATACGGAAAGGACTCTCTTTAGCTTCTGTTGCTGCAATAAATGAGCAAAAACAAGTGAAATCAATCGATTGGAAAATTGGAAAACTAATGATATTAATTGATTTTGTTCATGACTTTAACTTTTTTTTTCTATTCATGCCTGCCTTCCATTCTTGTCCTATTATTTATTTTGTCTCGAAGATAAAAGAGCAAGACACTTTAAGAGCAGAGGAAAAATGTCAAAGTCAACAAGAAAGTTTTTTTTTCCTCCTCTACAAGAATTTGCTTTGCTTATCATTCTTTGTAAATTCAACACAAATCGTGCCACACAAATATTTGCTCATTCATGTTCTTTCTCTTTTCTTTTCTATTCTCATTTTATTTACAAATTTTAGCGGATATTTTGTGGATTAGATTTATTGGGATTTGTGCAGTTTGGTTGAACATTGACTTTGTTGATAAAAATGTTGAACCAATAACCCATGACCTAACTTGAGATGTAAGTAAAGCATATTATAATTTATAGAACCGTAAAATGAACGACAGAATAAAATATAAAGCAACAAGAAGCTTACTTTAAAAGTACCAATCAAAATATTGGACCACATTGCTCAATCAGAATCAATTTAACAGAAGCTAATTTGAAAATGCGTCTACGGCACCAAAACATCGACAATTTCCATAATATCTCCTCCTTTAAATACACAAACCAATATTTGCACTTATCTTTCTTTCATTTTTTACGCTATGAAAAATTCTTTTACTGACAACAGTCGTCCTTTCTTCTTTTCTATTTTCATTTCTCTTTTTATCTTTTACTTCTGTATGCTTCCATAACTACAGAGATCAGCAAAAAATAATTTCCATATGAAGCTGAAATTTTTTCACACATATTTCTTCTTCCTTCACATCGTGTTACATTTAAAGGAACTTTACATGCATACTTGTGTGGACTTGTGAGAATGTGATGAGTAAAAAATTCAATAAAAATGTTCAGCGATCACTTTCGGTGTCAACGTGGAAAGCTTGATTATGCATAAAGTGACACGAGAAAGTTCGCAAAAGAATTTCTGGAACTGAAAAATTGAAAACGAAAATTATATTAAAATAAGTTCACTTCTACATCCATTGGAACTTAAATATTTATGCTGGAACTGCTGATGATAAGAGACACAAATTGAATTTTCCCTGAATATATTTCTGATTCTTGCGTGATTTTTCGTCATCAATAAATGAAATTAGTTGATTCACATTTTAATGAATAAAATTGGATGTAAGTGTCGATAGACATGAAGGCATCATATGATGAAAAGGTAACAAAAGTTTCTATTGAGAATGTGCCGAGTCAAAATATATCATAAATTAGATTAAGGAAGACACCACACCATACAATGGAATGGGCGTGAAGTAGGGCCGAGAACCATATCGACACAGTTCAAAAGTTATACCTAATTTATGTCATAATTATGTCAGCTACAAAAACACTTAGTTTGAATTTTGTCACCCTCGGGAGCACTATGAACCAGTATAGCTGATTTTGGTCCAAATCTCGGCCATACTTCACACTTATTTGAACCACATTTTCTCGTAAATGTTAAAATATTATTAAAAAGTGATTAATCCTGAATTATGTCGCTATTTTGTCAAGTGTTTTAAGATAAAGAATTTGTTTTTTGGTTTCCACAGTGAAGAGTATGAACAAAATTCAGATGGGATAGTCGAAATTTTAGATTTAGATTTTTTAAGCTATGCATTACAAAAAGTAATATTGGTATTTGATTTATGTCAATTCAAATAAAATATCCAAAAAATTTTTTTGACTAAAGTTCACCATAGAAAATCAATTTTCAATTTTGGACTAGGGACGACCCTAGTCAAAATCAATTTTGTCACTTTTTTCTTCGAGGGTTTATCCAAATAGATTAAAACTATGCATAAATATTTTAGTGCTTAAAACAAATACAAATAAAACATCTTAAATTTTTTTGAGCAAAGAACCAAGTAGGAAATACATTTTCAATTTTGGACTAGGGGCGACCCTAGTCAAAATCAATTTTGTCACTTTTTTCTTCGAGGGTTTATCCAAATAGATTAAAACTATGCATAAATATTTTAGTGCTTAAAACAAATACAAATAAAACATCTTAAATTTTTTTGAGCAAAGAACCAAGTAGGAAATACATTTTCAATATTGGATTAGGGGCGACCCTAGTCAAAATCAATTTTGTCACTTTTTTCTTCGAGGGTTTATCCAAATGTATCAAAACTTTGCATAAATATTCTAGTGCTTAAAACAAATACAAATAAAACATCTTAAAATTTTTTTGAGCAAAAGAACTAAGAAGGAAATACATTTTCAATTTTGGACTAAGGTCGACCCTAGTCAAAATCAATTTTCTCACTTTTTTCTTCGAGGATAAATCTAAATACAGTAAAACTTTGTATGAGCATTCTAATCTTCAGGTCACACATTTCTGAATTAATAAAAATCATTTTTTTGGACAAAATTTTAAGTCACGTTGTTTTTGAATGTACAACCTGGTACAACCAAATTTATAAAATTTGGGTCTGACGACATATAGAATACATTTCTTGATTTAGATATTTAAAACTGTTTTGTATAAATATTAGTATACTCACACAAAGTTTCACTGTAATTGGATAAACCTTCGAAGAAAAAAAGTGAAAAACTAGATTTTGACTAGACCTGTTCCAAGTTCATAATTGTTAATGTATTTCCTACTTGGTTCTTTGCTCAAAAAAATTTAAGATGTTTTATTTGTATTTGTTTTAAGCATTAGAATATGTATGCAAAGTTTCAATCTATTTGGATAAACCCTCGAAGAAAAAAGTGACAAAATTGACTTGGGTCGCCCCTAGTCCAAAATTGAAAATTGATTTTCTATGGTGAACTTTAGTCAAAAAATTTTTTTGGATATTTTATTTAATTGACAATATTCTGACATAAATCACATACCAATATTACTTTTTGTAATGCATAGCTTAAAAAAATCGAAATCTAAAATTTCGACTACCCCATCTGAATTTTGTTCATACTCTTCACTGTGGAAACCAAAATACAAATTCTTTATCTTAAAACACTTGACAAAATAACGAATTCAGGATTAATTACTTTTTAATAATATTTTAACATTTACGAGAAAATGCGGTTCAAATAAGTGTGAAGTATGGCCGAGATTTGGACCAAAATCAGCTATAATGGTTCATAGTGTTCCCGAGGGTGACAAAATTCAAACTAAGTGTTTTTGTAGCTGACATAATTATTACATAAATTAAGTATAACTTTTAAAGGACTGTGTCGATATGGGTCTCGGCCGTACTTCAAGCCCACTACAATGGAATCAAATTAAGCTAAAAGCTTCTGGAAATAGAAAAATCACGTCCTCAATCAGGACATCCAAAATTAAGAAGAAATTTCCACTTACTTATTTAGTAGCTCGTTTGTTTCATAACAATTCAATATGATTGGCCCTTAAGGCACACTTCTGATGGAATTCTCTTGTGCTTTTTCTTGATATTTCTATTAATCCACAATCAGAACAAAAAAAAATGAGAAAATATTTCTGCAAAATTAATTATCTTAATAATGATAATGCTGGATTTACAAAAATTAATTCTCAAATATTTCTCGGTCGTCAGTGCCTTTTTGCCTTAAGCAAATAATTCGATTAAGAATTTTTAAGTCGCAATTAAAATTGAATTGAGCGGAACAAGAAGGAAAAATTAAAATTGTTCATAATTGAGTTCAGAATAATGGGCAACATGTTGTTGTTGCTTGAATGAGCTACTTTTGTTTGGCATCAATGAACAATAAATTGAAATAATCGCAGATGTTGCTTAAGCTCAAAAAAATACTCAATTTTCATAAGGAACTGAAAAGTGGAAAAGTTTTCATTTCATTTGTGAAACAATCGAAATGAGCAGCAACAGAAGTAAGCAAAATTTGAATGGAATGGAAGAAAGTTGACAACAAAAGCCATTATCTTAGTCGTTGCACGTTCGTTCTCTGGAATGAAAAGCGAGCTGCAAAAGAATGAAAATAAGAACAGAAGTAAGCAAAACGAGTTGAAAACTTCAACAAATTTGTTCACATTTTAAGTGAAATTGTATTAAATAATTTATTGTCTCCTCTGCTGATTTTTCATTCAACTTAATTTAATCATTTTTAAACAATTTTCATTATATTCTTATGTATTTATAGTAATAATCATGTTCTTTACTATTCAGAAACTTTTCCTCTTTCTCTTTTTTGCTCATTTTAACAATCAACAATCATCAAAAGTTTCTCATTTCATCTCTCAGATTCTTTCATTAATTTAATACCATTGTGATCAGTTTGGAACATAAAAAACTTTTGTCATTCTGTGTCTTCCTCCATTTTTAATTAGTTTCTATTTGAATCTTTGAGAAACAGGATCAAAATTATCAATAAATTGCACCAAACTAATTTAATTATTTTACTAGCGCTTCCTCAACCTCGAAAAGACTTGCTTCCCTCAAACCCTTGCTGGTCGATCATAAACAAATCAGAATTCATGAATAAAATTAGCTCAAAATGAGGTCAGCAAGCTTTTATGGTCGATATCTCATCTTTGTATCAATAATGTCTTCATTAATTAATATGACCATCGATGGATGTCTTTAACTTGAGATATTTATGTACTGTTTATAAATCCTGTCATCATCAAATGTTCATCACAACTCATAACTCAATTAAATTGAACAGATTTCATCTCGTCTTGATTTATTTCTATTTACACAACTTCATTACATAACATCAGTTAATCAATTCAGTTCTCTCATCATTTCCTTTACACTTATGTCCATTCAGACTGAATTCGTTAATTTAATTAACAATAATGGAATTTCGAGGATCAAAAATGTTTCGTGGACATGCACAGTAGTCAAGTTATGTTTGGTATCAGTAAGTAATAACAATAAATTGGCTATCAAATAGCCAAGACAGTTTGGAAAGGAACCAAATAATGTGTTAAATATAGCAAAAGTTTACTTCTTCTTGCCACATGTCTCTTACTTTTATATTATCATCGTCATTATTATTATCATTAGCATTATGTGGATTTATGTCTTTATTTCCTCTGTTAAGTTTGCTTTTGTCCCCTCTTCGATCCTTCTTTTTTGACTGTCTGATATTTTATATACGATAATTACAATATATTGTCAATATGTGTAACACCCTTTTTACATCCTACACAACTTCCCATCATGTTGCTTATGTAAAAGTTTCTCAATGTATTTTTGTCGTCTATAGCCATACAATCAATAGTAGTAAGAATGTTTATAGTCACCATCGTAATTTGTTGATAGCTTGTTAGTAAGTTTTTAAGTAAGTTTTTGGGTAAATCATGAAATATGATAAAGATCTCTTTCAACAATATTTTCATTTCATTAATTTTCTCTATCATATGTATAAGTGTTTATGTTTATGCTTACGTTATTCATATAGAATTGAAAGAAAATTTCATGCTTGTCATTAGAATACAACACAGGTGTCTATAACATTTTCGTCATAAATGAACATTTGTATTTTATTTTTTCATAACTTTTGATTTAATTGAAATAAACGATTTTTTATGGTGAAAACTGCTTGGTGAATATATTTCTACCCTCCAAGCAATTCACTTTATGTAATTCTCTTGATATTAAATGGTCCACTAATTAATTATTTCGTTCACGGCTAAATATTCACAAATCTTTATACACTCGATATTTGGATATTATTTCATTATTTGAATTTTAATTAATGATATTTTATTTTTTGTTTTATATTTTTTCGGAAGACTTTTACGAATTATTTTCGATTAAATTTAGTGATATTTTTTCATGCTTATATCATATTTAAGGAATAATGTCTTTTTGATTATGATTAATTTTAATCCTGTAGCAAGATTTTCTTTTGAAGAGTTTTGTAACGATTTTTAAGATTTTGAACAGTGTTGCATTCTGGCCATTTGTCTGTATCAGATAAATTCTGAGACAGAAATTTCTTCATAAAGATCGATTCTATGTGAAGATAGAAAATCTAATCTACACAAAGATTATTTCTACATAAAGATTCTGTCTACATAAAGATTCGATATAGATGTCTACAATTCTACATTTTTTCCAGGTCTACATCAGAGAAGAATGTAGAATTGTAGACATCTATATCGAATCTTTATGTAGAAATAATCTTTGTGTAGATTAGATTTTCTATCTTCATAAGAATCGATCTTTATGAAGAAAGTTTCTTAGCTAGACAAAAACTATTGAAGAATCTACATTCTTCATCTAGTGTAGACATCTACATTTGCAACACTGAAGTTCACATATAATTTTGGAGAGCAAAAAATCGCAGTTTTTATCCCTTTGCTTATTTAAAATTAAAAACGCTGTGTTTTTAAAACGAAAAAATTTCAATTTTTTTTAATAACAAAGCTTTAAACTATTAAGTTCATTGAAGTTAATTATCTTTTAGACTTTTCAAATGTTTTTGAGCTGAAAATGCTTAGATATAAATTTATATAAAATTAGTAATTTAAAATATTTCACGACGAAAATATCAAAAGTAAACAAAACATGTAAATGTGTTAGTAAATGAATTCATAAATTATAATTTCGTTTATAAATTGCTTGTTTAAGCTCATTGTTGTAGTGTAGACTTTTTAAAAGTGTTAAAACATTACAAAGATTATGTTGATTAGGACAAATCATGATTAATCATTGATTAATGATTAATTCAAATTTTCGGCTTAAATTTCAAAGTTTTCGACATTAATTTCGAAACAATTTCGAAGTTTTTCGAGAATGAGGTGGCGTAACACTGGATAAAACTCAAAATATTACCATAAAAAGAAGCTCTATGTTGAGTGAATCACAACCTGCATATTAAAACTGTACATTGATCACTTTGTTAATCAAACTACACAGACCTTCAATCATAATCAAAAAGTCTTCAACCCTTTCATAAATTCACTTGTGACACAACTTTTTGCTCAACTTTCATTTCCGATTAAATTTGTTTCTAAATTTTCAAGCGTCTCGTTTCATTCTCGTCTTGGTTCCTTTCACATTCCACCAAAGAAAAACTTTTTTCATTTCATTTTAATTTCACTCAAGTGCACTTTTGTTAAATTTTTTTATTCTGGTTTTGTTCACTTAATGTATGTGCATTTGTTGCCGTTTGTTGATTTTATATGCATTTTTGTGTCACCAGATGAATTTTCCACTACAAATGCACACGATGGAATGGCAACTTCAAGCCATTAGAACTTGTGATATGATGACAAGTACAGAGAAGTACTTGAGGAAGCTCACTTGAAGTTTCGCGCTGTTGTTACTACCGAGAACGACCCATGGAGGACGTGATGGAATTATACTTGATGGCTGATTATTCCTGCTCTTATCGCCATTCGTTTTCACTGGTGCTTGTGTCATAACTGTTGAAATGAAAGAAATATAAAAACTTTTTATCTCATGAAACTACTTGAATGTTAGTTTATAGCATCACATAAATTAATTTAATTATCTTGAAAAAGTTTTAAGTAAGTTTTCAACACAAAAATGGGAAGACGAGGAAGTTGAAATTATTTGAATTTCCTTAGATTATCAAAAATTTCCTTATTTTTGGTTTTACAAAAAAAAACTTCAACTTTCTTAATTTGCTTCTTCCTTATTTTAACAAATTTTTAAAGATTACTTGTGCCTGACTTGTGCATTATAATAATTTATAAAGTATCAAGGAAATGCTCGAAAAGTGATAAGAAAAAAGTTTACCTTCACTCGCAGCATTTGCTTCATTTTCACGAATCGTTTGGATTTGATTTGGTCCTCCAATTATATCCTTTGTTCCTTTACCATCATGCTGTGTCTTATGTTGATGATTATGCTGTTGTTTATTCCTGTTTCTCGGTGGCTTTACTGTTGTGAAAATATATGGAGTTGGTGTTGTTGTTGGTTTCTTTGGTAACAAAAGTTCTGCATTTTGAGCATCATGAATGAGAACAGCAGGAGTAAGCAGCAATAAAAAGTATAAAGTTTTTGCATTAAAATAGAAAAGAGTAGAAACAATTGTAATGCCATAAATTAATGAGTGTTGGAAGTGAGAGAAAGTAGAAATGAGAAAAATTAATTTTCCTGTCATTTTGTTCCTCACCTTGCAATCGTATCGGTGCATCAGATTTACCGAGAGCATTCTCACTTGAACATACGTATTGTCCAAAGTCACTTTTCTGTAGATTCCTCACTGTTATATTCATTTGCCATGTAAACGAATTAATCATTGACTCAATTATGTGATACTTTTCACCATGATATAATTTTGAGTCTGTTACCGCATTCCGCATGCAGCAGAAACATTAAGTAAAATTTCATTTTAAATATAAACATCGTGACAAATGGCATGAAAGTTGTACGAGATATATCAGAATAGCATCAGCATGTAATAACGAGAATAACAATGAATGGTGAAAATTGAATTAGATGAAGCACAAACATGGAAAAAGAAAGAAAAAAAAGCATCAAGTCATTTTGGAAAATTGAAAAAAGTCAAGAAAAAAACTCCCAGGCGATATTCAGGAACATGAAATTGATGTTGTTGAAGATAAATGAGAGTTTAAGGATGAAAATTGTTGCTCACCTTCACGACTGAACCATGTATTGAGAGGCTTCGGAAATGCTTCGACAATACATGCAAACGAAACATGACTTTCAACTGGAGCTGCGACTAATTGATTAACGGCTTTGACTGATGGAGGAACTGCGTAATACAAAAGAGAAAAGAAGCGATTAAAAATAAATTAATCATTTCTAAATATCTTCTTTAGTTCGCAAACAGTAATGACTTGCAGGAATTGGAAATTGAAAATTTAATCTAAGGTTCCTTGCTGCCTTCTGCCTTCACATTTCAAAAATCCTTTTCAAGTGGATTTTATAGGAAACAATTTTCAATTAATTGGCCACTTACAGTTCACTTGAACATCATAACGCTTAGATACACTAGGTGGAATTCCATTGGATGCGATGCACAGATATCCACCCATATCTGATCTCTGAACACCACTCAACGATAATCTTTCGCCCTCGATAGCTTTTTGAACTAATTAAGTGAATGAGGAATTATTATTAAGGAATTAAAAAGATCTTTAAATTCATTACATTGCTTGTCTCTGCCTTCATTCCGAACAACAATGTCTTTACCATCCTCTCGTCTCCATTGCACACTGTCATGGATATAGAAATTCGCAAGTTGTAAGACAATGAATAAGAGTAATAATGATTATGATTTTAACCTTGGTTCAGGAACGCCTGTCGCTTGACATAACAATTGTACATTTCCTCCTTCATTTGTCACACTTTCATCTCCAGATGACTCGATTGCATTGAGGATATCTGGTGGTACAACAACATCCAAGTGTCCTGACTGTCATCATAAGAAAATAACCATAAATCTTTCATATTCATACTGATTCATACTTTAAAGTGCATTTCTTTATTCCAAAAATTATATTTAACTTGAACTGAAAAAGACTTGCTGGAATGGATGAATATCTCATATCAAATAATGCGATTTAATTCATATTTTGATTTATGCTGCATATGTATGCACGAAAAAGAATCCACTTTAAAAATTCTTCTACATTCATTCGAGGATTTCTAAGATGAGAGATTGCATGAATGAGCATTATGTGACTACCTTCCTGCATTTATTATATCGATTCGTTCAGTACAAAAATATGTGGAAATGGCAATGAAATCTCATAAATCGGGAATAGTTCATAAATGTAGAGCATAAAAAGTTATTCATCAGAATTTTACAGACATACTCAGAATTTCAATAGCTGAGTTTGAAGTTTGAGCTGCAACAGCAACGTCGAGTATTCATTTCCAACGCCAAATGATAAAAATCCAAAGCAGTATGAAGAAATGCATTTTAATTCCAATTTATTCACAATTTTACCTGTGATCGCATAGGATCTGTATTCACTTGACACATATAACTTCCACTATCATTCAACTGAACATGTGAAATGTGCAACTTCCACGTATTATGTCCATTATGTGTTACCGATAAGCGAGGATTAAGTGCAACCATATGTGTATGAATTGCTAAAATTGCCTTAGAATCTGATTTTATCCATGCAACCTAGAAATTTTATAGAGAATTTTTCAGACAATAAAAATATTGAATCCATGCCTTCTCATGCTCTACTTTGAATTTTAAGACCGACAATCGATTATTTCAAAAGTTTTCATCAAAAAATTTAAAAAGTTTAATCAGATTTACCCAAAGAGTACTTTTAGAACTTCTCAGAATGAACAAAAAGGAAGAAAAAAGTTTCATGACAAAGAGCAGACTGAGAAGTTTCTTTATGGAATTTTTAATGTTTATCAAGAAAAGTTTTCTCAACTGCTTTTCATCCACAATCGATTCAAATTGAGATTAAATGTTGCAATTGAGATGCGAAAATTTCAATAAAAATTTGCATCAAGTGGAAGTGAAGAAATTGGACGAAAAAAAGACTCGTCCTCGTCTGCTTAAAAAATTGTCTAGAAAACCTTTTTCTTCTGAATTTTAAATTATTCACTTGGGTGCTATTCCATTCTATACATTATAATTCACTTTAAATCCATTTGTATACGTGTGGATGATAATTAAGTATATATATGGAAGTAATTAATTGTAGAGCATTTTTTGGCTTTAAAATATTTACATAGAGCACATCAACTTACCCTGTATTGACCTAAATTATTAACTACACATGTGAATGATACATCACGTCCTTGTGTGACTGTAAGATTGTCCAAAGGTTGTAGAAATTCTGGTTCTTGATCAGTCGTTTGTCCCAATCCTGTAGATTTTAAATTTAATTTATGAATTTTAAATCACTAGATGTTGATCAAGGTGTTGCAACGTTATGGCTACAAAGTTATCACACCTTGAGTCAATAAGTCACACAGACACAAAATATTCACCTTTAACTAAAGTAATGACAAGAAGAATATTAAAAAGAGCTTTAATTATTGCATTTTGGATGAGTCCTACAATCTCCATGTCCTCTGCCGTTTGAATTTCTTCTCAGAAATTTTTCTATATCCTTTTATCTACAAGAAGTGAAGAAGTGCAGTACTTTAAAAATAAGTTTATTACTAGAAATTCTTGAGTAAATGTTGTGACTAAAATGTAAAGTTAAAAGGCATCCATGACATAACTTTCTCGTCTTTCTATCTTCTGTAAAGTTTTTAATCCCATAACCACAGACAGAAAATAGAGTACAGCATGTAGATATGATGTCAAAAGAGACAGAAAGAAAAAGTTGCGAGTTGAGGTGAAAAACTTTTCATTTTCATCACTTCCTTTAACATCTTCAACAACCTTCCACATCTCATGTCATTCGAACTTGTTTACAAGATAAAAAGTGAGCATTTATAAAGTCATAAAAAACTTTTCATGTTTTCGTACCCAAAATTCATGGATATGTTAAATAAATTAATAGAAAATGTTCAGCATCAAGCACCTCAATTAGCATCACATTATGACCTTTTGTTCCTTTCATTCTTTTGTCACTCAAAAAGTTCAACCAATGCATGGGTCATGTCTGTGCAAACAATGAACTTTCCTCTTTCACACAGCAGATTCTCCCGTGTTCATAGACAGTGACTTTTTTTTGTCATTCCATAAACATTTCATAATCTGTGTGTGCTTGTACTTGTTTGCTTCAGTTTAATGCCTCCAAAGAAAATAAAACAATGAAATGGAACAACTTGTTGAGGATTTCTTTTTATGATTTGAGACACGAAATGGGAGGAGAACTTAAAAGGAGCAGCAAATTATGCAAAAGAAGCATGAAAAAAAAAAGAAATTTAAAATTTGTTCAGAACAAATAAAGAATGTAAATTTTGAGTAAATTATCATGCGGCAACCGTTTTTCATTCTCGATTGTCTTTACTTTTTCATGTAAGGTATGCTGATAAAGAATGAAAATTCAGGCACATTTGGTAGAGTCGGGGAGGTAGGTGGGAATGAGAAGTTAATTAAAAATGAAAATAATTAATTTTAAATGCCATTTGAATTGAAAAACTATTAATTGATTGTGGTTTTTAATTAATGAATCATAAAATGAGCACACAGTGTTGTTTGCTGCGGGGTGGGAAGTTCTCTCTGTAATTTTTTAACAATAAATATTATACGCGCGCCTATAATGCGAAAATTAAGAGCATCGGAAAATTATTCTGAACTGATAAAATTGCAATAATAAATGCTCGGTGTGTGAAAAAAAAAGCAGGAGTAAGCACGAGTGTGAGTTTAAAAGGAGTCAAAATCATTTTATTATTTTTTCATCTGTGGATAGGCGAGGATTTTCACTGCTTTCAATTATTTGTGTTCCACACTATGCATAGCAAAAGCATGTACATATGAAATTTTTTGCAACACCAAATAAATACTATCGGCAACTAACAACAGTATTTATAGTCACAGCAAGTGAATGTGGCATCTGCTACTGAGATTTTTATTAACTTAATCAGTAGATGTTTATTTTTTGCCTCAGAAAGGGTTTTGGATTCTATTAAAAAATTGAACGTCCATGTGATGCCTTTATTGAACATTAAATTGCATGAATTCTTTGAATTTCACTATATAGACACACACGCACACACCTATTAAATTCCCGTTCTCATGTGTTTTCGATAAAATCATCCACAAAAATCGAAAATGTTTTGCAGTTCATTTATTTCTATCCGAATAATCCTACTTGAGTTATTAAATAGCTCTCATTGTTTCAGTATATATATACGCCACTTTATCAATATCCATTCAATCTTTCCAATATCTGCTATTCGTTTTTGCACTTCCTTTTATTATCCTCTTGCCTTTATTTCCCGACAATTTACTTTTCACCTTCTAATTTTCTCGCTTTTATTGCATTCAGAAAAAAAGAAATTTCAAATCATTGCACACTTCACAGTCATCAGATAACGATTCTGTTTCATGTTTTATTCATCAATTTATTTATCCATTTCGATGCTCTTGCTTCCCTTATTTTTATTTTTATTTATCTATATGTTTTTTTCCTCAGATTCTCATTAAACTTTTAATCTCTTCTGTTCACTCCACTTTCCCTCTTAATATTCTTTTATTACTGTTTTCCATTCATTCCTCACGACACATAATCCGTCCGTAAATTTTTTTTTTATCAACGTGTCACGAAATACGGGTTGTATGACTAAGTTCTCGATTTAAACTGAAAGACTGTTGTGATACAAGCAGTCGGTTATCGTGTTTGCTATAGATTTTGAACTGGATGTAATGCGCAGATGCGAGAAGAAGTTCGAAACGAATTTGGTAAATATACTGACTGTTGGGGAAGTGAGATTGTTAAGGAAGACATCTGAAAAGGGGAAATTGATGACTTTTCATGATTCAATTAAATTTTATTTGATAGAAATAATTAAGAAGAAATTTTGGCATTGGCATTTAGAATACAAATTGTGGAAATTATCATTTTAATGTGATATTGCTCACGGTTGGAGATTCTTCTTTTAGGGGCACTTATTACGTTACGCAAAAAAACGCCTTTTTTCACCCCCCTTGTTACAATATGTTACAACTCACACCCCCCCCCCCCCCCCCTGAACGTTCATAATTTATTTTATCATTGACAGACGACAGTTAGAACGTTACATACTTCTTGACACCCCCCCCCTCCCCCACCTATGTTACATTTTGTTACAATTTTTAAACCCCCCCCCCCCCAAAAATGTGAACGTAATAAGTGAACGGCCCCTTAATGCTTTTATGATTTTTTTAAAAATATTGGACTAAAACACCAGGAGTGAACTCTTGATTGATAAACTAAAAGCATAGCTCAAAAAAAGTTGGAGTTCAAAGTCCATCCACAAAAAACACTTTACATAGGCATCATTTCAAAACCAAGTCTTTGACATTCATCGTAAGGTTGTCCATCTTCACCAGTAAAAGTTGATATAAATGTCACTCGATATTTTCCAGTCATTGTGAATGTATAATATGATGGTAAAGCTGATTCGACTAGTTCCATATTGAATGTTTCAACTCCATTTTTTGCATATGGACAGCTTGGTCTTTTTAAATGATCAACAACAAAGTGCCAAGGAGCTTTTTTATCTGTAATAACCTTACAGAAATCTGGAATTTCACGATCAACCATTGATGTAAACCATTTCCCACGATCGTATTTCTCGATAAAATAGTGCATTTTCCAAGGTGGATTTATTGCGTTGTAGACTTTGAGTTTACCTGAATTTTCAAAAAAATTGAGCATTAAAATATTCATTGATAGATTCACAAAAATTATGAATTACCATTTATGAAGTAAGTTGTATCGTTTTCGTAAACAAACTCAATTTCAGACCAATCCAGAAACTTTATAGGACCTTTGGAACAGTCCTTGTAAGATTCGCCCAATAACATCATCATTTTTGTCTCTCCATACTTAAAAATGAAGGAAATAACTATGACAAGCAATAGCATTCTTAATAATGATCCAAATAGCTTGATTGAATTTTAAAAAATAAAAATTGTCCGTGCTTTCCCATCCCAATTTATATAATGTAAAGCTAACAATGTGAAAATGGCATAATCGCTTGTAGATAATAATCATCACATTGGGTTAATAATCTGTTTTTAATTGCAATGGAAAACATTATTAATTACATCAATTTTGTGGGATGTTCAGTCAATAAAGTCAATTATTAATGCCGAGATAATTATAATTGGTAATTTTCAGATTATCAAATATGATATGGGAATAAAATGTTGTAAAATTAACAGATTTTATTTTTACAAATTATCATCGATGTCGATAATGATGCAGATTAATTTACACTTGTAATTCCTTAGCACTAATAATTATATGGATAATTATTGCTAAATCTAAAAAACTAGCATTATTTTGAGTTTCCCGCCAGTTTTTGTTTGTTTACAATTTGAATTGAAATAATTCAAATGCAAATTTAGCAATATTTAAGCAAAGCTGCATCGAAAACGCTTTGAAAACCTTTTTGCTCTCAAAAGTTTTATCATTTGTATCAATTCTGATCTCCATTAACTCACAATTGACTCTAAATTCCAACTTAGAAAACTTGATATGGAAAAAACCAAATTTTCAGAAAATTGTTCAATATTCTAGCCACAACTGATTGCTTTCTGATAAAATGTCAACAAATGACACATGAAAACTTTATCAAATGGAAACAAATCAATACAACAGACTTGATATACTTCAAAAAGTCTCTTTTGATCTGTTTATTACCCTCGAGACATTATTTACATGATGAAATATGATACATGAATGTTTTGTTGTGAATTTGTTGAATAAAAGCCACTCATCCAGAATGGTTTTTATGCTGTAAACAATGCATAGACAAAAATGAAAAGATGAAGGATGGAAAATTGTGAATAGCTTTTCATAGATACAAAGTAAATATAAAAGATAGTTGCTTAATGGCTTACTGAGCAAATAATCAAATGAAGCGCAGTATTTGCTGATGAACTGTGAGGAACAATAGGGATGATTAATTGTATTCAATAAAGTCTGACTCACTAATCTGGCTTCTAGTTGATTCCGACAAATTGATCTGATGCAAGCATGTTTACCACAAAATATTGCACAGAAAAATGGAAACAACGTGAATTGAGTGGATACTTGTTGAGATTGACAATACATCATTTACTTTATGAGACTCGTAATAGTCGCTAAGCTTTCCTTGTCATCATACATGTCATGTTAGCATTCATGTAGCAGATTTTTTTCTTCTTATAAATGTTTATATGGATATGGAATAAATGAAGGAAAGAAAAAAAGAACGATTAATCATCACTCAGAAGCTCTTAAATATAAACAATAAGGATTTTTACTACCTATTGTCTGATTACTATGCTACATTAAGAACAATTAAATGTGTTTCTACACAAATAATTATGATTATTTTTATGATTTGTAAAAAGGAACTTTCATTACTCAAATGAACATCTCCAGCATGCATATCAGATTCTCCTTTTAGTTCTTTTTAATGAAAAATAAATGAAATATTTTTCCCCACAAACCGCACAGGAAATTAAATTTTTTTAGAGTCTTCATCATCCTTAAAGAATTGAATATATTTTTATAGCTTTTTGACATCAACAATTTCATGACTTTACAACTAATTAACGGGAAATTAGAAAATTTTATGAGTTGTAGCTTGTCTACAAGATAATTACGCAAAGTGGAAGCATTAACGTCATGAAGAAATTAGTTTGTTTAATTTTTTGAGAAATACCTAATCATAATAATATAATAATAATGTGTGAAGGGCCCAGCCTTTCAGCTGGAGGCACTGCGATTCAAATTAAAACAGAATCTATTGTACCACACCCTTTAGACCTACAGTTTATAGTGGGATCCGAACCACTTGCATATAGAAATAATCAAATAAAATTTAAAATTTTAACGGCTTTTTGAAATTCAAACGCTTTTAAAAATGAAAATTTAATGAAATTTTATTTCACATTTAACACGTGACAATTTTATATTTTTTTTATTATCCTCAACATTCCCCTTATCAATCACTGAATTTTCTCCAGCATTTTAGGCTAGCCAAAGATTTTCGAAATTAATCTTGCATTTGCGCACTAAAGCTAGTTCAAAATTCCTTTCGTTGATTGTGCACGATATGTTGATTCATAATATTCAGTCAGTTCAAATCGAGTTCTTATCAACGAAACCCGTATGTGCTGAAACAAAAATTCCAAAAACAATTTTGACAAAAATTACGTGATTTATTTTTTATGAACTTGACTGTAAAATCGGATTGAAAGCTTATTATCATTAATTGACTATAAAATTTTAATAAGCTTTTCAGTTTTCAAATTGAATCATAAAAGTTAAAATTTAATTCTAAAAAGTGCATCGCTTTAAAGGCTTTACAAAAATGAACATAAAATGTTTCAAAAGCTGCATATTTTTAATATCTAGCAACACATCAGAACGAGCTGAAACATCATCAAGAGCTTGGATTAATAGGTAAATTTCAAAAGATTATTAAAATCTCAATACCAGATGCCTCCTATCGTTCGATCAAACTATGTATATCCTGCTTTATGTTGCCGATAGCATTGATGCGAATTTCATATAACCATAAGACTATGTGTATGCTGTTGGTGTGCATATTGTGGAACACAAATAATTGAAAGCATGGAAAATTTCACGCTTTTCATTTTCACGGTTGGAAAGGATTGAAAGGATTAAAGAATATTGAAAGTGAAAACGCATTTTTTCTATTCGATGGTCATTTTTGTTGCTTATTGCTAGTTTTAACATTGACTGATATTTGTGAAGCTGGAATAAGTTCAAACTCACCATAAATTGAACCAAGTGCACTTATCACAATATGAATTATAACATTCTAGTGGCAGAAATAGCCACAATAAAACTCAGATTTAGAAAAATAGAGAACATTTTGAAAGACAGTTCTTGCTGCAGCTCAAAAGTGTCAAAAAGGTCAGTTAAATGAGTCAATTTGTGATAAGAAATATAAGCTCATTTTTACTCCATAGTCAGATAGACAATACAGATTTAGTATAACACAATTCGAAATTTAAAGGAAATGAAAAAATAATAAAATGATTTTGACTCCTTTTCAACTCACACTCGTGCTTACTCCTGCTTTTTTTTCACACACCGAGCATTTATTATTGGCAATTTTATCAGTTCAGAATAATTTTCCGATGCTCTTAATTTAAGCATTACAGGCGCGCGTATAATATTTATTGTTAAAAAATTACAGAGAGAACTTCCCACCCCGCAGCAAACAACACTGTGTGCTTATTTTATGATTCATTAATTAAAAACCACAATCAATTAATAGTTTTTCAATTCAAATGGCATTTAAAATTAATTATTTTCATTTTTAATTAACTTCTCATTCCTTCCTACCTACCCGACTTCACCAAATGTGCCTGAATTTTCATTCTTTATCAGCATACCTTCCATGAAAAAGTAAAGACAATCGAGAATGAAAAACGGTTGCCGCATGATAATTTACACAAAATTTACATTCTTTATTTGTTCTGAACAAATTTTAAATTTCTTTTTTTTCATGCTTCTTTTGCATAATTTGCTGCTCCTTTTAAGTTCTCCTCCCATTTCGTGTCTCAAATCATAAAAAGAAATCCTCAACAAGTTGTTCCATTTCATTGTTTTATTTTCTTTGGAGGCATTAAACTGAAGCAAACAAGCACAAGCACACACAGATTATGAAATGTTTATGGAATGACAAAAAAAAGTCACTGTCTACGAACACGGGAGAATCTGCTGTGTGAAAGAGGAAAGTTCATTGTTTGTACAGACATGACCCATGCATTGGTTGAACTTTTTGAGTGACAAAAGAGTGAAAGGAACAAAAGGTTATAATGTGATGCTAATTGAGGTGCTTGATGCTGAACATTTTCTATTAATTTATTTAACATATCCATGAATTTTGGGTACGAAAACATGAAAAGTTTTTTATGACTTTATAAATGCTCACTTTTTATCTTGTAAACAATTTCGAATGACATGAGATGTGGAAGGTTGTTGAAGATGTTAAAGGAAGTGATGAAAATGGAAAGTTTTTCACCTCAACTCGCAACTTTTTCTTTCTGTCTCTTTTGACATCATATCTACATGCTGTACTCTATTTTCTGTCTGTGGTTATGGGATTAAAAACTTCTACACAAGATAGAAAGACGAGAAAGTTATGTCATGGATGCCTTTCAACTTTACATTTTAGTCACAACATTTACTCAAGAATTTCTAGTAATAAACTTATTTTTAAAGTACTGCACTTCTTCACTTCTTGTAGATAAAAGGATATAGAAATAGAAAAATTTCTGAGAAGAAATTCAAACGGCAGAGGACATGGAGATTGTAGGACTCATCCAAAATGCAATAATTAAAGCTCTTTTTAATATTCTTCTTGTCATTACTTTAGTTAAAGGTGAATATTTTGTGTCTGTGTGACTTATTGACTCAAGGTGCGACAAGTTTGTAACCATAACGTTGCAACACCTTGATCAACATCCTGTGAATTAAAATTCATAAATTAAATTTAAAATCTACAGGATTGGGACAAACGACTGATCAAGAACCAGAATTTCTTCAACCTTTGGACAATCTTACAGTCACACAAGGACGTGATGTATCATTCACATGTGTAGTTAATAATTTAGGTCAATACAGGGTAAGTTGATGTGCTCTATGTAAATATTTTAAAGCCAAAAAATGCTCTGCAATTAATTACTTCCATATATATACTTAATTATCATCCACACGTATACAAATGGATTTAAAGTGAATTATAATGTATAGAATGGAATAGCACCCAAGTGAATAATTTAAAATTCAGAAGAAAAAGCTTTTCTAGACAATTTTTTAAGCAGACGAGGACGAGTTTTTTTTTTCGTCCAATTTCTTCACTTCCACTTGATGCAAATTTTTATTGAAATTTTCGTACTCAGTTGCAACATTTAATCTCAATTTGAATCGATTGTGGATGAAAAGCAGTTGAGAAAACTTTTCTTGATAAACATTAAAAATTCCATAAAGAAACTTCTCAGTCTGCTCTTTGTCATGAAACTTTTTTCTTCCTTTTTGTTCATCCTGAGAAGTTCTAAAAGTACTCTTTGGGTAAATCCGATTAAAAAATTTAATTTTAGTTTTTTAAGCTTTTGAAATTATTGATTTTGTCAAAAGAATCTCAAATATTTGTGGAACAAAAATTTTCTTCTTTTTTATTCAGCATGCTTTATCCTTAAAGTTGACGTGATTAAGAGGAATATGAATTGTTCGATTTTGAATAATAATAATAGAGTTAAGGAACTTACGGCCATAAAACTCGATGATTTTTGAACAACAATCTAAAGTTTCTCAAAAATCAACTGAAAACCTTCAACTGATCAATCCATTATGTGACATGAGATAAGATAATTAATAATCTATCAACAAATTACGACTATAAACATTCTTACTACTATTGATTGTATGGCTATAGACGACAAAAATACATTGAGAAACTTTTACATAAGCAACATGATGGGAAGTTGTGTAGGATGTAAAAAGGGTGTTACACATATTGACAATATATTGTAATAATCGTATATAAAATATCAGACAGTCAAAAAAGAAGGATCGAAGAGGGGACAAAAGCAAACTTAACAGAGGAAATAAAGACATAAATCCACATAATGCTAATGATAATAATAATGACGATGATAATATAAAAGTAAGAGACATGTGGCAAGAAGAAGTAAACTTTTGCTATATTTAACACATTATTTGGTTCCTTTCCAAACTGTCTTGGCTATTTGATAGCCAATTTATTGTTATTACTTACTGATACCAAACATAACTTGACTAATGTGCATGTCTGCGGAACATTTTTGATCCTCGAAATTCCATTATTGTTAATTAAATTAACGAATTCAGTCTGAATTGACATAAATGTAGAAGAAAATGATGAGAGAACTGAATTGATTAACTGATGTTATGTAATGAAGTTGTGTAAATAGAAATAAATCAAGACGAGATGAAATCTGTTCAATTTAATTGAGTTATGAGTTGTGATGAACATTTGATGATGACAGGATTTATAAACAGTACATAAATATCTCAAGTTAAAGACATCCATCGATGGTCATATTAATTAATTGAGATATCGACCATGAAAGCTTGCTGACCTCATTTTCGAGTTAATTTTATTCTGATTTGTTTATGATAGACCGGCAAGGGTTTGAGGGAAGCAAGTCTTTTCGAGGTTGAGGAAGCGCTAGTAAAATAATTAAATTAGTTTGGTGCAATTTATTGATAATTTTGATCCTGTTTCTCAAAGATTCAAATAGAAACTAATTAAAAATGGAGGAAGACACAGAATGACAAAAGTTTTTTATGTTCCAAACTGATCATAATGGTATTAAATTAATGAAAGAATCTGAGAGATGAAATGAGAAACTTTTGATGATTGTTGATTGTTAAAATGAGCAAAAAAGAGAAAGAGGAAAAGTTTCTGAATAGTAAAGAACATGATTATTACTATAAATACATAAGAATATAATGAAAATTGTTTAAAAATGATTAAATTAAGTTGAATGAAAAATCAGCAGAGGAGACAATAAATTATTTAATACAATTTCACTTAAAATGTGAACAAATTTGTTGAAGTTTTCAACTCGTTTTGCTTACTTCTGTTCTTATTTTCATTCTTTTGCAGCTCGCTTTTCAGAGAACGAACGTGCAACGACTAAGATAATGGCTTTTGTTGTCAACTTTCTTCCATTCCATTCAAATTTTGCTTACTTCTGTTGCTGCTCATTTCGATTGTTTCACAAATGAAATGAAAACTTTTCCACTTTTCAGTTCCTTATGAAAATTGAGTATTTTTTTGAGCTTAAGCAACATCTGCGATTATTTCAATTTATTGTTCATTGATGCCAAACAAAAGTAGCTCATTCAAGCAACAACAACATGTTGCCCATTATTCTGAACTCAATTATGAACAATTTTCATTTTTCCTTCTTGTTCTGCTCAATTCAATTTTAATTGCGACTTAAAAATTCTTAATCGAATTATTTGCTTAAGGCAAAAAGGCACTGACGACCGAGAAATATTTGAGAATTAATTTTTGTAAATCCAGCATTATCATTATTAAGATAATTAATTTTGCAGAAATATTTTCTCATTTTTTTTTGTTCTGATTGTGGATTAATAGAAATATCAAGAATAAGCACAAGAGAATTCCATCAGAAGTGTGCCTTTAGGGTCCAATCATATTGAATTGTTATGAAACAAACGAGCTACTAAATAAGTAAGTGGAAATTTCTTCTTAATTTTGGATGTCCTGATTGAGGACGTGATTTTTCTATTTTCAGAAGCTTTCAGCTTAATTTGATTCCATTGTATTGTGTGGTGTCTTCCTTAATCTAATTTATGATATTTTTTGCCTCGACACATTCTCAATAGAAACTTTTGTCACCTTTTCATCACATGATGCCTTCATGTCTATCGACACTTACATCCAATTCTATTCATTCGAATGTGAATCAACTAATTTCATTTATTGATGACGAAAAATCACGCTAGAATCAGAAATATATTCGGGGAAAATTCAATTTGTGTCTCTTATCATCAGCAGTTCCAGCATAAATATTTCCAATAATTCATTCATAAATTCAAACAAAATTGACATTAATTTAAGTTCCATTGGATGAAGAAGTGAACTTATTTGAATATAATTTTCGTTTTCAATTTTTCAGTTCCAGAAATTCTTTTGCGAACTTTCTCGTGTCACTTTATGCATAATCAAGCTTTCCACGTTGACACCAAAAGTGATCGCTGAACATTTTTATTGAATTTTTTCTCTCATCACATTCTCACAAGTCCACACAAGTATGCATGTAAAGTTTTTTTAATCCAATTTGATGAGCGTTCAGTAAAGGAATTTTTGTATTTTATAAGGAACGACGTTTGCTGGAATTTTTCATCTTTTTCATCACAAAATAAAAAATTAATTTAAATATTTTTTTATTGAATGAGTCCGAATTGAATTATAAAGGATTTTGGGAAGTAGAATTTTGTTATTGAAAAAATAAAACTTTAGCAACAATTTTTGTTCCTTGCCTCATCTTGCTTATGGCATTGTATGAACAAACAAAATCAATTAATGCCATGAAACTCCATAAAAACTTTTCCAATTTTTCTCTTCATTTAATCAAAAGCATTGCTCTTTCGTCTCTACTGCAGAAACTGGCTAAAATAATAACAGAAGTTATTAAATTTTATCAAGCTCATATTTTCCCTAATTGGATTCAGCATCTGCTCTATGGAGAGAGGTCCTCTCCCAATCTCTTCGTATTAAACAAAAATTCAACAACGACAACATCAACAGCAGCAGAGGGAATGAAACTGACCATAAAATGTGAAACGTATGTCATTGACTATTATTTGTAGAATACAAGTTTTATGTGGTTTTTATGCTTCTCATGTTACGTTTTGGCATTTCCTATTTCCTGAATGAATGTACTGTACAATACATTACGTAAGTGAATGCAACAAAAAAAGTTTTTATTGTAAATTTCTGTTGCTATTTTTACACTTCACTTGACTCGGTACTCAATTTAGAGGATACTTGGTCCATTTTAGTTTCAAACTTAATTGTAACTTTGTTAAGTGTGTCATTGGGGGAAGTTTTTTGTTGTTCTATGCTGCAGTAGAGTAATTGGAATTAAATTTTAGGCTTTAATTACCTTTAATAGCTTTACAATGATTTAAAGATTTTTGTTCGATTGGAATCTAATAGGAAGTGCTGCTGGTTCATATAGGATGCCTGGATGGATGAGTAATTTGCAGAATATTTTTAAATTGTTAATCGAGGACAATAGGAAGTCAGGATCCTCTGAGATTTTATTATTATTATTATTATTTATTTGTCAACGTTACCGTCCAGAAGAATTAGTATTTATACATGTTTTACTTTTTACATTGATTAGTGATACATTTCATATCACTATGGTTGACGTAGGATCAAGCTTCTAATCTTCAAATCTAGGTTTCAATTAAATTCAGGCTCTCGTTTCAATCTTCTGTGGGCGTAACGTGATATATTTCAGGTCCGTTCTTACAATATTCCATTATAAGGTAATCTTGTAGCTCTCGTTCCTTTTTCTCCCGCTACACTCCAAGTTCCTGATCCGTTCCTTAATCCAACGTTGCCCAAAATGCCCAATTATGGCTTGATCTTGTACATTAAGCAGTCGAAGTATCTAAACTTCTGAAAAAGAACAAATCTGGATTCGAACCGACGACCTTCGAGTTACCATTCCAAATTTGAGCCAAGCGCCTTACCTATTCGACCAGCAAGGCACTTAACTGCTTCATTTTGGGTCCAATCCACATCAAAAATTGTATATCTACCTCCTGAATAAAATTGAATTCTCGAAATGCAAAAGGCTGTGTTTATACCTTTAAATTTCATTCAGTTGCTTCTTATGATTTTAAAATTCAACATATCCAACATTTCATGTGGATGTGACGTAGATTCGCATAAGAGAGCACACATAAAAAATCAGACATAATAAAAATTGATTAGGATTATGTTATTCATCTGCATAAACATGCACACATCATTCCCCATTCAAATCCAATTTGAATAAATTTTTGTGAATTTGAAATCGAAATTAAGGTTCAATTTTTTTTTTATAGCGATTAAGTGAGTTTGGAATTTCTATTGAAACTTAAACTTTTTATTCATCATCGAGGTACGTGATTCTTAAAATTGGTTCTCGTATGCAAAATTTTAAATAAATTGATTCTAATTTTTATAGCATCTTGTTTCAGCTGCATTCACTTAAAGTCTTCTGCATACTTAACATCATTAATGACATTACGAAGTTATAAAAATAGAAGTGAAAAATCCGTTGGGGGCTGTTCACTTATTACGTAACGCGAAAAAATGACTTCTTAGACCCCCCCCCCCCCCCTCGTAACAAAATTTGTATGAAAAAAAAATTTTCTTGTTTGAACCGTAACAAAATCTTAGACCCCCCCCCCCCCTCCCCCTAAAAGCGTTACGTAATAAGTAAATGGCCCCTTGCTTTACTTTCCATCTAATTAAATCTTTATTAATGCTTCCAATCAGAACATTACAGACAAGAGAGAAGTTATCATAAAAGGGTTCAAATACCGTCAAGTGTATTTTTTTATAAAGAAATTATAATCATAGTCAATAAAAATATCTTGTTTAAATTATAAACTTTTTAAATAATATATTTAAGGAAAATAAATTTTTAATCATCATCGTCTTCAGATTCGTCGGAATTGATATACTTTTTAGCATTTTTCCGACGTCTTGCTGGTGTCTTCTTTGATGATGACGAAGAACCTTCTTTTGAAGATGAAGCCTTACTTAAGTGTTTCAATTTCATCTTCATACTTTCGGAATCAGAAGAACTCGAATCGTCATTGTCTGTGAATTATAAATAAAATATTTATTAGGTTTCAAATTTTAAAGAATTAAATTAAGCAGCACTAACCATCTTTGTCTTCTTCTTCAGACTCATCACATTCAGCGACTTTTTGTTTAGCTTGCGAGAATATTTTCTGTAGCACAATACTATCTTCGTATATCAAAGATGCTTCTTCATTGTAGATTTGCGCATTCTGGCATAATTGGAAAAAGTCTTTCTCTAAATCAGCAAAGTCAACATATTTTGCCTCATCAATTCGAGCCAAAATTTTCTTTATGTCCAAGGGTTTCTTGATTACTTCATAATAATCTGGCAATTCTCGACGGGATGGTAATTTCATGAAAGGTTCACTCAAAATTCTTCCTTCAATTTCATATTTCATTACAATACTCATTATTTTCTTCATTTGTTTCTTAATTTTTGGATCCGTTGTTCCTTTTTTACGTTTTGCGATAGTTGATGCAACACTCTCATCATCTGAATCCTTCCTGCGTTTCTTTGATTTTCTCTTACGATCTCTTTCTTCATTTTCCAATTCTTCATCAAAATCAATGTCATCGCCATCAATCGCCTTAAGCCATTCTTTCTCAGTCAAACTATCTGTATAGTCAACTTCCTTACGTTGACGAGAACCACGTCCTAATATTGTTGCATCGTCTTCGTCTTCAACCCAGCGATCATCATCATCATTGTTTGTAAGCCAGGCTGGCAATTCACATTCTTCTACAAGACGTTTCTTCGTTTCATTCTTTTTACGTTCCAAATCCATTTGTTTAAACAACTCAAGTTCATCATCACTACGAGCAATCATAAAGTTGATCGTTTCGTCATCAGGAACCTCATTTTCTTCTTCATCGTCTCCTTCATCTTGTGTCAAAATACTTTGCAAAAACTGTTGACGCTCACTACCTGTAGATTTTTGATCGAACATACCAGCTTGAATGACTTTTTCGTCCATGTTCAACTTATAACGAGCTGCAGCCAAAATTCGTTCTTCAACGGAATTAACTGTCATCAAACGCAATACACGCACTTCATTACGTTGACCGATACGATGAGCACGATCTTGAGCTTGTAAATCTTGATGAGGATTCCAATCTGAATCGAAAATGACTACAGTATCGGCTGTTTGAAGATTCAAACCTAAACCACCAGCACGAGTGGAAAGCAAAAAGATGAAAATGTCTGAACCTTTGCTATTGAATTTTTTCAATAAGTCTCCACGCTCTTCAGATTTTGTTGTACCGTCTAAACGCAAATATCCATACTTTCTCCAACTCAAATAATCTTCAATAATTGTCATACACTGTGTCATTTGACAGAAAAGCAAAACACGATGTCCTGATATCTTCATTTTTGGAAGTATACGATCAAGCAATTCAAATTTGCCAGACACACGATATAAGTCAGGTCCATTGGCAATATTAGACTGTCCAATGTGATCGCAATATTTCTCTTCAATATGTTGAAACATGAATGGATGGTTACAAAGTTTACGCAACTGCACAATTGTATTCATCAGTGCCTTAGAACCTCCCTTTTTATTTCCTCTTTCAGATCCATCAGTAAGTAAAACGCCCTTACTCTGCATGTGTTTATAAAGTACGCGCTGTAATCCAGACATTTCGCATTTGATGATATACTCAATTTTGTCAGGTAATTGAGATTCAACTTCTTTTTTTAAACGACGCAGCAAGAATGGACGCATAACTTTGTGTAAACGACGAATAATAAGCATCTGTTCTTCTGGATTCAATTCGACCTTTTCACCAGTCGTTGCGAATGGTGCATTGAACCATTGCTCGAATGTAACACATGATTTGAAAATTGATGGGAGCAAGAAATTTAATAAAGCCCACAATTCAGGAAGCTATGAAACGAGAAATGGAAAGATTAAGTTTTAGTTATTGAATTTAACTGGAAAAAAATTTATGGTATCTACCTTATTTTGCAATGGAGTTCCAGTGAGAAGCAGACGAAACGGTGCATTATAATGAGTATTTAAAACTTGTGTCAATTTGCAGTGATGATTTTTCATACGATGACCTTCATCAATAATCATATATTTCCAATGTATCTTAGCCAGAACAGATTTGTCTTTGATAACATATTCGTATGTTGTAAGCAAAACATTAAATTTTGTGTTTCTCATTTGACTTTGAATTGAACGACGAGCAGCTGGAGAGCCTTTGTAAGAGACAACGCCAACAGATGGTGCCCATTTCTCAAATTCTAAAACCCAATTTGATAATGTTGACAATGGAACAATAACCAAAAATGGTCCATTTACTTTCTTGACTTCCATCAAATATGTGACGAGAGCAATTGTCTGAATTGTTTTACCAAGACCCATTTCGTCAGCTAAAATGCCGTTCAAATTGTTATTAAACAATGATACAAGCCATTCAAGACCTTTAATTTGATATTCTTTCAATTTTCCGTTAACCAAAATAGATGCTTGTTCAGTGACCTTTTCTCGAATATCGTGAGCAATACTGTAATAATTCTTTTCTTCAGCCCTGTATTCGTCATCTTCAACTTTAGCTTTCTTAATCAATTCTTTAGCCTTTTCTTCTTCTGTCTTTTCGCGATCACTCATTCCAGCCTTATGCTGTCCATTATCATCTTCATCATCTGAGTTTTCACTGTCAGAAACGACATATTCCCAACCAGGATTCAATTGTAACCATTTGTAAAGATGACGCAATGATGGTGCATCATCTCCAGAAAGAATTTTTCCTGTAGCTGTTTCTTTTACTGTAACTTTACAATCCATTACTTCATTGCTCTCATCAAGCATTAATATTTCTCCTGATTTAAGGATTTCACGTTTCTTTTGTTTCATACGCTGCTCAATTTCAGCCTTCCTCTTTTGTTGATCAAGTTTATGTGCTTTTACCATCTCAGTGACACTAGCAATATATTCATCAGTCTGTGACAAAAGCAAAGCCAAACGTTTATCTTTCTTTTGATCGATAAGTTTTCTGTAACCTTCTTCATCCTCCGCAATCAAACGTCTCATACGTTCCTTTTCAATTCTTTCCTGTTCTTTCTTTTGTTCACGTTCAGCATTTGCATGATAGTTAATGATGGCTTTATTAACTCGTCCCAATTTAGCCAAATTGTTACGGTGATATTCACGAAAATCTTTTCCATGTTGTAACACAAGTGTCAAAAATTCTTGATGCTTCTGACGTCTTTTTCTTTCTGCTTCTAATTTCTGTTGCTTCTCGAGTTTTTCTGTCGCTCGAGCTTCACGCAACCCTTGACGTTTGGTTCTCTTATATGCTTTCACATTTACTGCTGTTTCTAATGTTGTGTCACGTCGAATACATTGCACTATTTCACTTCTCAATTGACGTTGAAAGTTCAAAACGCGCAAAGCACGTAATTCAATTTGAGCTTGTACTCGCAAATCTTCGGCCATATTAGTCGGTAGATTTTTTAACTGTTCCATCCTCAATGCAATTCTTGAAGCCATACGATTTTCTCGTTCATTAAGAATGACAATCGGATCTAATCCAGAGGGTTTTGCAATTGTTGTAATTCGATTTTTACTTGACATTTGTTGTGGACCTGCTTGAGCTCCTGCTCGTGGAGATTGTGGTTGAGAATTTGGTCTTGGACCACCTTGTACTGGCATGTTTGATTGAGATAAAGAGACTGCTTTCATTGAATCTCCACCGGGTTGCATTTGCATCATTTGTGGTGATTGTGAAGGAACTGGACCTTGTTGATTTGGTGGTGCATGTTGAGACATCATCATTTGCTGATTTTGTGGCATGTGAGGACCATGAGGAGGAGCTGAAGATTGATTATTTTGTGGAGATGGAGCATGTGGAGGACCTTGCATTCCTTGTTGCGGTTGACCAGGCATTCCAGATTGAACTGAAGTCGGTATTGGACCATTTTGTTGACTATCTTCTGGCCTTTGCCCTCTAACTGCTGTTACCAAGTTTTTGTTTAATGGTAAATTACGTGCTAGTTGACGATAAGCCATAATCTGACTTCGAAGTTGATCCAATTGAGGTGATGATAAACATGTTGATTTTGAATTCGCACGAATCGCTAGCAATTGAGAATATCTTGGATCTTCTACTAAGCCTTTTTCTTCCATCGAATCAATAGCTTTTTGAAGAGCACTCAAATTTTCTTGACCAGGTGGTGGTGCTGGACCCATTTGTGGCATATTTGGTCCATTTTGAGGCTGCATCATTCCTGGACCCATTACAGGGGGTCCTTGCATCATCGGAGGACCTTGTTGCATACCAGGAGGCATTTGCTGCATTGCTGGTGGTCCTTGTTGCATTCCTGGGGGCATTTGCTGCATGGGAGGTCCCTGATTCATTCCCGGTGGACCTTGTTGCATCGGAGGTCCTTGATTCATTCCTTGTGGACCTTGTTGCATTGGTGGGCCTTGATTTATAGGAGGGCCTTGATTCATAGGAGACCCCTGATTCATTGGAGACCCTTGTTGCATCATTGAATTCATTGGTGGACCTGAATTTTGTGGCGGCTGTTGAGGAGGGCCTTGCTGTTGTGGAATCTAAAATAGAAATTTTTAAATTAATATCACAACACAAATTATTTTATATTGTTCAGTAAATTTGAAGTGAGAAAATTTCTAGATAGGGTAGTTAATATGTTTTGAGTATGTCTAATATCAAAAAACAAGCCTCAATAAAAGTTACGTATTTTAAAATGAGTTTTAATTGTGAATTTGAAACTAGAACGTCTACCCTAGATTAGATATTCATTATCAATCATACAACAATAAATTTTCTCATTGTTAAAATAATTATTAGTAGCTTATGGGTTGTCAAATTGACAAGACGTAAAATGAACAAGAAATACTGTATCGCTATAATTGTAGTGATTGTAGTCGCAGCAATTATAGGAACTGGTAATAAAAAAATAATTTTCGTTATCTTCAAGATTTATGAACACAACATTAAAAATTTCTAGTGCTTGGAATTCTTCTCACGAGTCCATCAGCTGATGAAAATGAAGTGGCAATTAGAGCTTTTACAATAAATCATGAAACAAATACATTTGAAATGGACGGAAAGCCTTTTCGCTATGTAGCTGGTTCTTTCCATTATTTCCGTGCTTTGCCACAGACTTGGCGACAAAAATTAAAAACTCTTAAAGCTGGTGGTTTAAATGCTGTTGATATTTATATCCAATGGTCACTTCACAATCCAGAAGATGGTGTTTATCATTGGGATGGAATTGCTAATATCCAACAGTTTGTAGAGATCGCTGAAGAGGAAGGACTCTATGTAATCTTAAGACCTGGCCCATATATCTGTGCTGAAATCGATAATGGTGGATTACCGTACTGGCTTGCTAGAAAATATCCAGGAATTAAAGTACGAACGAAGGATGAAAACTACTTATTTGAAGTAGGAAAATGGTACTCAATGTTAATGCCTATTTTCGAGAAGCATCTTTATGGAAATGGTGGAAATATTATAATGGTTCAAATTGAAAATGAATATGGAGCGTTTGGAGCTTGTGATGAAGTCTACAAAGAATTTTTACGTGACGAGACATTTAGATATACAAATGACAAAGCAATACTATTCACAACAGATCGTCCCATTGGCGATGAATTGAAATGTGGTCAAGTTGATGATGTTTTTGTTACAACTGACTTTGGATTGAGTAACTTTACAGAGGTTCAAAGTCATTTTAGGAAACTTCGTGACATTCAACCTACTGGTCCACTTGTAAATACAGAATTTTATACAGGCTGGTTGACACATTGGCAGGAACCAAATGCAAGACGAGGAGCTGCTGATCTCGCTAAAACACTTGACTATATGCTTTTATTAGGTGCTAACGTAGATTTTTACATGTATTTCGGAGGAACTAATTTTGGATTTTGGGCAGGTTAGAAATAATGTTTTAATTTTATGAATTTCGATTGATATAATTTATATCAGGTGCAAACGATTGGGGTATTGGAAGATATATGGCTGATATTACAAGCTACGATTATGATGCACCTATGGATGAAGCTGGAAATCCCACAGCAAAATATAGAACTTTCCGTGAAATAATTCAAAAAGTAAGATTAAGATTCAGTTTATAAAATTTGTTGCTTATTGCTTTTTCTCATTATTAACAGTACATTAAAGTTTCGGATGAATCTGATATTCCTGAGAAACAGAAAACAATGTCACTTAGAGCTTTGACATTAGAACCTATAAACTCAATTCTATCAAGTGAAGGTCGTAGTACTTTGGGAAGCAGACAAACAAAATCCAGCACACTTTTAACTTTTGAGCAAATGAGACAATTTTCAGGATTTATTCTTTATGAAACCGAATTACCTAAATTTACAAGAGATCCATCAAACCTAGTCATTACAGATTTAAGAGATCGTGCATTAATTTATGTCGATGGAGAATTTGTAGGAGCAATGTCACGTGAAAACTATATCAGTACCCTCCCAATTAGTGCAAACTTTGGCTCAAGATTATCAATTTTAGTCGAAAATCAAGGTCGAATTAATTTCCAAATAGCTGATGATTATAAAGGCATTCGTGATCGAGTTAGAGTTCAAAGTTTTCACAATTCACAGCAATCTTATACAACATTAACTGATTGGATAATTACAGGATATCCATTTGATAACTATGCTGATTTAGAAGCATTATTAAAGAGCTCCAAAGAAGATTATAGAATTGATGCTAGTGGAAATGCACTTGACGGTCCAATTGTTTTCTATACAGAATTTAATATTGACGAAGACGAGGAAATAGCAGATACATATTGGGACACAACTGATTGGGATAAAGGATTCATTTTTGTCAATGGCTTCAATTTAGGACGTTACTGGTCTGTTGGTCCACAGATTACAATGTACATTCCAAAAGACATCCTCAAGTATGGAAAAAATGAAATTTATGTAGTCGAACTGCAAAAAGCACCTTTAAATTTTAAAATGAACTTCCTTAATGGACCAATTTTCATTAACGACGAGGCAGTTTGAAGTTGTTATGTAATTGAGGCAGGAGATTGTCAATTGATAAGATAATAAAGCTTGTTAATTTACAATACATGGTACCTAGTACTATTTTCATTACTTTATAAGCGAATGCTTAGCAATTTTGATTAAGAAACTCAGGCTCGAATTATCGTGTTTCTCATGATAATACAATAAGCTAAACTCAAGTATATGATTGTCTGATGTATACTTCAAATCTGATACGAGGCAAACAACTCCACCAATGCGATTCTGCTTTTTTTCTAGCCACTTAATAATCATCATTATCAACACCTTTTTTTAATTGTTCAATTGACATTTTTCATTCGTGTTTAAGCAGTCGGTCGGTGAAGTTGTACAAAAGAAATGTTGAGGCCGGTTTTGTTATTATTTATCTTCTTTGTCACATGTCACGCTCAAGTAAGTTTCTCTCTTATTTTTGAGTATTTTCTCTTTTCTCTCATTTTTCTCACTGACGCTTTCTACGCAAGCAGTTTTGATATTGCTCAAAAAATCATTAAATCATTATAAATTGATAACATTTGTACTTTATCGTATTTTAAAATGGTAAAATATTATTAAAATTGATCTTAAACGCTTCAATTTGGATTAATTAATTTGAAAATTTAGGGAAGATTTGAAGTTGACTATGACAACAACGTATTTTTGAAGGATGGCGAGCCATTTCATTATGTCGCTGGATCTTTTCACTATTTTCGAGCACATCCAGATACTTGGCAAGACAAGTTGAGAAAAATGAGAGCAGGAGGATTGAATGCTGTTGATATGTAAGTATTTTAAGAAAGTTTAAGTGGATGCAGCTTTAATTTTGACTAAATTTCACACAGTTATGTCCAATGGTCACTTCATAATCCAAAAGATGGAATTTACAACTGGACAGGAATTGCGGATGTTGAAAGATTTATACAATTGGCTACCGAGGAGGATCTTTACATTATTCTTCGTCCTGGACCTTATGTAAGAAATAAATATATCCAAAGAATTTTTAAAAATTGTAGTTCAATCTAATAGATTTGTGCGGAAATTGATAACGGAGGACTTCCATATTGGCTAGCAACCAAATATCCCAATATACAAGTTCGATCAAAAGACCAAAACTATCTTAATGAAGTAGAAACTTGGTATACGCAATTGATGCCAAAATTTACAAAGTATTTGTATGGAAATGGAGGCAAAATCATTATGGTGCAGGTTGAGAATGAATATGGAGCATACAAAATTTGTGATGAGGAGTATAAAATCTTCTTGCGAAATCTTACTTCGACATTTACTGAGGATAAAGCACTTTTATTCACAACAGATAGACCAATTGATAATGAACTGCGTTGTGGATATATTGAGAATGTTTTTGCAACTGTTGATTTTGGAATAGCTAGTGAAGCTGAGGTTGCATATAATTTCAATAGATTAAGGGAAGTTCAGCCAAAAGGACCATTAGTAAATTCAGAATTCTATACAGGATGGTTAACACATTGGCAAGAACCGAATGCTCGTCGTGGAGCTGCTGAATTAGCAGAAACTTTGAAAATTATGTTAAGTGAGCCATACAAAGCTAATGTCAACTTCTACATGTTTTTCGGTGGAACAAACTATGCATTTTGGGCTGGTAAGGAAATTAATAAGATGTGTTAATTATGTGCAGAATGAAAACTTTTCTAAATAGGTGCAAATGACTGGGGAATAGGAAAGTATATGGCAGATATTACTAGTTATGACTATGATGCACCCTTAAGTGAACCGGGAGATCTTACAGCTAAATACTATATTCTTAGATCAGTGATTGGAGAGGTAAGTAAACCAATTTTTTTTATTTCTCGATAACATGCTCCCCAATGTGAACTTATTTTACAGTACTTACAATTGCCTCCGTTACCTCTACCGGATCCATCTAAAAAGAGAAAATACGAATCGATCAATGTTACTGCTGTAGATAATTTATTTTCGAGCACAGGAAGAGCAAATTTGGGATCAAAACCAATAGAGGGAAGTGATAAACTTTGGACATTTGAGGAACTGGATCAATTTTCAGGATTTGTGCTGTATGAAACAAAATTGCCGACTGTATTTACAAGAGATCCAGCTAATTTGGTTGTTGAGAAGTTGAGAGATCGAGCATTAGTGTACATTGAAAATCGATATGTTGGTGCATTGTCAAGAGAGAATGCAATCAAGTCTCTTCCAATAAGTAAAGGAAATGCTGGTAAAAAGGTTCAGATTTTCGTAGAGAATCAAGGACGAATTAATTTCCAAGATAATTTTGATCTTAAAGGGATTCTCAAAAATGTTACAATCCAAACATTTTTCGAGCCATATTATGAAGAGCTTTCTGATTGGACTATTACCGGCTATCCTTTCGAAAAATATAGTCAGATTGAAGATTTGATTAACTCTCATGGCAATTATGTTTATTCTAGATCGAAAAATGGTTTTCTTTACGAAGGTCCAGTCATATTTAAAGGAACACTAAACATTTCAGGCGATGAAGAATTAGCAGATACATGGTGGAGTTACAAAAACTGGGGCAAGGGAAGTCTGTTTGTGAATGGCAATAATTTAGGTCGATATTGGTCTATTGGACCACAAATGACATTATATATCGCAAAAGAATTCCTTAAACGAGGCGAAAACTCGTTCGTTATCCTAGAACTTCAACGAGCTCCTTCTGACTTAAAGGTTGACTTTTCTAATGAGGCCGACTATAATGAAGATTAATATACTTTATGCCAAGTCAGTCTCCATTTTGATTCATCCAGTATATTTTATAAAAACTTAAAAAAACCACAAAATAAAGAATTTAAATGAATTTTGCACTTTAACTACTATTAACAATCACTGAACAATTGATTTAATTAACTTATATCAATATTATAAAGACAGTTTATAGGAAAAATTCAATAAAGAAATTTTCTAGAAAATTTTCCATTACCGAATTTTGAGGAGTAGACATTTCAGTTGTTTTTAACCCTTCGATCCTCAATACTCCTGTTCTATTTCATCAAAAGATCACTTTTCACTACTTTGCAATCACTTTAATGCCTTAATATTCCTTAAAAACCAGATAAAATTAATTAATAAACTTTTTTCTCGAATGCTTTGCTTGTGTTGTTGTAAGTTTATGACGCCCCTCGATTCAAAAATTTCAAAGCCGTTAATTTTATCATTATTATTTTTAAATCACACGATTAATTTTTAAACCAAGTCTGAGAAAAGTTTCAAAATGCTTATATTCTTTGACTAGCTACCTGTTAAGGGGCCGTTACGCAAAAAAAAAGACTTTTTTTCACCTCCCCCCTCCCCCCCTTGTTACAATATGTTACAACTCACAACACCCCCCCCCCCCCCCTGAACGTTCATAATTTATTTTATTTTGATAATTTTTTACTCTAAAAAGACGTTTAAATTTCTTTTGTATTTTTTTTCTTAAACATCAAAATACTGTACAGCTAAATAGGTCATGTTTTGATTGATACTATTAGTATTCTCATAAATTTTTGGATTGAGATATAAAGCAATAATTTTTTTTGAAGAAAATTCAAAAATGTCATGAAAAATATTATGTCCGATCAAATTTTGGAAAATTCAATCATCTTTGAATGTAAATATCAAAATGATGGGATCATATTAATCATCATATGAATGACAGATTTAGAGAGATTTACTTTTAAATTTATGATTGATATAATTTTGAAAATTTCCACAAATTATGATTGTATTTTAAAGTCTTGTAAACCAGTTTTCTATTGATTTGTTACTTTATATAACAAAAGCTATGTATTGCTTAGCTATCAAAAGAGATCTGGACATAAATTATTAAAGAGGTGTGGAAGATTTAAAAAAATGTTTTTGGTGTGAATTTGTAAACATTTCGTGAAACCCCCCCCCCCCCCCCCCCCTTTGTTACATTTGGTCACAATTTTTCAAACCAGCTTTGGAGTATTTTTAAGATCAAAATTTTCTTTTATTAATCCTTCAAATTTCTCTATGTTTTTTAACAGTTTAGTTAAACTTTTTCAAACATTATCTCAGTATGTGTGTAATTGTTATAAACTCTAAATTTGGAGACTAAACGCGATTATGAATCAATCAAACAGCAAAAAATAATTTAGACATTTAAATATATTCATCATCATTTAGTTTAAATGAAAACCACGCTCTTTTGTGGCACTTAATAAACGCTCTCGCAATATTTCCTCGGTTGGATAATCAGGCAATTTTAAGTAATGGACGCATGTGTTGACTGATGGGAAACTTCCACTTCCAGCATCTACTTTTCGAACGACTGTTAAACGTGGATGAAGATTTGCAAAGCCTCCCGGTGGGAGGTTTGAGCAGCCTGTGGTAAATTGCAAAAATGCCTTTCGTTCATCTCCTGTCATATTCATCAGCACGTTAATGAAGCGCATGAAGCCGGGACTGAAAGAAGAATTAAAAAAAAAAATCATGAAATATTTTCGAAATGTAAGAACATTAAATTAATTGCGTACCTGTCTTTAGAGTAGCCTAGTTTTGGTTCCGTGTAGTTCATTAATTCTTCACGAGTCCATTCTGGATTTTGCTCTCCACAAATCATCTTTTGAGCCTCGCTTGGAGTAAAAGCGGCTAATTTATTCAGGTTAAATACTTCACAAAAGCCTTTATGGAAAGCATCGAGTTGCTTAGCGATGCCTTCTTGTAAGCAAAATTTAATTGTTAAATCACAGTATTCTTCAACATTGTTTATTGTGACATCAATGTTTGCGCCATTTGGAATTAGCTCCGCTGCAGAATATCCATAAACTTTTGAGCTAGGTAAATATGTAAATGTTAATGCAAGATCTTCCAATGATATCGAACCACCCGTTTTTGTATGCAAGTGTAACTGACTGATTTTCTCAAGCTTCTCTGTCGCACTCATATCGTCATTTTGTTCAATATTCTGCTTATGTTGGACGAGTTCTGATAATTCGTGTAAGAACTGCGCACGAATTGGATCAATTTCTGTGAGATTTTCATGTGTCAATATTCCGTCATACCAAGCCCGATCATTTTGATATTCATTCATAGTATATTTCGAGAAAGTTTCTGCCAAATCACGATCACTCTCTTCCGACATAATACTCGAAGTCATTAGATCTTCTGTCTTTGTTGTTGTCGGTATTTTAACCTTTGATAATGACTTGTTGTGACAGAGAAGTTGAAGAAAACTGTTGGACAATGGTAGATCAACAAGTCTCCCGTCTTGAAGTACCTTAAAAGTAAAGAGTTTAATTTATGAATAGGGATGTTTCAAAAAAAAAATAAAAATTATTTTGTGGACTTACTTTTGCGATGAAAACTCCCAAAAACCAGAAATGTTCAGCAACTTTATCACATATTTCACTATCTTGAGGCAGTGGCGCAGGAAAGAGTCCAGTAGCTCGTCGAACATAGTATCCGATTGGTTTTACATCATCCTCTACTGATTTATGGTCTTCTTGAGCAATGACTTCATGATCGTCGCATAGCCACATCTTTAAATCAGATCTCTGTAATTCGTTTGCAACAAGAGCATAAAATTCCAAAGTTGGACCAAGACCCGTGCCTTCCTCATCAGTAAATTCTATTTCCAATACTGATTTTCTATTACAATGTAGTTTCATAACTTGCATCGCCCATGCGAGTAATTCTTTTGAGCGAGGAACCTTGACTCTCTCATGCTTCAATCGACCAACTCTAAATTCGTGCTGTTCACCGTGTCTTGGCGATAAGCCAGGCGTACGTTGTCTCTCAAGCGTGACATCTTTTTGTGATTGCAACCAAACAATACTACGTGATGCACCAAAAGCTGTACAATTAAAGTAAACTTGACGAGTGTCGAATGGAAATAAAAATGGACAGCTTTGATTGAAATCTTCACACCAAGGCGGTAAACTATTACTTGATAAAACAAGTGGATCTTGTATCTGCTGTAATAACTTGTTGGTTATCTTCTTACTGATGTACAAGTCAGATCCCAAATGTGTAACTTCCTCATCATCTTTCTCATAAGCTATAATTGTATTATCAATGAAATTAATTTGTGCAAGTAACTGAAGAACATCATCAACTGAGCATTGTAGAGTCGTGTTGACATTGGTTGGTGTTATTGGCATTGGAGAAATTGGTGATAATGTTGTAGATCCTACGCTACGTATATTAGAAATAAGAATTGGTGTATTTCGTCCCTCATCAACATTACAATTATCATCTTTATTAGCTTCACGATAAACTATAGTATAAGTTGGTTCCCAAATCTTTTTCAGCTTATCTTGTTTTGCCAAATTAGTCATTTGAATCAGTTCTTGAACAGCACGGAAAATTGTCCATTCAGGATTTGTTAATGGAATTTCGACATCATTAATTCCAGGCAAATTTGGTCCGCGCAAAACTAAATACAATGACGGTTGAGGAATTGCCAATGTATCATGTTGAATCGTTGTTTCTGTATTTAATCCCGAATTTGGTGCTGGAACTTCAATGTCGCTTGTTTGATTGACATTAGTACGTCCTGGACGTGGATCAAATGCAGGAATTAAAGCTGAAAATGATCTCTTTAAGACAAATTCATCGTCCCAAGACTTTCGTTTTCCAGCAGCAACTAAACGATTTTCTAATGTCTCTTCATCCATAAACGACAATAAATTTCTCGAGACCATAACTTGCAATAAAGTATTTCCAACTTCCTGGTATTCATCTTCATTCTCGTCATCGACTGTCTCGTCCTCAATATCATCAAATTCATCAGATTCGCCCAAAAGTGTCGGTGGACGGCATGTTTCTAAGAAATCTTCTAATGACACTTGTTCACTGTCACTTGATGTCGATGTTAAGCTCATTGTTAATGATGGATTTGTCCCAGATGAAGGTTGAACTACGGACGATCCAGTATTTGTATTACTTCCTTGAACTGTACTCAACAGTCCTGGATAATTGCTTGACAATGCCAACTTAACGAGACTTGTAACTGAATTACTTCCTCTTGGGAAATAAGCACTTACTCCTCCTTGATGATTTGAGGAAATTTCTGAATTATTCATACTTCCGCCAGCAATTTCAGACATGTTATTATTATTATTATTGTTGTTGTTCCTTGAACGTGCCATTACTGCAATACTCTCCAATAAGCTTGGTGTTTCAGACGATTGGACTGAAACTGGTGGTGGACTAGTAGATGTCGCAGGCTCTTGACCTAAAATAGTTGAAAGGGATATCATTAGAAATTTGATTAAAATTAATTCAAAGTGAGTTGAACTAAGACCCATTTTCAATTAATGAAAAAAAAAATTATTTTAGTGTTCGTGTTATTAATTGAGGGACTTTAGCGCATTTTTGACGAAGCGATCAGTTTTAGATTAACAAGTCAATGCGAAACAAGCAGCAAAATATGGCATTTCCTATCCCTTAGAAATATTTAAAATTACTAAACGCCTTATTTTTTAAATTAAACATTACGTGCAAAATCATGCGTACGCATAACTGTGATTAATTGTAGTAAGTAAAACAATTTATGCAGTGAGTTCTTGTTTTTAAAATTACTTTGACAAGTAACGGTTTTTCGGAATTCAAATTTTAACGGTTTTTTAAAATTTAAAATTATAGAGGTATTCGAAAGAAAAAAATTAACAGGTTACACTGTATAAAAATTGAATTGTACAAAAAACGACTTTTTTCACCCTACCCTCCCCCCTTGTTACAAAATGTTACAACTCACAACCCCCCCACGAACGTTCATAATGTATTTTATTTTGATAAAAAGGTGGAAAATTTAAAAAAATGTTTTTGGTGTGAATTTGTAAACAACATTTGTTTCGTGAACTTTTTTTTAAAAGACAGACGACAGTTAGAACGTTACATACTTCTTGACACCCCCCCCCCCCCCCCCCCTCCCCCTAAAATGCGAACGTAATAAGTGAACGGCCCCAAAGGGCGATTACTTCCTCTTTAATTAATGACTTTCTAGCTTCAGTCTTTGCACCTATTACGTAGATCACCAAGGGCAAGAACTTTCTTTATGTTAATGAGATATTTCAATTTTTAATCTCAATTTCTCGGAATCAAAATATCAAATTCGAATTTTAAATGTCAAATTTTTGCACTAATGTTCTAATGTTTTACATCTAATGCTTTGCAAGATTTCAAAAATGCGCTAAAAAGAAGTGTTAATTATGAGTGAATAAAGCTTACTTAAAGCAGATGAGGATGTTCCTTCATCGGCTGATGACTGAATTTGAAGATATTTTTCAAATTCACTAAAAGCTTTTTTAATTCTCGAGTCGCGATCTTCAGGATTAATGTTATTTTTATTATTATTAGTTGATGTAGATGATGAGGATGGATCTTGGTTCTTAGGCAATGAAAGCTTAACAGATGAAAGTAAGTTACTTTGTGATAAAATTCCAGATGACAAGAGACTGTTGGTATTATTACGCAACATATCAATTTTATCCAGCATTTCCAATTTAGTATTGTGTAAAGTTTTACTGATACTGCTACCTGCTGATTGACTAAGATTTAACTTGTTGTTTGCTTCATTCAAATTCAAAGCTTTATCTTCACAGCTTGTTTGACGTGACATTGATTCTCGGCTTGTGCATGCCTCCTGTTGTAGATTTAATGCCATTGCACCTTCTAAATCACTTTTATCACAACTTTCACTTAATGTTAGATTTTCAGTGATTGTTGCCAAATCGGAAAGAGAGAAGCTTGATGAATTGATTGTTGACAAGTCGGGTAAATGGAGAGAATGTGAAACAGACACATCGGGATTTCCCTGATTCTCAGAACCATTATTTGCCACAAGATCAGAACGACATTGTTGTAAGACGTTTTCAGCTATAACTTCAACTTGATTACGACAGAACAAATTATCGGCTGATGCAGCTTGATCAGTTGATGCGACAGAATTTTTGCAATCTGTTGCTTCTGGCAAGCTTGGTGTTGAGCTCGACTTACGGCTATTCAAAGAATTTCCCTTTTCACCTGACTTTTTAATGCTTGTCGTTGATGTTGAAGATGAAATGTCAAAATTAGGTAAATTATCACTATTCGACAACTTTATGTCATATTTTCCTTCAGCACCCATACGATATGAATTTCTTAATCCATGATCCCATTTAACATCTATCCAGCCATTATGTATTTCCCCTGTAACTGTTCCTTCTGTTGTACCATCTTGATCATCCCATCTCCAATCAACACCACGAATAACTCTTGCACCGGGTATAAAGTGCTTTAATTGTGACCTAATTTGTCTTCTTTCACGTCTCATTTTTGCCTCATTCTCTTTCGCAACTGTACGCTGCATATCATCACAAACTGACAAGACTTTTCCATAAATTTCAAAGCCTGATAAACTTAAATAATGTGTTTGACCAGATGCATTACGTCCATTTTGTTGAATTCGAATGTGTCTAAAGCCTTCATCACTGGAACAATCGATAGGCCAAGTACATGTTGAACCAGGTTCAACTAGACTCTTATCATCATTATGTGTAACAAGTGTTGTCCAGCTAACTCCGTCTTTACTCATTTGGAAAAGCCAATTTCTTAATGCTGAACGACCATAACCGCGAGCATGTCTCAATGTGTAAGCTGTAGGAACAATAAACATTCCTAAATCGATAGCAAACCATGCCTTCTTATTATCTTTTGTGTGGCAATTAACGCTGATACTTTCGCGTGATAAAATATCTTCTAATTTCCCATAAGGCAATTGACGTCCTTCAGAGCATGTTATTGTTACTAATCCATATTGACCAGGATTTACCCAATCCGTTGACTTTCCATTACTTCCAATAAAATAAATTAATCCATTTTCGTCGAAATCATGTTGATGCTTAAATACATTATGCTTATTTTCCTTAAGCTTCTTCAAGTACATGAATGATGAACGATCCATGTCGTGCCATTGCTTCGCAACCATTTTTAATAGAAATTTATTAAGTTGACTGATTGTTGTGAGCGGTTCCATTTTAAGATTTCTTCCGCTACGATCAAATAAGGTATCACCAGAACGTTCGAGTCTAAATCTTAGGCGTTTTGTTAATATTTGGATTCCATAGCCACCAATTTGGGAATCGTATAAATGAACAGGCAATTTTTCGATGCTTTCAAGGACAGACACTAATTTTTGAACTAAAATACTTGCTGTATTCTTATCCGACATCTTATGCTTAAAAATGCAATCTTTGAAAATTGCAATGCGTTGTTTTTGATATTTACTCGCCTTATTTCGATTCATTCCGAGTTCCCAGCAACTTTTTGACAATACAGCAACTAATGCCTGTACTAATCCAGAACTATACATTTCATATGCACTTATAACACCATCACTATGCAAAAGTTGTGCTAAATCATTTAATGCTGAACGCAATTTTTCTTGCCATGTCTGTTTGTTGATTTCTACAGTTCCACCCAAAATATTTGCAGCATTTTGTGGCAAGCATTGATCCTCAAGTGCTGATTCAATCTTACGGACAATATTTGAAAGCTTTGCAACAGCGCCTCTTGGTATTGCTTGTGCAGCCTTGAAATATCGATTATACAAATCACGTGCTAGATTCTTAACTTGACATTTTTGAGCTTCTGCCTTTGATCGCAACTTCTTTTTACGAACATTCGTCCATCCAGACGAAAAGTCTGGTCCAAGAGTTGTTTCAGCTGTAAATGTGTGCTTAGTTCCACGATTACTCTCAAAAATAAATCCAGGAAGGTCGTCTTGCAATATTGTGACCTAATAAGGACAAAACAACATTATCTATTGTTGCTATTCTGACTTGTTTTTATTTTTATTTTTTTATATTCATACCTGATGACCTTCGGAATTATTGATATGCAAATGATTTTCTTTCTGACTATTCAATACCCAGTTACCAACAACAATTCTCAATGGTCCTGGTGACGACAAAATTGGGCATGGTGTTCCTTGACGTACGGCAGCACGAGCTCGTTGTAATTTCTCCAAAAACTCTCCACGATTTTCTACAAAAACAATAAATCAGAACAAAAATATTAAATTAACATGAATGCAAGTCATGATTGATATGAATCAAATAAATAAATATCATTATCTGACAAATAAATAATAAGCTCATGTAAGTATCACTTTGATTATCTAGGCACACGAATTTGTCATAGTCTCATGTGGAAAGTTTTCTGAATGTTAAAATTTCAACCGTCATTTTTGGTTCAAATGTTTAATACTGAGCATAAACATGAGTAGGAAGGGATGTATTGATTTTAGAGAAAAATGCAAGAACATCATTAGTCTGTTTTATTATTTACATGAGTGTGTGAATAATTCTTACCTTCGCTCGAAAGAGCATCAGATGACGATCGACCTTTTCCTAAAATTAGAATCAATGGCATTGATTGAATAAGAAATGTGAGCACGTTTGTGTTAATAATAATAATAAGTAAAAGAAAATGAAGTGAAAGAGAGAAAATGACACTCAGAGAGTTGTTAAAAGAAGTAGGAAGGAATACAAAACAAGAATAAATAATAAAAAATAGTCAAGTGGATATAAAAGTGCATACCTGAGCTATCATTGCCATTTTCCGGACTTCCACTCGAGTACATTGTTGCAAGTTTACCATCAAGAATAAATCGGAACCACCCGTTTGAGCCATTTGATAGCTCTAAAGCTGCTGAATCTGACCAAACATATAAGCAATCTCTACCACGACAAATGCTCCAATCATGCCAGAAATAAGCTACAGTAATTTTTTTAACACATAGATATGAGTTAGATATAAAAAAAAAGAACTGGCAAGTGACGATCTATTTACCTTTTCCTGGGAGAATTTCCTTTGCATCTTCTTGCGGTTCGTTAGTCGAAGTTGAATCTGTTAAATATTAAATGTTACTTTCTCTTACTCATACTTTTTGAATTATGCATAAGTCATACCTTTACAAGCTTTGCTGCTTGATGGCTCATCTTGTGACTTAATTACATCGATATCATTTTCACCGTTACATCCACCCATCAGAGCTTGAACTTTTGAAAAGACACCGAGTCTAGCGAAATGATCTAAAAACTCTTCTTGTCGCTTATTCATCAATTCTTCAATTATTGTCAATACAACTAAGTGTCCGTCTTCATCATCCTAATAGTTTTAATAGAGAAAAAGTTAAAGATTTCTATTAGTAAATAAAAAATTGTTTCATCCATCAAATGTTTTAGTAGATACTCAAAACAAAGCAAAACCACACCCAAGAAAGATGATCACTATTGACCGACGGAAGCACACTTTCCATAAAATCATAAGTTGATAAATAACGGTAAAAGTATATTTTTAAAAAATTAACGGCTATAATTTTTTGAATTTTTAAATATTAATATAACGGAAAATGAGCTTTGAAGGAAACAAAAAACGAATGAAATGGAAACGATAGAATTTTGTAAATTAACAATTGGTCATTATTATGAGAGTTTTGTGACTTGGATGGCAAGTCTAAAAAGTATTTATGAATTTGTTATTGTTCTTTTTGGCGATACAATTGACTTTCCAAAAATATTGTCTTGTTAGCAAAATCAATGACATTTGCATGCACTAATCACAATTATGTTTTTTATTAGGTAACAAAAATGTTGTTAACGATTATAAAAAGGCAATGGAAATAATAATAAGGAAAGAAAATAAAAAACACTTAAAAATCATAGAAATGGCAAAAAAGTAATAAGTAATAACTTTAAATTTACCGAACCGCTAAATTTCAACGACCAATTGTTAATGGAAGGAGAAGGAGGAATTATATAACGCCATTGGCGTTGCTTTAAAGTTTGAACTATAGCATCTTTTGGCCCAAGACAACCAATAACTTTTTTACAACATATAGAACTACTTTTAGAAGGTAAAGGGGGCCAACTGTAGTCAATCTGTAAATATGCACGACTTCATTATTACTTATATTACTGCTATGTATTTTTGAGTGATTAGAATAATGAATTTCTGTTCCTAAATCTACCTAGTTTCCATATCAACAAAAAATATCATTCAATTTGGACCTCACATAAACTGTCTATATGCTTTTAAAAACATGATTCATCATAAAGTAAGATCAAATGTCATGATTCATAAATTTATCTTGCATTTGAATGAGGAAATTGATACTTACTTCATTATCAAGGACACTAGCGACGACTTCAACAATCTTAAATGCAAGTGATCCCAAATTTGGTTCAGATTGTTGTTCAGTACATAAAGTTGCGAGTACGTCTTTGTGAACATATTGAATCATCTTCTTGATCAAACCTGTTTTTCGTTTTTCGAAATATGATGAAATCAATTAACTTGAATTAGTCGGTGAAATTTATTGTAACACTTACCGAGACTAGATCTTCTCACACTCGACAGCATTGTACTTTGGAACGTCTTGCAGAAAACTGGTAAAAAGAATTTGAGATATATTGGAGCCATTTCAGGATCTCCTCTTGGCTCGCTATTTTCGTTGGTGTCTGAAGGATCATTTCGGATTGAAGAAGTCATCCATTCTGCTGGTGACTGCAAAATTGCAGCAACCTCACGATGTCCCTCTTCTGGACGTTCTCTTGCCTTATCTAAAGCTGTTTTACCATCCTCGTCTCTCAAATCTGTTAATGATAAATTGATAATTTCTAACCGTCATTTATAATTCAAATTATTTAAAAGTTAAAACTTGACGAAACTTGACGAAGTTTGAGATTTTGAAAATTCATTTTTCAAATTTCAAAAAAATCATGTTTAAAAAGTATTGACTTGCCTGGATTAGCTCCGTGCTTAAGCAATACTTTGGCGATTCCTGGTCGTCCGAAGCAAGAAGCATAATGAAGCGATGAACTGCGTTGACCTTTATTGACATCAGCACCTTTTTCACAGAGGAATTCAACCATTTCAAGTGTTCCAAAAGCAGATGCCCAATTTAATAATGTCTGCCCAACATCATCCATACAATTGACATCGACTCCGCCTGTTTCAATAGCTTCAATCAGAGCTTCTGTATCTTTACTACGAATACAATCAATTAATTGTCTATGAATACGCTCAGTACTTGAATCAGCGCGTCTTATTCTTGGAACGAGACCTGTTGATCCACCAATACGTCCTAAAGCTTGACGACCCTCAAATATCAACAATAGAATTAAATCAGCTAATCGCATACAATCTAAAATACATCGTTCATCTTCAGATTTTAGTGCTCGTTCCATAGCTTCTGGTAATTTTGATCGTAATAAATTGTAGGAAATTGTTGGTGAACCTCTACATAAGGTCGATAATAACGATATTGTCGTAGCAATTGATTGAGATGATTTATTAGCATCTGAATTTGGTGTCTTTTGTGTTGTGGATGTAGCAGCAGCAACTGTAAGTTTTTGATTCGGAGTCGATCCAGTTGATGTCGATGGCAATTGATGTCCACCAGCATTACTTAATCTAATAATTAAGTGATCTACTAATCCATATTCTGCTAAAGGTGCTGGATCAACAGATTTTCTCGTATAACGGTCAGCAACAGATGCAAAGCATTTTAATGCTCCATCAGCAACTAATGAGTCTTCGTGTTGTAATAATGTACTTAAACTTTCGACGCAAATTTGTATGTTTGCTCCTTGCGGTTCTACTTTGCTGCACAAACGCGATACAACAATCATAGCTGAATGAAGTGTATCCTTATGAATTTGTGATCCATTATCACGAATATATGTTAGTACACAATTTAATCCGCCACCTTCAAAAACAGCTCCTGCTTCACGCGAACAAATCAGTTCAAGCACCTTAATACACTGTTCAGCCAAGTCACGACTGGTGCGATTTGAAAGGTCCACAATTACTAAACGATTGCAAATAGCTTTAATTGCTCCGTCAATTGCGACAATACGACGCGTGCATTCTGCTGACACATCTAAATAATAAGTGATTGCTCTTGCCGTAACTTCTAATATCTATGGATGTCACAAAATTATAATACAATTAGACATATGGACAAATGTTAAAAAAGAAGATAATTTACGTACATTTTCTGGTGCTAATTCATCTAAAAATATTTTACATAATGCTGGTAAGAAAGTCCGAGGTGGACAGCTTTCAAAGCATCGATCTACATTGTCGCTCATCAATAGAAGCATACATAATTGTTCGAGTGCAATTAACTGCATCTCACGTTCATCACCTTGCCCCATGGACAGCCATTCTAAAAGAGTTTCTGGATCTACATCACTCATCTAGAAGACAAATTCAAGAAAAAGCAAAAAGTATTAATGTGCTTTAAATCGACTTTTTATTGTGAATGAAAAATATATGTGCATATTAATGGGAAATGATTAAAATTCTTTCATGCCAAATGTTCCACTTTGAGTGTATCAATTTTGGTTTTTAATGATTGTTTCTTTATTCCGAAAATGCTGATTTTATAGGTACGTAGTATAGTAAACTAATAATGATGGGAACTTTAATGCTTTATAAAGGTTCCAACGAGTCTTTCCAACGCTCAACAAACTCGTCATAGTATTCGTTTATGACTTGTCGATTCGATGTAACAATAAAATTCTCATAATTGCTCGTCAATGCTTCTCGTGTCCAATTTAAACTTCCATTGATCAATATGCCATTTTTGGGTATATTAACTTGACATGGTTTATCGCAATTCATTTCAACAATTTCAGAACTTCCTTCTATCGCGAATATATTATTGTTATATGGTACATCGATCAAACAAAACTTATGATGCAATGTATTGCTATAACAAATGTTCACAGATATTCCTTTCTCCTTCAAATTTTGTATTTGTGTTCCTGAAGCAGCTTCCATTGTATGATCAACAATTACATAAATCTTAACGCCTTTCTCATAAACTGATTTCAATGCATCGGCGAGTATTTTGCTTGTAAAAATGTACATCGCAACATGAATTGTTTTACGTGCCGACAATAATAGATTTTCCAATATTTCCGTAATGTATAACGTTGGCTCACGACGAAACTTTATTTGACGAACTATAATCGACTTATTATTGTCATCATTCATCGGATTTCGCGTTCGAAAGACTTCATTAATTTCTTCCATCTCATCTTGCATACGAAATCTATCTCTCAATAACTTGACACCTTCATAATAAATTTCTCCAAATACGACCAAACCAACACCGATTCCGCAATATTTTAATAATTTCGATAAAACCATTTTTAATCTATATTTCTTAATCTTATCTATGAGATGAAACTCTGACTAGAAAATAATAATGAAATGTTGAATAATGCTGTGAAATCAAAACATGTGCAAATGATAAATGACAGGAAGTAAAGTCAAATCGATTGGCACAGTTAAAATAATTACTTGATACTGAAGGCAGCACATTTTCCTAGATCAGAATACTTTTTTATTTAAAACGGTCGAAAAAGATTTGAAAATTAACGATCAAAAAAATTTTAAATAGTTTCGTTAAAAACTTACGTAAGCTGTTCGTAACCAAGATACGTTAAACACAAGCAATAACAAAGAACAAGACATTCTGTACTGCTAGGAAAATGCGCTAGTAATAGTTGAGTAGATAGAGGAAATTGACATGATAGAATTTTGTTACAGGAAGAACTGGGGGTGAATTAATAAATCCAATAAATCATAAAAAAAATGTTTAACTTACATTGAATGTTCTTTAATTAATCCTGGCAATGTGTTACTTTAGTTTTTAGGAAGCAACTTATCTTGAATCTTTATTGTGGCTACTAAAACTACTGTAAATGAGAAGAGAAAAATGCGCACATTAAGTTTGGTCTGTAAATTGATGCTTATTCGAAGAGAAAGTGAAAATAGTCACGAGTAAAAACGCGGATAAAACTCAAGTATCTTTTGATCATCTGATTTGCTTGCTTCCACAAAGCTTTACAGTTAGTGTGAAGATTTTTCTCGTTCCGATCTTCATGTACAGTTCAGTTTCTTATTTTATGTGTACACATATAATACTTATAAGTATTTATAACTTGTGAACATGCGTTGTTTACTGACTGACACACAGCTGAGCACTCAGATGTGAAAATACCTTGTGTGTATATACAACACTAACATTTTTCTTCTTATTGCGTCTTGTACGCGATTTATAGGAAGTTTAATCGGTTTCCTACACTTTCTTCTTTCCTCAATCTATGCTGTGCTTTATTTTTGTGAATCATGTTTCCAACAACGTGCAAGACTGCTTTTTTTGTGGTTCGTTACAACATACCAGACACCTTACATTATATTATTTTTGAGAATTTGATAATCACAACTGTATATGCTCTTAATATAATAATAATAATATAATTTTTTTAGGTATTTTCTTCTTCTTCTTCTTTCCTACACTACTTATATAAAATGGAAATGCCACATTCATTATATGCTATTGCTGCTATTGTTGTTGCTTTTTTGTGAGTAATACAATAACGTGCACTATGAACGGAGATAAATTATTCATTTTGTATACCTCATAGCCATAAATACAAATCGATACTAAACGCAAGATGAATAAAAAGTTGTTGAAAATCACTTCTTTTACTTCCGGCTTATTTATTTATTATTATTTTTGGGTGGTTAATATTATTGCCTCAAAACACAAAATTATTAACCTTTCCACTCAAATCTTGTCTTTTCATCATCGACGCAAGCTTCATTAATTTAGTTTTGCGTAAAATATTCAGTCTGTGTGCTCTTTGGTCTTTTTTATTCTCCTCTCTTGCTTCTTAAAAATCACAAAGAATTACTGTCATGGTTTGTTTTTTTTTTTTCTCGTTGGCCTGATTCCAAATTATTATTTTTTGTTTCTGTATGAATACAGCAGAGCAAGCAAGCAACAGAGATTATGGCAAAGATTGTTATTGGCTTCAAGTTTGTTTCAAATTATTTAAAACGTCATCTTTTTTTTGTTGGTAAACTTATATTTTGAAGGCAGGCAGAGAATAGACAAAAATATATAATAAAGGCACACACGAGAGAGTGAGACTTATAGACAGAAGTGATTTTTCATCCCAACTATTATATATTTTTCATTTCAATGAACTTGAAATTAAAATTTTTGTTGCGCATTTACAAAATAGCAGCTTAGCTCGTGCTGCTTAATCAACTAATCTTATTCAATCACTATAAAATTGCATAATACTTGAAATTGTTTAATTAAATATCTATCCATTTATATCTATGTATTAACTGCACATCACATCATTTTCCACTATGTTAATTATCCAACAAAGAACTCTTTATTTTTTTGTGTGTGATCGTACACGATGGGAACTTATTGAGATCAAGCATAAAAGTTTATATTTTTTCTTTGTACATATTGCACATTTCAACACGTGTATTATGAAAATTTAATTGAACTAAAAAAAATATTTGTAAATCCAAGGTAACATTAATGCTATTTCATATTATATTCTTTAGTATATATAGAGTGAGTCTTCGTGCATAGAAATAAAATCGATAATCAAAGCTTATGTCACTTTTGATATGAAATGGATGGAAAAAAGTTGTTTAAAAAGTTGCTGCAACTTTCCACAAAGAAAAGTGATTATTAAAACAATTTTTATCAGTTCACTGGATGTTTGACTGGATGATGAAATGCACTTAAAATTTTAATTATATTTATTTAACATACAAAAGACTGAATGAATGAACTTAAACTCATTTTTTGAGTACTTTTAAGCCACAAAATCATGACAAATGACATTTCACGAGAAACAAGTTCGAGAATATCTACATTTTTGATTTAGTTCCTCGTATTATTTTAAAAATCATCAGAATGACAAAAGATTTTTGTGTCTAGCCATTTTTTTTCTCTTCGCGTTTTTGTGACGATTTTCAATTCGCAATTTTACACCTTAATCCATCTTAATTGACTTCTTACCATTGATATTATTGTTTAGAAATGACTTATGAATAACTTTAATAAACTTTTACTATTTAAAAAACTATTTAAACCTTGTTAATTCAATTTTTAAGATATTTCTGAAATTTTTTGCTCTTTTTGAAAACCAATCGCTCTATCTTCGTCTCACTTCTGTCAAAAATTCATTAATTTAAATTCACAAAAGACGTTGAAAACTCGATGCTTAGGGCACTGCTTGGAACCGACCTCATTCCAATGGCTAGACTGACTCTTGTATTACAGTGCTCTGATTTCTTGAGCATGAAAGTATCCTCAGAATTAATAAGCAAACAAATTTATTGAATATACCAGGATATACCGTCAATGAGAGTGACTCAAAAATTTTATTCAATCGTTCTGTAATCCATGTTAATTATAACAAAATTAATATTAAATGTGATGATTAATAATTATGGAATATAAAGATTCATTAATTGTAAATGAAAATAGAAAACAATGTGTAAGTTTAGCGACAGAAATGTGGTTGATGAACATTCTGATTATCAGTTCCTTCTTTCATAGTTCGGAAAAATCTCTTGACGTCTTCTTCAGTCACAATCTGATTATTGACAACGAATGTCTGCAAAAACTCAAAAAGCTTATCCTTCATGCGATTATAGGATGTGATGGCATCAATTTGATTGACACGATCAAGACTGGATAATGCAGCTAAGGATGCATCATAACTGCTTGTTTTTGGCTTATTCTTTCCTTTTTCTTCATAGAAAACAACTGTGTCTTCCTCATCAATTAAATACTGGACTTTTTGTTCTTCATAGAGCTTCATACATTTTTCACATTGGCACAAGCTCTTTCTCCAGGCATCCTTAAAGAATAGTGCCTTAGCAACATTGTCATTTAATGGATTATTCGGTCGAGTACAAGCGTCGTCAGATAATTTGATTCTTTTCGGTGAGCTTTCTTCAATAATTGAATCGTTTGTTTGTGTGACATTTAAAGTCGTATCTGCAGCACTCTGTGATAAATCCACAACTTCAACAGCCAATCCAATATAGTCAAGTAGAAAATCATTCTTTGTAACACAGCTTTCACAGATCATTTCGGTATATGTAGTTGAATCAGGGACTTTTGTGTTGAGATGTCGGGTATGGTACCAATCTAAAGATGATATAAATACAAGTATTGCTGAATATAATGAAATAATTAAGCAACTTACCTTCACAAACAATGCACTGTATCATTTCGTCATCAACTGTATCCTCTTCATCAGGATATGGTCTATGGCATGTACAGTAAGTTCCGCTAAAATTCTGATTGTATTTGTTAAGTTCATTAACATTTGCTGTCGATGAACTTGCTGAAGTTTCCAAAATCTTCTTTTTGGATGTATCTAATCGACAAGCAACTGAATTATACTTCAGTCCACAATCGCATCGGAAGGATCTTTTAGTATAAAGCTCGACTAGTTGATGATGATCATGGCAATCGAGAGAGCAACCTAAACATAATCCGATAGCTTTTTCTTGATCATCTTTTGCTTCCGGACAGCATGTTAAGCATGAATATAGAGCTTGTCGTTTTATATATCCACTAGAATAAGTACATATCTTTTCATCAGATCCTGACAATACAGCAGATGTTGCCTCATCTAATTCTGTAATTCGTTAAATTAATTTATTTTTTTCTTTGGAAACTTTTGTCAATATTATTTACTATTTTTTACTTGTATTAAGCACAACTTACCCTTTTCGTCATTTAGAACATCAACCATAGTAACTACGTCATCCTTTTTTGGAGAATCCATCTTTATTACTGCTGTAATTAATAATATATGAGTCTTTTTTAAAATTGTCAAAAATTTCAGGGTTTGAAATAATAGCGCGAAAAGTGTAGGAAAATTCAAAAAGTAACGGTTAAGCCGAAAAATAACGTTTTAAATAAGTGTCTGTCTAGCAAAAACTCGATAATATTATTAAAAATTGTTTATTAGTCCATTTTAGTCCATTTTAGTATATTTTAACTATGAATACTGTTAATTTAACAACTTTTTGCTCTCAGAGTAGTGGAGACATTAAGTTTATATTTGTGAATGAAGCTGACGAAGGAACCGAAATTGGCAATATGGAAAAAGTTATGGATGTAAGTTAATTTACCTTAAAATTATTGAGTTAAGTTAACTATTATAACAAACATTTAAGGAAATTCGAAGCTTGCATCCAGATTCATCTGATATTATCGATATCTTGTGTCCTGATGAAATATTTGAGATTTTGGAACCACCAAACAAAAGATTTATTTTTGTATTTGAAACATTCGACACTCCAGCATTTAATCACATATCCAAGATACCTAAAATTTACATTCTCGGCTTAAAATGTGTCTTGTCAGTCATTCATGACAATTTGGAAATTCCCGAGTCACTTTTTCATATAAATAACTTGTGCATGAAAGATATGATTTTGTGTTTCTCGTCCATTGGAGATCCAGAAAAGAAATCAAGGATGAAGAAATTTATTGCATATATGGGTGGTTTATATAGCAACTCGTTGACTGAAGACATTACACATCTTGTGACTGAGGATATATTTTCAAAAAAATACCTTCATGCTGGATCACGGAATGTCAAAATAATGCACACATCTTGGATAGATGAAATATGGAGATTAAGTCAAGATTTTAATTTCATCGTAACTCCAAAAGTACATGATAAATACAAGCTCAAAATGTTTTATAATATGGTCTTTTCATCGACTGGACTAGATAATGAGGAAAAGAAAGCAGTCATAAAAGCTGTCGAGGACAATGGAGGTGAATATAGTCACACGTTTAGGACAGCAACAGTAAAAGTTCTTCTAATGAAGCAAAAAGACATTGGATGTGTAAAATACAAAGCGTCCACAAAACATTCAATTCTATGTGTCGATCCAAGCTGGGTAATTGACTCAGCCAAGACTGGCTATGCTGTTAATACAGAAAATTACTTGATCACAAAACAAGGAAAATTAAAGTCATCAACGCCTACAAAAAACACTTCAGCATTAGGAAAGTTCAGCTTTGATAATACAGTAATTTCTGAGATTTGTGACTTTACAGCACGAAGCATAGCAATCGATGAAACCCAAAAGTCAACTCGTGCATCAACGAATTTCCACCAAAACAAGCCTGAAAGTTCTGTGAGAGCTTCAAAAAGTCTAAGACCATCAAAATCAAGCACTTCCATAAAATCATCGAAAGAATCAACATTTAAGCAACCAACAGTGCCTATTAAGAAAAAAGATTCAAGTTTTACTGTTCAATCACCACCAAGATTTGATTATACTGAAGATGCTTCAGACGAAAGCTTTATACAAATTTTAATTGACAAGACAGTTTGTGTTTATGGATATAGTAATGATATAGACAGCATGCAAATAATAAAGGAATGTGAAAAATTGGGTGCTAAACTAGTGGATTTATCATATACGAAAGCAGTGGATTATGTGATAACATCCACAGACATTATGGATCTTGAGGTTCCAAAATTAAAGTATAAAAATATAGTAACAGATGTCTGGCTTGAAGAATCAGTTGAAATTGGACGCTGTGTTGATCCAGTTAAATTTTATCATCGTTCATTGTTCAAGATTCCAGAGAAGCATCAAGTGCTTAAGGATGAAATTTTTGTATGCTCTAATTATGATTCTAACAGACAACGTCCATTTATTCGATTTTTAGTCAAGCTTTTAGGTGGAGTTTGTAAAGAAGCTTTATGTCGCGCTGAAGGTCCTATTCTAATTTGTCCCTCTGCAGAAGGAAAAAAATATGAAGGGTCTAGGAATTGGGGATTAACAGTAATCAAAGCAGAATGGCTAATTGAATGCCTCGTGAGGAAAACGAGAGTTGACGAGACTGAATATCTTGTTGGTGATACAAAAGCTTCAAAAATGAATATTAAGAGGCGTGAGTCAATTATTCCTAGCTCACAGGATATGTCAATCGATAGTATTGAAGATGTTCATTTAAGTCCAGAAAAAAGTATAATTGTACCCGAATCACCAAAAACTCCATTGCCAATTATTGATGAGGAGAGAATTGGAAATCTTTCATGGCTTTTAGAGGATTTAACAACACCACAAAGAGAAGTGACCAAAAGAGTTCTTTTAGAGCATCAAAAAAAGAATGTTGTGTCACCTAGAACGAAACTTTTAAAAGATCTTATGCAAACGCCTGGAACTACTGAAAAGGACTTGATTGATTATGTTCCATCACCTGGACCAGAATTGCCAGCATGTCTATTACCTCCAGATCGTAATTATGCATTGTTTCCTGATTCTTCGCCTGCAACTCAATGGTGGTATAAAAGGAGATTGGAAGCGTTAGATGACAGATATGTTCCTGTGTCGCAAAGTAAAAGGAAGGAATTAAAAAATATTCCCATGACTCCACCTCTTTCTCATATTAGATATGACTTTTTTAAAAAGAGGCTATCAGATTTTGATAGCCCTGATCCTCGCAATAGTAATGAAACTGACGGTTTATTTATGGCTAGAATAACAGCAAATATGTCTGGCGAAGCATCCAAATTTTTGAATTTTGAGGACACAGAAGCAAATGGAACAAGTAGTTTACCACCAAATAGTGACATAATAAAACTTGATGAGCTTTGGAAACAAAATACAAGTCAAGAAGGAAAAGCTTTACGTAGAAGTTCCAGTGCGCCTCAAGCAGGGGAAGCTGAATCAAAGAATAAGAATATGATGGATTTTAATCCAAAATCTCCAGAAGGTCTTGTTCGTTGGTCCAATACACAAATGCCATCAACAGCTGGACTCCAGAATGAGTCACCAGAAGAAGGAATAAAAGAAATGGATGATTGTAAGGACAACAATCATATTGAGGATATCCAAAACCTTGAAAGTGATGAAGTTCCTATAAATATGTCAGAATCAGAAGGTCCTGTAAATGTATCTCAATCCGAAAGTCCTGTAAATGTGTCACAATCCGAAAGTGTTGCAAATGTGTCTCAAGCTGATGAAAAAAGTCCACAGGAGTTTATATTTGCTATAAGCAGTGGAATGAATGCAGATGTATTTTAATAAAAAATTGGACCTTATCTATAATTTATACTAATATGCTTTTACTTGTTTTTTTAGGACAAACTAATTCTGACTGAGAAAATTGAACAGCTTGGTGGGACAGTTGCTGAGCTAGAATTTACACATTTAATTATGGCAAAATTATCAAAAAGCTCAAAGTTCTTCTCGGCATTATCCAGTGGTAAAATAATATTGCATGCTGACTACATTGATGATTGTTTGGAGCAAGGTCGATTCATTGAAACTGACTGCTTTGAGTTCGGAAATCCTCAATTCAACTGTCAAGTTTTGAATTTAAAAGAACCACAGCTACTTAGTGGACCATATCGTTGTCGAATGCTCATGACCAATAATCCAGAAAAATACAAAAACGGTCTATTCACAGGAATGAATTTTATTTTAATAGCAGGCAGTGATAGACGTGCTCAATTCGTTCATATCATTGAGATTGGTGGAGGAACTATCATTGATGTACAGCCAGAATTCAAAGGTTCTGTGCTTAAACGCACTAAAATAGATTATTGTCTGGTGGAAAATTCTAAATGCTTATTTAAAAAGGACGTTGAAACATTAAAGGCATGCAACATAGAAATTAAGAATATAAAGTTCATTTACGAATATCTCTTAAATGATGACTAGGTATAATAAGTCTTTTGAATGTGCTGAATAATAAAAAAATGATTTAAAGTTTTTGATACTTTTTATTATTATATATGATGTTCTCAACTTTTGTGTGTATAAAAAACTTGCAATGTTATTAAGGATTCTCCGGTTTTTAAGATAATTTCAAGGCTGCCAACTCTTTAATCAAATCTCCTTTAGATTCCACTTTCTTTAATTGATTTTTATCCAATTTTTCACCTTTTTCTTGCTTTTCTTGTAGAATTTTTATGTCCTTCAACTTCTTTCGAATAGCTGAAACTTTCTTTTTATCTTCATAATTAATTTGAGGCTTGTCACTTACTTCCTTATCGCCTGTGGCTTGAACCTGATTTGATTGTGGCCTCGGTTTTTGTTGCTGTTTTGGCTGTGATGAAGGTTTTTGTGGAGATCCTTCATTTGGCTGTGATGCTTGTGCTGGTTTATTCCTTGGTTTATTGGAAGGCTTCTTCGATTGTTTTGCTGAAGTATATCCTGGAGGCAAGCCTAAAATTATGGAAATTTATTAATTCTGTGAGTAAAATAGTTTCGATTCAAGTTCGACTTAAAATTATTCCACAGTTTTAGAACCAAACATTTGAAATGGCGAAATGGCAAAGAAAAATACCTGGAATAGGTCCTTGTGGTGGTGGCTGAATAGAACTGTTAGCAGCCTCTTCTCCAAGAAGTCTTATATTTGGTGGAACGTACTTTTTAGCACTTGCTTGTGGTTGACTTGACTGAATGCCTTCAACTTTCTTAGCACTAATTATCGGTTCTTTCCAAAATCCTTCATTATATTTTTGCCATGTAAGCTCATACAATTCTTGTTTATCAGGCCACATTAGCTCATAGAGTAAAGCTCCGCTATAATGCCAAATCTTAAATCCATTGGCTTGTCTTAATCGTGGAGTAGTCGTAGCTGTCAAATATAAATCGCCCGACGGAGCCCATTCAAGTAAGGTTGTATCAGTCGCTAAGCTGCTTGATACTTGAACTTTCTTATTTACATCCCAGACTTCAATATCTCCACGTAAGTTTCCAAAAGCTCCAAAGAGAACTAAGTTCCCAAAATCATTCCAATAGACACAATTTCTAATGCCTGTGCCAAAATCAAAAACAACATCACATTTCATATTAAACAATGTTGCGTGAGCTGGTTCATAACCGTAGACAACAATAAATTGATTCGATTTTGGGCTCCAAGCTACATTGTGCATTGGTCCTTCTGCTTTTAAAGGAACGCTGAAAGAATCGCCGTTAGTGGCTAAGAAATGCAATGCTTGTTTTCCATAGTACGAAGCACCAGTACTGTCAACGTCATTTGATGTCATAATTAAGCATCCGTTTCCCTTTTTGTTAAAAAAGATTTCTACTTTGTCGGCTTTCGAAAAACTTTTCGATGCAATCGGAAGATCAAGATTTGGATATTTAAATAATCTTGCCATGCTTGGACTTCCTTTAGCACTTTGCAAATATAAAGCAACATGTGTGCTAAGTCCCGGTGATAATGAAAAGCTTCCAACCTTACCACTCAATTTTTGAGATGATTTTGTGAAAGTTCCATTAGCAATTTCATAAAAATGAACATCACCAGCAAGCATTATGGCAAGAACAGATTCATCGTTGGAAATATGTGGTTCCCATTCAGAGTGCTTTTTCATAGCAAAACTTATGAGTTCCTTTCCAGTTTCTGCTTCGTAGAAAAACAAATTTGGACTATTTGGACTCTCTTTTGTGCTTACAAAAATCTCATAAACAATCAGGAATGTTCCTTTTGGTGAAAACTTGATGACATGAGACCGAGATCTAGGAATCGTGTACTGTAATTCATAGTTCAGATTGAATACTTTAACTTCTGTATTACTGCCATACACAAAACTTGATGAACTGTAAGCAAAAGCTCTTGCACCTTTAGATTCTTTAAAGAATGGTTTAAAGACTCGTCCAGATGCACTTTGGGAATCTTTATTTTTAATTTCCCAAACATCAATGCCAGAATTACTTCGAACTGTAAATAAAAAGATCCAGAAAAGTGAAACGTGAAATTAAAAAATATTATTTTCCAAATTAAGCTGTTAATTCATGGTCTTTAGACAATCCTTTATATTAGTATGACAAATAATGCCATTAAATATATAGTTGAATCTTATAGATTACCTGAAAAGTTCATTTTGTGCACTTTTTCCTTTAATTAATGAATTTTCAGCACAAAATTGAGAAATCCAAAATCGCCGACAAAAAAATCATTCAAATTAAACTTTTCCGTTACTTTTTTGACATATTAGTATAACCACACATGTTTGTTTACAAACAAAAAAAAATATTTTACAGAAAATATTAATTAAGTCATGTCAGTTCACTTGAGGAAGTTTATTAGCTCTAAAGTAAGCTTGTAGTAATGAATAATGTCAATAAATGTTACTGATATTCTTTATTTCATAGATTAATGAGTTAAAACCTGGAGGCTACAAAAATATTAATGGATTATTACAAATTAGACATAATAAAGACAATTTTGAACTGAAATTACCAATCAAAGCAGTTTATGGAGCAACACAATTGATAGAACAACTGACAATCTTAAGAAATGATGAGATCCAGGATGTTAAAGTTGATTCTTCAGAAATTTCCTTCCTATTGAACAATTTATCTATTAAAAATACATTTAAAAATCCAACGAAAGTGCTATTGACTGATGATCAAAAGAAATATATAGTAGAATACAGTTCACCAAACATTGCAAAACCATTTCATATGGGTCATTTAAGAAGCACCATAATTGGAAATTTTCTATCGAATCTTTTAAAGAGAATCGACCACAAAGTAATTCAGATGAACTATCTAGGTGATTATGGAACACAGTTTGGCTTTCTGAAAGTAGGAATTGATATGGAAAAATTAACTGATGAAGAAATAATGAAAAATCCACTTCAGAATCTATTAAAAGTGTATGTTGCTGCAAATTCCTCCAAAGATCCAGAAGTAGCTGAAAAGGCTAGACGAATTTTTGAGATAATGGAACTGAAAAATGATGATGAAATCATGGAACAGTGGAGAAAAATTAAGCAATATACATTAGAGGAATTAAAAGTGATTTATGAACGATTAAATATAAAATATGATGTGTATGAGTTTGAATCGATGTATAGACGTAAAGACATTGAAGACGTTATTAAATTACTGACTGAAAAGAATATTCTTGAAAAAGATCAAGAAGGAAAAATGATTGTAAGAATTGGAGAACGTAGTGTTCCATTTATAAAAAGCGATAGTACGACACTGTACTTGACTAGAGATGTTGCTGCATTTTTGAGTAGGAGAAAAAAATATAGAATAGATAAAACTTTTTATGTAGTCGATAATGGTCAGAATGATCATTTCACAGCATTTAAAAATGTTGTGAATCAAATGGGTTTGAATGGCGATGAATATATTCAGCATATAAAGTTTGGGCGTATTCGAGGTATGAGTACGAGAAAAGGAAATGTCGTGTTCCTTAAAGACATTCTTGATGAAGCAAAAGATTTGATGTTTAAAAAGCAACAGGAATCAAAAACAACGAAAGTAGATTTATCAAAATGTGGTGAAGGAATTGCCGATATTTTGGGAACATCAGCAATTGTAGTGAATGATTTAAGGCAAAAAAGACAACGTGACTATGAATTTAATTGGAATAAAATTTTGCAGCTTAGCGGTGACTCTGGTGTTAAATTTCAGTATACACATTGCCGTTTATACAGTTTAGAGCGAGAAAATAGCAACATAAATGAAGGAGAGGAACTAAATCTTGAACTGATTAAAGAACTAGAAGCACAAGAGCTTGTTTACTTAATACTTAAATACCAAGAGATAATTTATCATTCGCATAATGAATTAGAGTCATGTGTTCTCGTGAAATATCTATTTGACTTGTGTAATTCAGCTAGTCGAGCTTTCAAAACATTACATGTAAAAAATTGTGAATGTAAAGCTACAGCATCACAACGATTGTTGCTTTTTAATACGACACGAAAAGTATTAAAAGATGGTTTAGATATTTTAGGATTAAAAGTCTTGAATGAAATGTAATACACGATCAAAAACTTGCTCATTACCTGTAGTTTGTGATGCATGGATGGTTTTACGCGCATCTTCTAAGACCAATTTTAATCCTTCTGGATTAAATTAAAACATCAATTTTAATCCCAAGATTTATCTTTTCCCCAGGTTTAAAAATAAATCGAAAACAAAACCCAAAATGAAAGTTATGATGCATCGCTGTCGAAAAGATGCTCGTAGAAAATTTTATGCTTCAAGACTATAATAATGATGATATGAAGGTTTTTATATTAAAACTCAAACTAAAATTTGAAACTGTTTGTTTCACGATGTTAAATATAGATCTGTTCATTTAGTTCAATTTTTTTTTCAGACTCTCATTTTGGGATTCGTTCTACAAACATGAAACTCCCTCATCTTGTGCTGCTTATGTTCTGTAAATTATATTCGATTCGTTTTCAGCATAAAATGTGACGTGATTGGCACAAAAAAAAAGTTTTACAGAAATTCCAATTAAAATATTTTTTTGAGAGTTTCAGCTTAGTCTTCTTTTTACTCGGGATCTGTAAGCATTAATTAGTAAGTTGTTTTTTTCGTGCATCTTGTAAATTAAATTGTAGCTATGAGATTTTTACTATTAGTTGCTTTGGCATTTATTGGTAAGTGTTTTGGAAGTAAATGCTGTCACTGAATACAATACTATAGATTAATCGTCCATAATTACTTGGCAATTAAAAACAAATTATAATTAAATAGCCATATCACTAAAAATAACAAATAAATTGAGTAACTGCAATATCTACACATGTGAAGCGTTCCTATAAATAGATAATGAAGAAATTTATAGTTCAGTGTAAAGGCTATAAATAATGTTTCAAATTTCAGGGTCGACACATGCTGCCAAAAAGTCTCCGACCGAAATTGTAAGCTTCATTAATGATGATAAACAATTCAGATGTAACGGAAGGAATGTCGAGTGGTATTTTCCCAACAGTTCAAAAATTGAGCATTCACCTGAAAAATTTGAGATTGAAAGCCCTTCACAAAATGAGTCAATTCTGATTGTAAAGAAAATTAATGCAATGTCAATTGGACCTTACAAATGTCTATCAATTATCGATGGTATTGAGGAGGATTTTGAGTTGAAACTTTATTGTAAGCTTCATTAATCAGCAATTGATTCACAATTAATTGATTTTTTATTTCATAGACCCCCTTGCAATTAATTATTTTAATCGTCTTCAAACTGTCAGGGAAAATGACAACGCCACGTTAAAATGTAAGACAATTAGCATTCCTAAAGTTAGTAAAATCATTTGGTATCATGCAGATAAAGAGCTCGGTAAGCAACACATCATCAATTATCAGCTAGTCCTTAAATCCTTAAATTGTTTCATTTAGTTGCTGATGTGGACTACACAGTAGTTTCGGATGGTATATTTTTGGAAAATGTCAAGCCAGAGCATTCTGGTGAATATTCATGTGTAGCAATTCAGGAACTGGGTACCTTGAAAAATATTCAGCAGAGAGATATGGAGTTGATTGTGGAATGTAAGTTTTGACAAGTGAAATTGAGGCACAGAAATAACAAAAAGCAATAAAGCAACAAACATTTCCTGTCTTTTTATTACTGATTTCTTATCAAATTCCCTTTTAATTACTTATTATTTATTTTTCTAAAATTTAGATGGCCCGAATCAACTAGCCACAGAATCAAGTGATGTATTCATCAAAATTGGCGAAACTCATACCTTAACATGTGCTGCTAAAAGTGAACCATCACCTGTTTTCACTTGGCTAAATAATGGATATGAAACATTTGAGAACATTGCTACCCGTGACTATACATCAAATCTACAAGTTCATGTTGATTCAGCTGAAGATCTTCAAACATACACGTGTCTTGCATCAAATATTCATGGGCAGTCAAAGCAAATTTTTGTTTTGAAAGAAAAAGTAGAATTAGAAGATTCCCCAAGCAAAACATCATCTAAAACAGCTGGAGTTATTTTGTATACACTTGCATTGATCATCAGTACATTTATAATTTATTAGCTCTCAAGCTATTAGAAAAGAAAATTGTTTATTTTGATGTGAAATTTTCTTCTCATCTTCTTTATTTATTTTTCCACTCTACAGATGTAAAGGAATGTGTATGTTGATTTAAATTCTGAATTTTGTTGTAAATATAACGTAAGCATGCGTAAAACTATACAGCACGTGTTTCATTCATAAAATTTTCATACATTCGGAATTTAGAGAGAAGATTTAAAGAAAGAGAATTGAGAGAAAGCATGGCCAATAGCATCACATGTGAGTTACAGTTTAGAGTATCGTGGTTAATAAAATTTACGAGTATGTCATCTTTAATGGCTTTACAATCGTTATAGCTTGTAAATAAACATGAATATTATCGAGTTACTTACAAACGTTTTTAGGGGAGCTGTTCACAATTGACGTCCTTCAAAATGAGGGCTTTTAGACCCTTCCCTTATCACACTTTGACATCACCCTCCAATAAACTTTGTTTCTGAGATATTGTCTGAGTCAGATTTTCCCCAAGGGGCCGTTCACTTATTACGTGCGCATTTTAGGGGGGTTTGAAAAATTGTAACAAAATGTAACATAGAGGGGGGGGGTCGTAAGTTAAATTAAATTTTTCACCTTTTTAATGATAAAATAAATTATGAACGTTCAAGGGGGGGGGGGGGGGTTGTAAGTTGTAACATATTGTAACAAGGGGGGGGGGTGTTCAAAAAAGTCGTTTTTTTGCGTAACGTAATAAGTGAACGGCCCCCAACCTTTCTTCTTATTTCATATTTTCAGACATTATAAATGGATGTCCTCCAAATACTTATTCTCTCTAGTAAAATTGGATACAGTGCAAAATCTCAACGACGTCTATAGACATAAATTAATTTTAAATAAACATTGCAAACTTACTCAAGATTTGCGGCTAAAATATTTTATTATCAAGTTTGCAGCTTTGACCCTCCGTAGGCATAAAATAGTACTCTCGAAAAAATATTGAGAGACGAATAGGAAGTTCATCCTATTTCTCATAACTCTCACATTTTCATTCCTTCAGCTTGTGAAAGATTTCAAATCTAGTGAAAAAGGATTCAGTTAGAAAGTGTAACTCAATAAAAAAGGATCATCAGCATAGACATACAGCGATTAAATTTAATTATAGTACATACATTTCAAATAAGCTAGTTAAATGTTCTGATTATTACTAAGTCATAAGTTCTAGTTAAATTAAGGATAAATATTTTAAAAGTGATAAATTAAATTGAACCAGTGATGCATTCAAAGAAGCACATAATTAACATATTTGTGATATTCATCTATGCAATAATAGGTAAATAAGAAAGAATACTAAAATTATTTTTCTTTTATTGCCAAAACTGCATAGAAAAAAATGAAAATTTACTATTTGAGAAAAGCACTTTTCTAAGGCGTCGGACAGACTGGCGTCATGATATTCTATTCTGTGGGAATAATTTTATATAGACAAGAATTTCATCATAATTAAATTTTTCAATTTCAATTCCGCATTCTTATCAATGTGATAAGCTTGAATTTATTACAATATTTTTGGGGGTCCTCGGTTTTAATTTTTTCGAACTTATTGAAGATTAAATGGAATTTAGAGAATTTTTGAGATTCAACCTGTAATTCTTATTTAATCCAAGACTACCCTATACCCAAATTATTATTATTTATACATCCAAGGCCTATCAAATGCTGAAGAAGGCGAGGAGAGTGAAGAATTACAAAGAAAAGTAGAAGAACTATCTTTAGTACCCGATGATAAGGTATTTATCCATTCCGTTAATGATTCAAGAATGGTAACATGTATTGGAAATGATGTAAAATGGAGAAGTGCAAATGGAAGTTATGTAGATACTTATAATCAAATGGAACGAATACATGTTGAGGATTTCAGTTCGCCCTTTAGCGATAATCAACAATTGAGATTAATTTTTAAGGAAATTTATGAAATGGATCATGGGGATTGGTCATGTGTTGGAATATATGAGGAAAAGTCGTTTACGTTATTTGTCTATGGTAAGTTTTGTGGATTAATAATTGATGTGATATGAAGCACGCAATATCATATAAATTTTATTGCACAGTTCCAGTTGAATTTGTGCCAGTGCAGCAATCGATAACAGTCAATGAACTTCAAAATGTAAAATTAAGTTGTGAAGCTCTTGGAAGACCGGCACCAGAAATCAGTTGGATGTTTAATGGAATACGAATAGCTGGTAATTTATTGTTTGATTTAAATTGGTAAATATTTGAGGAAAATATATTTTGGGATGGGATATAAATTATTAGCATGCCTTGGGAGAATTTTCGCATTAAGCTTCTTCTTGTTTACAATAAAAGACTCTGGATGAATAAACATGATAATATTATTTTTAAACTTGCTTGAACCTCATTCCAAACATTTAAGATGATTTATACCAATCTATAGATACAGACGAATCAACTTCAGAAAGTCGTCACATACAGCTTTCAGACGGACTCTATATTAAGAACGTAACTAGAAAAGATGCGGGAGACTATACATGCAAAGCATTCCAACTATCCTCAAAGCTGTCATATTTCAAAGATCAGACAATTCAACTTGATGTTAAGTGTAATTAGAAAGATTATTTTTATATTTCTTTTAAACAGGATTTAGTCTTATTAATCTTATTGTCTACACATGCTTGATTTCAGTTAAACCAGAAATATTGAATACACAACGGACACTTTCAAATGGATTGTATAATTCATCATCGGGAATCACTACAAAATATACATTTTTAAATGCTTCAGTAATTCTGACATGCGAAGTAAATGGAGATCCACAGCCTAAAATTCTCTGGTATCATCGAGGAAAATTGGTACACAAAAGTAACATTGAACATAAAAATAACTTATCAACTTTAAAAGTAAGTCACCCGTATACTTTATATCAGAAAAATTATCATATAACATTTTAATTCTACTTAGATCCATATCCATTCCAACAAAAGCTTTGATGACTACAAATGTGTAGCAAAAAATGATTTAGGTGACGCTGTATCATTATTCACAGTAAAACCAGGAATTAGACCTGAACCACCAACAAAACTAAAATTGATTGGAACTGGTGATCAAGTCATTGATCTTGATATAGGAGCTAAGCAACCAAATTTAACTGCAGATATTTTTGCAATCACTAAGTATAGATTTGAAGTTATGAGCAAGGATGATTATGATTATGAGGGAGATTGGAAAAACTACAATATAACAGATGTTGAGGCACGAAGTAATGTCACATACTTGATCACACAATTAGCACCAAATACAACTTATTTAGTTCGGGTTGCATCCATAAATCTTGTTGGATTAAGTGAACGAACTGAAATGCAAGAATTCACAACTCTTGCTGAGGCGCCAAGAAAGACACAAAATGAACCTGATTCTGCTGTACAGAATTTTTCAGGCTTTGGACTTGTGATGCTGGGAGTTTTGTTAAATTTGATGTATTAATGCACTTACAGATGAATTTAGATTAATTAAAACAAGATCATTTAAAGTGGATATAAATAATTTGATCATGTAATGCAAACATTTCAACTAGTCAGATGTCTGTTAACAATTATCTCGTTCATAAGTAATTTACTGAGTTGCACATGAGCCCAACAATAATAATAAATTTACCGACTTTAAATGTATTACATTGTTATTAGCAAAGTAGCGACTGTAAAATCTGTATTGACTATGAATCAATCCTCATTGCACTTTACATGCTGCTTACCGCATGACCTTGATAATGAAACTAAAAACTTGTTTTCTGTAGGAACTTTATGCTGAGCAATAAACCAATCATATGATGACAATAATTAAAGAAGAAAGTTCTAAGTATTTATTTTAATTTTCAGTCGTTCTTCAAGATCACAGAATTAAGTCACATAGAAATAATTCGGTTACACAATACGCCCTCAAGTGCTAGAAACAATAAGACTTATAACATATTGTTATTTAAGATCCGGACATGTTTTTTCTCTCTCACTCAAAGTGTCACCTTTTTGGGCATTTGACAATTGATTTTTGTAATAAGTAAGATCTTTGTCGCTGTTATTGTTCGTTGAAGTATATCAAGCACTAGAATCGACGGTTATTAAATGAACTATTAGCTTTTAATCTGTCATTCATGAATGTATCCCCATTAAGAATCATAAATGAGAAAGAATAAAGTTTCAGGGTTGAATTTCTGTCGTGACTAGTTGATATGAATGTGACTGAACCAACCAAAGCACAATGATACATTGCTCAAAAAATCAGTCCTTAATATAAAGGATAAACATGATTTTTTACCAAAAGTTTGTAAATGATCAAATTTTGTATGAAAATTTATACAAACTTTGATCGCAAATATCTCGAAAACGGCATCAAACGGCATGTTCACAGCAATACGGAAGATAGATTTAAGCTTAATCGATTGGTTTATATAGGTTTCAGAGAGGACTTTTGAAGACTTTTTAACTTATGAAAAGTTTAAGTTTTGTAAAAATACTCAGATTTCAATTGGACTTTTAAGACTTAATAAGCAGTTTTCTATTGAGTTGGTTGTTTTAATATGTAAAGCTAAGCTTAAATTAGCTAGCAACTGGTTCCAAGACATTCATATAACAAATTAAAGTAGAAAAAATCATATTTTTTTTTCATACTCAAATTGTAAACAAATTTTGAATGAGATTAAAATAATGATTTCTGGAGTTAGACAGCAACTAGGAACGAGATATTTTTAAAAGATATGCATAAAGGTAAGATCTTTAATCTGGCATTTAAAAGACAAAGTTTAATTAACATGAAATTTTTGAATTTTTGAACATTTTTTTCGATTCTGAATCATTGAGCAAAGTCAAGAAAAATTATTTTGGAAGCTTTTTGGTTGACAATATTTATTATAGCATTTCTACTCAGTGTTGCAAATGTTGATGTCTATACTAGATGAAGAATGTAGATTCTTCAATAGTTTTTGTCTAGCTAAGAAACTTTCTTCATAAAGATCGATTCTATATGAAGATAGAAAATCTAATCTACACAAAGATTATTTCTACATAAAGATTCTGTCTACATAAAGATTCGATGTAGATGTCTACAATTCTACATTTTTTCCAGGTCTACATCAGAGAAGAATGTAGAATTGTAGACATCAACATCGAATCTTTATGTAGACAGATTCTTTATGTAGAAATAATCTTTGTGTAGATTAGATTTTCTATCTTCATGTAGAATCGATCTTTATGAAGAAATTTCTGTCTCAGAATTTATCTGATCCAGACAAATGGACAGAATGCAACACTGTTTCTACTCAACACTCTAAAGTAATAACAACTCTGATCAGTAGAAGCAATATTATGTCACATCAAGATCTCAAAACTTCCTTATTGAACGATAAATATCGTTATTAATTTTTAAGCGTACATGTAAATGTGATTAAAGCGATACGAATATAGAACAATAGAAAATGAGAATAAGAAAAAATGGAACAGATCTGGAAATTGAATAATCACCTAAACTTGTTTTTTGATTCTTCGCCCTTGAACTTGCAAAAATGGTCTTTGTTTTCGTTCCCTATTTAATTTGAATACGCGTAAGTATTATTTCGCGACAGTATAAAAGATCTTGTGTTTCAATCGAAATCATCAGTAACTTTTCAAAAGTCTTCAAGAAATCATCTAGAAAAGCTCAAAAAAACAATCAAAATGTTCAAGACAGTAAGTTATAAATTTAATTAAAATTTGTAGAACATACGAAACTATTTAACCATCTTATATAATCTCACAGTTGATTCTCGCTTTCGCTATCTTCGCTGTTGCCTTCGCAATTCCAGCTCCAGCTGAACGTCAAGAACGTGCTGCTGTCTACTCAGCATATAGTGCTCTTCCATACTCAGCATACCCAACATATTCAGCTTACGGCTCATATCCAACAGCTTACTCAGCTTATTCACCATACACCTATGGTGGATATTACGGAGCTGTTCCAGCAGTCAGATATGTCTAAAATGGAACTTTTAACTTCTCTTGCTTTGTATAAATTTCGACTCTGATAACTTCTTTCCGGACATGTCATAAATCCAATAAATACTTTTCAAACTTAAAACTATTCTGTGTTTCTAGTCAGTTCCACCTGTTTTTTTTTTCAGTAGGTATCTTAAATCAATCTCGAATAATTAGCATCATCGTGCAAAATTATTTTATAGTTCTAATGATTCGCTAAATAGATGATTGAATGAATGAGCAGTGCTGGATAATTAATCATTTAAATTAAGCATAACTTGTTGAATTAAAATTTTGGTAAAACAAAATAAATCATTTTTTGAGATTAGAATAATAAACCTTAAAAGGTTAATCGTCCATAAGCCGACACTATTGAGTTACTTACTCGTTTTAATGCCTTTAAAGTGCGAAAATCTACACATTTAGTAAAAAGAATTCAATTTCAGTCATAAAACTACATAAATATTGGTTTTCGTTTTGATAGACCACAATTAGTAATTAGATCTAGATATTTAAGCAATAAAAAATTCTGAGCAACTTAAATTTGACTGACTCATCTCCAAACAAAATTGTAACTGAATTGATCGTAATTCTTTTCATCAGAAAAATGCTTTATAATCGATTCCATTTAAACAGACATTTTGCAAGCATGATAGGCAATTTACTGTGAAATTCAACTTAAAAAGATAAGCTTCCGCGTACAGAACAAAGATGAGATTCCAAGAAAATACGTTAGGGTCATTTACTAATGGTATCATTCAAAAATTTGAACTTAGACTTCTTCCTCCCTTCAATTTTCAAACTAAAACTCATCCCCAGATCAGTCACTGTCTGGTATTTTTGACGTTCAGCATCTCATTACATCACTTGTGGTCGAACAATGATGTCGTAATGTGATAAGTAATTAATCTAATTCACTGAGCATTTATTCAACATCTGTTCCCTTATTTCTAGATAGAACAATGTACAATTTACAATGATAATTACAGGCGTGAATACATTTATATTCATAAAGATGCAATTGGAAACAAGAATCTTTGAGGTAGTCGCTATATTGGAATATTTTGTTTGTGTTAAACACGGAATATTTTGCATATGAACTTCACTATAAATAGATTGTTCTAATCGCCCTTTTGTATCAGTTAATTCAAGCATCTCAAAGCATCAGCTTCTCCAGTCAAACTAGAAAATTTCAAAAACCATTCAAAATGTTCAAAATTGTAAGTAGAATTTTAAAAGTTTAAAGAATTATTTTATTAAAGCAGTAAAATTATTTTATCTTAGGCCATTGTTGTTCTTGCTGTCGTTGCATGTGTTTTGGCTTCACCAGCTCCTGAACCAAATCCACAATACGTTTATACATCAAACTATGGATATCCAGCTGCATATTCTTATGCAAATGTTGTTCGTGCTGCACCATACACTTATGCACGTCTCGGATATCCATATTACAACACCTATCCATATAATTCATATGCTTACGTTGGTTAAATGTCAGAAATGTTCAACTTTAATTTTCAAATAAATAAAAATTGAACGTTTAGAAGAAAATATAAGCTTTTATTTTTGAAAAAGCTTTTTAAAAGCTTTCGAGCTTTATGCTTTCGTTAAGTTTTTACAGGGCTGTTTAGTGGAAAACTTTGATTGCATTGCAAAAATTTTCTTTTTGACGAATTCAACACTGGAAAAATCTTTTCGTTAAAAAATAATCGCAAATTGCAATAAACATAAAATCGAGAGAATATCTTTAGTTTTTCAATATTTTCGCGTTAATTAAACGAAATGTTCTTAATGAACAGGTGCTAGTTGTTCTGCCAATTCCTTGGCGACAGTTTGTAACGATTGTTGTTAAAAGAATGTTACTTAAAATCGGAAAAATAGTATTAGCGATAGTTCTAAGTTTCACGTTTACATTTTCATTGTGGAAACTTATCATTTGTATTCATACCAAGTATTTTGACGACTTCAATTCACACACAGTTGATAATTGGCTTGAAGATAATGAGTTGGGAGCATATAAGAAATTGTTTCGTGATTTGGGTGAGTAAATTATATGAAACTTTTAATTTTCTTCCTCAACCATAAACTAATTTAAAGAACTATAAAATTTTTACACATTTCTATCCTTGACACAAATATCAATAATATCGCGCTGTCTCGTCACTCGATTATATTCTATTGCATAGTTTGGTATGAACTGATTCTTTTGTTTAATTCGTTTTGTCTTAATGGATTCAAAATCAATCTTTAGAGTTTATGGACTAAATCTAACATCGTTGTCACTTTTATAAACTTTCTTATTGCTATTGTATGCTTCACTCGTGTTCTTATGAATATTTAATCGACATAACAAGTCAATTCAATGAATTTTTAATCGAATGTTATCTTGGCCATAAGATGTGTTACAAATGTGAATTTCAGCACAGTGTTGATATTTAGTTGTTGTCTTTAATATGTTTTATCTGACTTAAAACATAACAGCTCACATTACTTCTTCTGAGCTGCTCTTTGTTCTCTCTAAGATATAAGTTTTGCAAACCGGTATGAACATTTGGATTAAAAACACTGTGTACGACTTTATTCAACCCAGAGTATATCCATTATTGAAAATAAAAGTCACGATGCGTTGTAGTCGCATTTCCTTGGTAACTTTTCAACAAACGGCTTGTTCTACTATCTGTGTATTGTTTCATACTTTAAAAAAAAAACAATAAACATGCTTCGTGCAACCGAATAGAAACCCCAATTCAATTATAGTAGAATATAAAAATCATTTTTTCGAAATTGTGCTTATCAAATCTAATATCTTAATGGGGTAATTTATCGTGAAAAATTTAATGCAATTTTCAGTCCCCATATACTTACTTTCGGAATCGGAGGTATTGTTTGTTATATCATTGAAAATACTCATGAAAATCAAAAAGTTTGGTGGAAGGCTCGTAAAAGTTTCGTAAATAGAGCTCATGGATATTAATTGTTGAACAGTCTAAATCCAACAGGTTATAAAAATTTAATGTTTGTTCTTTTGATAAGTTCCATTTAGCCAAACTTGTGTGAATATAATAGTGCTGTCATTTTTTGAATATCATGCATACAATTATTATTTTAAGGTGAACGGTGCATTAATCATTTACAAAGTTTTATTTTTTGGCATGTAATCATTATCAAGGCTCCTTTTTTACATGTTTGGTATAAACAAATACAAAACTATTGTAAATAATATTTCTGTGTCTTCATGTAAATTGCCTCCTTGACACGCTCATTCCGTTCACTTAATCATCTATTTAATGATATTTAATAGATCCATAATAAGAAAGTGTTTAGCAAAATGTTTTTGTATACATTAGCACATTTTTAACGAAAGCTTTTACTGTGTGTATTACTATATCTGCGCATGTTTTCGTCATGAATGAAAGAGAAAAATTGTGGAAGAGAAAACAACATCAGTGGTAGCGGATTTTGATTTTTAATGAACGATTTATGTTAATATCCAACATTTGCTGCGGTTTTAAGGTCATTTTGGTTCAATGATTGGATTTATCGAGGGAAATTTGAATGCATTGCATGTCAATCTGTTCTATAGACTCATGTTCATAGAATAGGAATATTGATAACAATAATTTTAACATGCTGCAATGTATGAAATTGATCATATAAGTCATTCCAAGAGTTGAGCAAAATTAATATTTTTAATCGAAAGACCCTCAAAGGATTGACCTTATAACAACAATATACGAGTAAGGAGACAAAGCAATCATTTAGAGCAATTTTGTGACACATGGCAGTGTCGAAAATAATTCAAAGTCTATTGATTTTCAATTTATTGTAATTTTTAAATCAATAACAATTTAGTTCCATCATCGTATTTTGTTGAAAGCTATTTGTATAATAGACAAAAAAAAATAGACTCTCAATGTGAGCACATGTGACAATCATCAGATGTGTTTGTAAATACCATGTGCTTTTTGCGCTTTTCATTAAGTAAACATGAAGTCTCGAGTATCTCAAATGCTCTTATCTCTCACACAATAGACAAGTTATGCTCACATCTCTCTAAAGCTTTCATATCAAGCAATGTGCTTTCCTGTAAGGGAAAAAAACGCTAAGCTTTCGTCAGTCTCTTAAAGCTAGTCGACACAATCGGACGTGGAAATTATTTAAGCTCCATTTTGTTCACTTTTTCCTTTTTCTGACGCCCTAAAAATTATTGAAAAAAAGTTTTTTTCTTTTTTTCTTTCATTTCAACCCGAAAATTTATAATAAAATCAGACTTAACTCTAATTAAATTTGATAATCATATGTGTGTGGAAAGAAATTGATGGGTAATTTTGAAAATTCGATTACCGAAAATTGTGATTTTATGCCAAGTGAAAAATAATATGAAATTGAGCAGAAAATTTTCAGGACGAGGTTGGATGTTATGTTGAAATCTGAATATTTTGTGTAAAAAAAACTTTTCTTCTTGTCTCTCTCTAGAGATAGAGTGTGATGTGACAGGATCTTTTTTATATTAAATAAACACAAGAATTATAGACTCAAATGAAGGTGAAATGGATATAAATGTTTGATTAAATAATTTAAATTAGAGAATAAAAAGGAACTGAAATTTAGTAAGAAGAGAAAGAGAAAAAAGGAAATTTAATTAGACAATGTCACGAACACAGCAAATTGTGGATATAAATTGAATAAAAATACCTAGCCGGATAATTTGTTGGTTCTTATCATTGTGATATGTATTTAAAAAATTATTGTGTGTTTTCAAGAGCACAGTAGCAAGATAATTAAAGTCGAGTTCAGGGATATTAAAAAATTTATGTGAATAAAAGCTCATTTCTGTGATTCCTTTATACAGCAGTAACAATACAAAATTAATCAAGTTATTGTGATAAGTGCAATAAAATGGATGTGGAAATACAATTTGAGAGAATTTTTATTATTTTTTCTTGTGGAATTCCATAGCAACTAGAAGAAGAATAACAAAAGAACTTTTATTAATTTTTATCTAAGCTACACTCTCTCCTCCTCATCGTCGTCTACATTTCTGTTGAAATGAAGTTAATTAAAGATGATAAATATTTATTCAGTCAAAAGTAGGAAAAGAGTTCCTTCTTTGGATGTGAATTGTATGATAAAAGCGGCATTGTTATAGCTATAAAAAATGAACCCCAAAAATATATAGCAAGTGAGTCAACAGCGCCATTTAGAAGTAGATATCACTGTTCAAACACAGACATTTAATATTGCGAATGGAAAAAAGGCACAAAACAGTGAATTATTTTAATTTGAACTTGAAACGCACAGTCTTGGGTAGATATACTTTGAACGCAAATATTAAGGAACAAATACGATTTATTGACACTTTGGAACTGATTTTATTCATTTCTAGAATTGGTTTCTTCAGGAAACTGGACATTACCTTTTTAGTTTAATCCAAAGATCAAGCATTACAGTTAGCAACTTGATCCAGAAAACATAGAGATTTGAAATTTTACTTTACATTTTCTGAAAAACCAAGCATTTACCTCGTTAAACTTTATCTCAAAATGATTCAGTTCCTCACACTTTTAAGATTCCCAACCATAAAATTTAAATTCAATTTACTGATCATTTACCACATAAATTTGCGTTTAAGTATATCTACCTGCACAACTTTTTAACCAATTTCCTTTGCATATAGATGTTGGAAATATATTAAAGCATAAAAAAGGATAAATGCAAGAAGAAGGAACCATGTGTATACATACAAGACCATAAAAATTATTGATTCACAAAAAAAAAAGCATAGAAGAGAAGTTGTGGTAGAGAAATCAGACATTAACAAGAGAAATCTATTCAATATGCAATAACGATAATAATAATAATATTGAATTCATATTACGACATATTTTGTGCTGCCTATATTTTTTTGACATTTTCTTTTTCTAACGAGTAAATAAAGACAAAAGCAAAAATCAGCATAGCGAGGCTAAAGGAATCTTTATGCTCAATTTGATATTCTACTAAAAAGCAATACTTACAAAATTCTTATATAAACTAGCAATAATAATATTTAGAGATATAAAAGGCACAAAGCATATCTTTCTTCTCATTTTTCCGTCCCATTCTATAATATACTTTCTAAAAGCAACAAAAAGAAAGAATCAAGAACTTGAAGAAAGTTTATAAAACATTCATCGAACGCAGCAAAAATAATGTATATACACAATCTATGCTTTCGTGTTTGGAAACAGTCGAACGACGAAGATTGAACAATACGAAGTGAAGCGAAAGCTCTTTTTGTAATTTATCAATCATTCTCGCGTTTCGTGTGTGAGCATTGAGCTGTAGATGCAAAAAGGCAAAAGGAATAAAATAGAATCTTGAGCGTGTGAAATTTAGTGTGCTTTTGGTATTGAAACTCAATGGAATAAATTCTTGAGTCGTGCAAGAAAAAAAAAAAAACAAAAACATTTAAATAACAGGAAAGAAACTCGATTGTTTGACATCACTAAAAGTGAATTTTATTTATTTAATAAATGTGATAGGATAAAGCATTTGCACAACATACCGTGTATTTACAATTTAAAATAGAGATATTAAAATAAATAAAGTTTATACTTAAAAAATATATACAAATATACAGCGCAACACAATGTGGTCCCCAGAGTCAGAAATTAATTCAATTGGAATGACTACTATGCGACATTCTATTTCGGCCTCATCGGGTGAGTTTTTCCTCTCATTCTCATTCTATTTTTTCCCAACCTTTAACTTTCATGTTGGACGGCAATGTAATGAATAAATAAATGCTGAAATTACGTTTTTTTGTTGTTGTCGTCGAGGTATTAAATAGATTCTTTCTATGAAACTATCGTGAACGAGAATATCATGCTACGAGCACTACATTTTCAATATTCTGTAAACTGAAAGAAGAATGGACTTATCTTTTGTACAAAATCTATCACATACACTTATGGATGAGGAATCATTACATAATGTTTATTTTTGTGCTTTATCATGGCCATTACATGTTGGACTTGAAGGAATCAATACTTAGAGACTTTAATTGGATTTCTATATTAGAGATGATATTTTTAAGACTTGATTCTATTGGGAGTTCTCTGGATTACAAAACTTACTAAAACTTTTTGTATGAAATTTCAAGTGACATCCGTCCTTAAAAGTGTGGAATGGTTTTAGTGATGAAAAAAAGCTTGAGAAGATTATGCAAATTCATTTATTATTGTAAAGTGATGTTGAGTTTTGTGGATGATTTATAAAAGCCAAGTATAGACATCGAATGTAGATATCGATCAATATTTCACTAATCCTTCAGATGATTGCATGCCTATACCTTACTAAAAATAAACAACATAGTAAATAACGTTCAAATCATAAGATAGAATTGTTTTTTGTGCTTGAAGGAAAATTAGAGCTTGACTTTTTCGATTGATTTTTGAGATAACTTTTCAATAATTTGTTTATGTTATGTTGCTAAAAATGAGAAATTCTCTAGTTCTATTCGCAAAATGAAACAATTCTCCAGGGCACATCAACATTGTTCAATCAGGAGCTAGTCTTTTGTTAGCCATAAAAATAACTTTAATATCCACATTAAATTTCATAAAAATGCCATAAAAACCTCACCAGAATGAATATTCAACAAATTTCACTTAAATGCGGAAGATCAAAGCAGGAAGGTTGTGGAAAGTGTATTGTATTACACTTAACCTTTAAAATGTAATAGTGCATCAGCATGCACTTGCTATTCAGCATGTGGGAAATTTATTCACCAGTTTTATTACTTCATTGCATTTTTTACGCTACTTACTTCAATAAATTTCTCATAATCTTGTGTTGGATTTCATTTAAAATTCCACAAAATTTACATTAGAAGCATTTGAATAGTAAACATTATCAATTAGAGTTTGTTTAGTGTTTTGTGGATATAATTACAAAGTTTGAGGAAAAAAATCATTTGTAAAAAACACGTGGACGCTTTAATTATAACAACTGTTAATTAGTTGAATTGCCTGTAGTTCTTATAATTTGTTTATCTTCTTTTCACTTCCTTATTACTTCTCGTTCTTATTATTTTATGAAAACATATTGATTTTATGATTTATTTCTTACTAGTTCTTATACTGTATCTATATCAATACCCTTTAATGTCATAAATTTACGATTCTTTTCAAGATAGTAAACAGATATATTTTTTCCTTAAACTGAAAGTATCTGTTCTTTGATTCCGGCAATGCACCCAATTTTATTTTAAATTTCACAGTAATTAAAAATGATTCAGATAGTCACTTGAGCTGATAAAACGAATAAATCAAAGTGTTTTATCAAAGTTATCGATAACAAGTCATTTCTTTCCCAAAAGTTTAAGTTAATGTAATTAAAAAATTTCCCAGTATACTTGAATGAAATTATTACGTTGACAGGTGGTACTTAGCAGAAATCAGTCGATTTGACAGGTGGTAAAAGAGGAATCTCCAAATCACATTTTTAATTGACGTCATTAAGTGTTTTGAACCTAAAATATATGATTAACAGCAATGATATCAATTTAATCTCCGCGTGTTTTCTTTTTGTTTTTTTATTTCAATAATCTGTAGCAAAAACATTGAGCATAGTTACTGGCAACAATAAGTAAACTGATTTAAGAAATAAACAATTTCATATTCTGAGAAAAGTTGTAACTTAGAAAGTATCATGAAAAATCACAAATCAGCAGTAAATCAAGTGCTATTAATAATTCAGCAGTAATCAAGTCATTCTATATTTCATTCCTACTGCAAATTGACTATACAACTCTCAAAAGTGACAAAGTAACATTTCAAAAGAATTCTCATCTTTTTTAATCAATCTCTGAAGCACTTTCTACAGCCAGAGAAAGAGAAAAAAAAATGTTTCATTAAAAAGCACAAACCAGTTTGTTAATACTGCAATGGAAGTAGAAAATCGATTTTTACAATTTTCATTTCCCATTATTTGATGAATTTTTAATTCACTTGAAATTTAATTTCCTTCATTTCTCATTTAAATAATTTTTTCTGTGTAATGAATTTACATAATTTTTGCCAAGCTTTATTTTATCATACTCATCATCATCATCATCATCATCATTTGTAGATATGAACTTGCTCATGAATTCCTGCCAGACATTATCTCGATGAACTCTCTCAAAAAAAAAACAGCGATTGCTGTAAATTCCCACTTAATTAAAAGCTATGCAAGAGTCGTTAGAAATGAAATAAAAGTGGCAAGGATATAAAGATCAAAAGTTTACATAAACATGCATTAGCACACACAAAGTGAGATTATGACAGAACAGAGAAAGAAATGAAAAGGCTGTTGAGTAGTCTCTTGATGTTTCATTATATAACATTCATGCAGTTGCATATTGAATGTTTGCCAAACAGCAGAACAAATTGCACATTCAAAAAAATGTTGTTGTCACTTAAGTGGCCCGATTTTCTCATATCCTTTTCCTTTTGGTCCTGAAAGATTTTCCATTTAAATAATGAAATAATATTATCACTATGAAGCTCTCCTTTCTCTCGAAAAGCTCGTTTGATAAATTGTCTTAGAGTGGGCATTTTTCCAACTGCACACACATAGACAATCCGAGAAAAAAAAATGAGAAAGCTTAAAAGAAATGAAAAATAAACTTTGCACGAAAAGTTGAATAAATTGTCGCAATTTAACAGAATACGATGGAATGTTAGCTGTCTTTATTATGTTCCCATGTGTAGTGCTAGAAGCTGATTCTTTTCATTGTCGTTTTGGGTGGCTGAGTTGGTCTAAGATAAGCTATTTTTTTTTGGGGTAGTGTCATTTCAATTGCTTGCTGTTTCTACTTAAAAATATTTTTTTAGGTTGTATTGTCTTGTACTAAAGCTGGACTAAAGCTTAATTGTTTTTTGTTGCTCTCGGTTTCTAATTTGTCTTTTTGATTGCCAATTTTGGTTTCTATCACATGAAGCTTTTTCCTAATAATCAGATCTCGTGAGATCTCAAAGTATTACCATATTCTAGTAAATTTCTGATTTAGTCACGTGTTTTGGAATCTTAACTCATTTTAAAGGTAATGCGTCTACAACAATTCATGAGAATATAAATTTCAGTGAGGATATTCATACCAATTTTCTCTCTTCATTTCTTTCTTTTGTCGTCGAATGACTTTTAAAAATACAGACATAGAAAATGAAAGAAAAGAAGGATTTCTCTATGCCTTGAATTGACATTGACATTAAAATTTATCGCAGTCGGAAATATTTCTACATATGCTTGGCTTTCAACTTTTTCTTATGTTATTTTATGCTTTTCTTTATTTTTTTTTACCCTAAAATAACGACAAAAAAAGGTATTTCAACATTATCGAGTTGTGGAAATCCGGAAGCGTTACCTGAATTGCCACCTGGCGATGAGCATAGGCTGCAGAGAGCCGCCTTAAATCTTCAACAAAAGCTTATTTTACGAGAATGGCTCAAGGAAAATCGTCTACAAAGCTATTATTCTAGGTAATGTACTTGAGTTGTGATGTAATTTATATGCCATAGTGCAGAAAGCTTCACAGATGATAGATATGTTTACGTATATGTTTGAAAATTTAAGACATCTTTTTATTTGTGATGTAAATTTAGATTGATTGCAACTGAAGTAACATCATTAGAGGATGTATACTGGCTAGAGGATTCACGAGCTATGCAAATATTAGGAAAAGATTTTACGATATGGAATCAAGTCCGTCAAAAACTACCCACATCAAAATCTCAATTAGAAGCTTTGAAAGCGGAACTATGGTCGACCGTTGTAAAATCATCAAATCATCAGGATGCATGGACGTATGGAGGGATGCTGGTTGTATCCGTATCTGTAGCTGGTTTGGTAAATATCTACAAATATCCATTTTAAATTGGAATTGAATGACTAATCAAAAACCATTTAAAAATAGATAACCTTGGCTGCAATGACAGATCAATCGCTAGCACCCGAAGCACGACATTCATTATTACAATATGTTACGGGAAAATATTTAATGCCATCAAATTGCCGAGTCGAATGGAATTTTGATGATCCATCACCCGTTGGACATACATTTAGTTTTATAGTGAGATTTTTTCAACGTAATGGTAATTCATATCCAATTTGTGATAGAGACGAAGTAGCTGTAGAGGTAACAGCAGAAGGTACAAAGAAAGTCGTTGTAATAAGTGAATTGGGCTCATCGACAGATCCCAATAATGCAAATGAAGCCAAAGTCAAGTTTAGTGTTCGTACTGCAGGACAATATAAAATTTCAATTATGATTGGTTCAACACACATTGCTGGAAGTCCATTTTTTAAGCAATTCATACCAGGTCCAATGTGCGCGAATCGATCGCGTCTCATACGTTCAACGAGTATCGTCGTTTGCCAAGCTGGTTTGCCAAATGTTTTACATATTGAGCCTAGAGATGAATACGGCAATATATGCAATTTTGACAATGATTCCGATCCAATTAAAGGATATAATGTTGAGATATACGACCTTAATGATCAAATTTCGGAAAAATTTAGTAATGCAATAACGCTAAATTATGATAAAGTGAATTCCCGTATAAATGTTATCGCATTATTTCCTGAGCCAATTTGTTTACGTGCTCGAATTAGTTACGAAGGCCAACAAATTCCGAATGCATATTTCGACATGGTTGTTCTTAGTTCGTGTGATACAACTTTGGTTCATAAGAATATTGCGTCAAGGAAACACAATATTTCTTATGACGCAAAAATTATGAGTGTCGCTGGCTTGCCAAAATCCAAGCCACGTAAAGTGATTTGTTACATTGGACCTAAGCAATTTACAATCAAAGAAATGATATTAAAGATAATCCCTAAGCGGATTGCGACATTTCGTCTATGCCCGTCCACAAAGGTAGAGAAAGTTTATTTTTGTTTTCATGTTTTTCTTTTCTTAAAACTTTTTTATTGCTCTTTCCAATCATGAAACTTGTTTTTCATAGAATGCAATCGAGCTTTTTTTTTCCTCTCAGTCTTATATATGGCTTATTTTCTTTCTACTCATGCAGTGTTATTATGTTCTTCTTTCCTATAGTCATCAGGAGAGAGAGAAAAGAACCAAAAAAAAAAAAAAATCTATTGTAGGTAGAAGAAATTAAGCCGAACAAAAGAAAAACATGATTTCTTGTTGCATAAATTTTTCATCTATTGATAGCTAGTCAAGCGTATCTTGATTAATAAATCTTTTGTTATTCTTTGCTTTTTTATGATGAGAAATTTAAGTCAAACTTTAAATCCTTGCTGAGTATTTCATATCCAGTAACCCACAAAAATATTTTGTTTTGATCAAAATGAAATTTGTATAATTTTTCCAATAATCAATTTCCTCACAGATTCATTTCCTACCAACAACACCACAATCATTATCATCGTCGTCATTGACAACTGTAGCATCAACAAATATATCATCATCAAATGGCAATAATAATTCTAGTAGTAGCAGTAGCGGTGGAACTATTTTCATAATTGATGACGGCTCACAGCCGAAAATTGAATTATCAAGTAAAGACCGTAATTTGATAGCAGCAACGTTCACACATTTCCTCATTAAAAATATTGGCGGGTCGGAATCATTTAAAGATAAACAAGATTTCTTTTATCATGAAGTGAGAAAATTTCACGGATCCAACTGTTTCCACGAGAAAATCTCTTTGAAAGTACAGCGTGAAAAGATTTTAGAGTCGAGTATGAAAGCAACGAAGAACTTTTCGGGTAACAATTGTGACATTTTTTTTATTCCTTTCTTTTTTTTTTGATCTAAAGAAACTTTTCACATTTTACATTTTTTTCTCCATTCAATTGCCATGTACATCCATCGCTCTTCCTCTTATAATCATGAATGCTACACGAACATGCAGTTTCAGATTGGTGTGGAAACTTTGAAATCACATTTCAGGGCGAACAAGGTTGGTTTGTGTCTGATAGCTCTTAACAACCTTTTCAAATTACAAACTTTTGCATATAAACATTTATTACTTCCAACAGCTATCGATTGGGGTGGTGTACGACGAGAGTTTATTGAAATTATATGTGCTGCTCTATTTGAACCCGTCGAAGGTGGATTATTTTGTACATTTCATGAGAAACGGCAGGCATTAGTTCATCCAAATCCAAATCGATTAAGTCATCTTAAATTAAAATATTACGAGTTTGCTGGAAAAATTGTTGGAAAATGCTTGTATGGTATGTAGTTCCTACATTGTACAACCGATATTCATTTAATGAAATATTTTCACATATATAGAGTGAGGGTTATTATTAAAAAATTGCTAGTTTTATCTCCTTTACCTTGCATTGGCTTGCTTTTAGCATGCAGACTATAAATTTATTAATTTTATATCCTGTTTGTGATTTATATTTTAAAACAGAGAGCGCTTTGGGCTCGTCTTATAGGCAGCTTGTTCGAGCTCGTTTCACAAGGTCGTTTTTGGCACAATTAATTGGACTACGTGTGCATTACAAACACTTTGAACAGGATGATCCAGGTATGAAAATATTTTCAGCTTTAATGTCTTTAAGCTCATTTCTTCTTGCTTTGTTCATTTCCATTTCCATAGAATTGTATATACAAAAAATAAAGTACATTCTCGACACGGATCTTGATAAGAATGAGAATGTTGAAATATATTTTGTTGAAGAAGTTTACGACACAATGGGTCAACTAATACGCACAGTGGATCTCATCCCAAATGGCTCAAAAGTAAGGGTACGGAATGAAAATAAAAGCCAATATTTAGATGCTCTTGCAACTCATCGACTATCCAACAATGTGAAAGACGAAATTGACAGCTTTTTAAAGGGATTAAACCTTATTATACCGGATAATCTCTTGAGTATATTTGACGAGAATGAACTCGAGGTACTTGTACTTTTCAGTATGAATATACACAAAAATATAATTTACATTTCATCCATTCTATCTCTTCTATCTATATAACCGAACAATGTCTCTGTCGTTTACTTTTTCATCAAAACTGTGTATAGCTGTTACTTTGTGGCACTGGAGAATATTCAATTGCAGATTTTAAAGCACATCATATCGTTAATGGATCGAATCAGGAGTTCCGTCGAGTACTCGATTGGTTCTGGGCTGCTGTTAGTAATTTTTCACAAACTGAAATGGCACGATTATTGCAATTCACCACTGGCTGCAGTCAGTTACCGCACGGAGGTTTTCAGGTCAGTTTACACAAGACAAAATCAAATAATGTTAAATAATACTCAATCAAATATTTATTTTTGCTTTTATTTACCACTCTCTTCTTCGCTTCTGTTTATTCTTTCAATCTTCTACATTTTTCATTCACAGGAACTAAATCCCAAGTTTCAAATAACTTCTGCACCAACATTTGCTAATTTGCCAACAGCTCATACTTGGTACATAATTATAAAAATTTTCCATTGGAACTCTTTGATTCTTATTTTCTTTCTTAAACCTTTTTTTATTCTTTATCGACAGTTTTAATCAATTATGCTTACCAGATTACGAAAGCTATGAGCAATTTGAACGAGCTCTTTTAATTGCCATAAGCGAAGGAAACGAAGGCTTCGGAATGAGTTAAGAAATGGATTTACATCGCAATAAATTTAAAACTTCACCTTTTTTGCGGAAAAGTAAAGGATTATAAAGCTTGTTCATAAATAACATCTATCAAAACGAGCTCTATGGAGTATCATGCAAATCCTTCTTCAAAGAAGTTTGACGTCATTTTCGAATGAATAAAAAGAAAAGTATTAAAAGTGGAATTAAGTTTCCTTATTAATAGTGAAGGCCAAGAACAGCAAGAAAGATTTCCTTAATTTCCCCACATGTAGTGTAATTGTACCTTTCATATGATTAACAATGGCCATATTTTTAAAGTTTTCAAAGAACACAAAAAATTCCGTACATTTTATGACAAGGTTGTTAAATTAAGTGTTAGGTATTTTAAAGTGAATTAGAAAGTAAAATGCAAAAGTTTTTCATTAATTTACATAACCAAATGGAAAGAAGTTCATAGGCTTCGTGGAATTTTGAAATTATATAATTGAGTGTTGGAATAGCTTTGTGGTTTAGTGGTGAGTTCTTATTATTTATGCCTAGTGCTGAGTCTCATGAGAAGTTTCACACCCAAAAGCTTGCCATTTTAAGTTTGACTCATGTTGGTTGAGCCTTTTAATATGTCAAAAAACTTATTAATTTGCGAATTCACATTTCACTTAAAGCTACAATTTAGAACCTTCGCAAAAACTCGATTCATTTGAAATTGCAAGTACATAAACTAAATCAAGCATAAAACACCTTAATTCAACATGAAAATTTAATAAGAATGTGGAAAATTTAAATGGATGAAAACTGCCTCAACAATGAATAAAAAATAATAATTAATTCAAGTAACAAGAATAGCACAAAGTGGGCGAGTAAAATAGAGAAATCATTTAAAATGCCTTACATGAAAAATAATTTTACAAAACATACAGTCATCGCTAAATACGTGTGGTAAATTTTAAGGCAAGGCAACTTTTAAAATAGAACTAAGTATCCTTGTAAGTTATACTTATCTATAATCTCATAAATACAAAAAAATTCACACACTAGGAAACATCATGGGAGTTGATTTTACTAAAGTAAACTGTTTGATTCTAAAGTTTTGTGTCTTTTGACTAAAGCTTCTTAAGCATGACTTCATGATTAGATTAAAACAACTATGGGGTCGTTCACTTATGACGTCCGAAATTAACGGTCATATTTCAAAAAAGAACAATGGATTTCCTAGAATTTCTATTGTTCTTTTCTTGCTGAACCCCCCCCCCCCCCTTGACGTCATAAGTGAACGGCCCCTAGTTTTATTTTTAAATAATATTTAAAGATTTAGAAAAATTCATGAAAATACCAAATTTAAAGCAATGATCTCTTTTGTCAAGGAAGATGCCAATAACATTTCATGTTTTTAATCCAAACTCTCAATTTTGACAAGGATCTCAGTCATTTTGAATTGCCAAATCCGGGAATTAAAGAACGTTAATTGATCTATGAACTCTATCAGTCACTCTATAGTTCAATCGCCATCAAAAAAATGTAACCCGTCCAATGGATACAGTTATAGTTTACTAGAGTAAAGTCAGCTTCTAATAAAAAATTTCACTTCTTATAAATGCGCATTCATTAAAATGTAAATTTTTCTGTGATATGAATGAAATGAGAAAAATATAAAATTATTATTGCCATACTTACACTTACATACATTACATAATATACAGTCATTACCTTAAAATAATTAAATTAATTATTAATAAAAACAAATGTAATCATTGAATTTTGAGAAGGTAAGAACTTTATAAATCAATTAAGATAGAACTTACGTAATCTCTCGAAAGAAAACCCCAAATGTATGAAGGAATAGGAATAATGATTATAATAATCTTTAAATTATTAAAAAAAAAATCATATAGCAATATTGAAAGAATGAAAATGATGCATTTTTATTATATTTAAAATAATACAGACAGGTAGCCAAACATTTTGGCATATCTGTCGATCAATAATTGAAGAAAGCATTCCCTTGAATAGGTTATTAGCATTAGGATATTGCTACATATTGATATGTTTAAGAGTTTAGTTGAGAAAATGTTTGTAGGGATAAAATTATGTCAATCATATTAATCACTTATCACCCGCACAGCTAAAGTCGTCCACAAGTATTAACTTTAGCAATCTAATGGACGCTTCTTTGTGTGCGGACATCCTTTAAGCAATTTTTTAAAAGGCAAAATTTTAAATTTTTTCAAAAATGCTTTACGATTCCAATTAAATTGGCAAGAAAAATTTGTTTATAGATGAAAAAATTAAGATTGTAGATATTTTATTAAGTAACAACTAGTGTATCGGGTAGAAACCCAATGCGGATATATTCACACCATACCATCAAAAGTCTTATGGATAGACCAAGATTTGCTCAGCATAAGTTTGAAGGGTTGGCGTGAAGTACGGACGAGACCCATATCGACACAGTTCAAAAGTTATACCTAATTTATGTCATAATTATGTCAGCTACAAAAACACTAAGTTTGAATTTTGTCACCCTCGGGAACACTATGAACAAGTATAGCTGATTTTGGTCCAAATCTCGGCCATACTTCACACTTATTTGAACCACATTTTCTCGTAAATCTTAAAATATCATTAAAAAGTTATTAATCCTGAATTATGTCGCTATTTTGTCAAGTGTTTTAAGATAAAGAATTTGTTTTTTGGTTTCCACAGTGAAGAGTATGAACAAAATTCAGATGGGATAGTCGAAATTTTAGATTTAGATTTTTTAAGCTATGCATTACAAAAAGTAATATTGGTATTTGATTTATGTCAATTCAAATAAAATATCCAAAAAATTTTTTTGACTAAAGTTCACCATAGAAAATCAATTTTCAATTTTGGACTAGGGACGATCCTAGTCAAAATCAATTTTGTCACTTTTTTCTTTGAGGGTTTATCCGAATGGATTGAAACTTTGCATAAATATTCAAGTGCTTAAAACAAATACAAATAAAACATCCTAAAATTTTTTTGAGCAAAGAACCAAGAAGGAAATACATTTTCAATTTTGGACTAGGGACGACCCTAGTCAAAATCAATTTTGTCACTTTATTCTTCGAGGGTTTATCCAAATGTATTGAAACTTTGCATAAATATTCAAGTGCTTAAAACAAAAACAAATAAAACATCCTAAAATTTTTTTTGAGCAAAGATGCAAGTAGGAAATACATTTTTAATTTTGGACTAGGGGCGACCCTAGTCAAAATCAATTTTGTCACTTTATTCTTCGAGGGTTTATCCAAATGGATTCAAACTTTGCATAAATATCTAGTGCTTAAAACAAATACAAATAAAACATCCTAAAATGTTTTTGAGCAAAGAACCAAGCAGGAAATACATTTTCAATTTTGGACTAGGGGCGACCTTAGTCAAAATCAATTTTGTCACTTTTTTCTTCGATGGTTTATCCAAATGGATTGAAACTTTGCATAAATATTCTAGTGCTTAAAACAAATACAAATAAAACATCCTAAAATTTTTTTGAGCAAAGATTCAATTTTGGACTAGGGACGACCCTAGTCTAAATCAATTTTCTCACTTTATTCTTCGAGGGTTTATCCAAATGGATTGAAACTTTGCATAAATATTTAAGTGCTTAAAAAAAATACAAATAAAACATCTTAAAATTGTTTTGAGCAAAGAGCCAAGTAGGAAATACATTTTCAATTTTGGACTAGGGACGACCCTAGTCAAAATCAATTTTGTCACTTTTTTCTTTGAGGGTTTATCCAAATGGATTGAAACTTTGCATAAATATTCAAGTGCTTAAACAAATACAAATAAAATATCCTAAAATTTTTTTGAGCAAAGAACCAAGTAGGAAATACATTTTCAATTTTGGACTAGGGACGACCCTAGTCAAAATCAATTTTGTCACTTTATTCTTCGAGGGTTTATCCAAATGGATTGAAACTTTGCATAAATATTCAAGTGCTTAAAACAAATACAAATAAAACATCCTAAAATTTTTTTGAGCAAAGATTCAATTTTGGACTAGGGACGACCCTAGTCAAAATCAATTTTGTCACTTTTTTCTTTGAGGGTTTATCCAAATGGATTGAAACTTTGCATAAATATTCAAGTGCTTAAAACAAATACAAATAAAACATCCTAAAATTTTTTTGAGCAAAGATTCAATTTTGGACTAGGGACGACCCTAGTCTAAATCAATTTTCTCACTTTATTCTTCGAGGGTTTATCCAAATGGATTGAAACTTTGCATAAATATTTAAGTGCTTAAAAAAAATACAAATAAAACATCTTAAAATTGTTTTGAGCAAAGAGCCAAGTAGGAAATACATTTTCAATTTTGGACTAGGGACGACCCTAGTCAAAATCAATTTTGTCACTTTTTTCTTTGAGGGTTTATCCAAATGGATTGAAACTTTGCATAAATATTCAAGTGCTTAAACAAATACAAATAAAATATCCTAAAATTTTTTTGAGCAAAGAACCAAGTAGGAAATACATTTTCAATTTTGGACTAGGGACGACCCTAGTCAAAATCAATTTTGTCACTTTATTCTTCGAGGGTTTATCCAAATGGATTGAAACTTTGCATAAATATTCAAGTGCTTAAAAAAAAAACAAATAAAACATCCTAAAATTTTTTTTGAGCAAAGATGCAAGTAGGAAATACATTTTTAATTTTGGACTAGGGGCGACCCTAGTCAAAATCAATTTTGTCACTTTATTCTTCGAGGGTTTATCCAAATGGATTCAAACTTTGCATAAATATCTAGTGCTTAAAACAAATACAAATAAAACATCCTAAAATGTTTTTGAGCAAAGAACCAAGCAGGAAATACATTTTCAATTTTGGACTAGGGGCGACCTTAGTCAAAATCAATTTTGTCACTTTTTTCTTCGATGGTTTATCCAAATAGATTGAAACTTTGCATAAATATTCTAGTGCTTAAAACAAATACAAATAAAACATCCTAAAATTTTTTTGAGCAAAGATTCAATTTTGGACTAGGGACGACCCTAGTCTAAATCAATTTTCTCACTTTATTCTTCGAGGGTTTATCCAAATGGATTGAAACTTTGCATAAATATTTAAGTGCTTAAAAAAAATACAAATAAAACATCTTAAAATTGTTTTGAGCAAAGAGCCAAGTAGGAAATACATTTTCAATTTTGGACTAGGGATGACCCTAGTCAAAATCAATTTTGTCACTTTTTTCTTTGAGGGTTTATCCAAATGGATTGAAACTTTGCATAAATATTCAAGTGCTTAAACAAATACAAATAAAATATCCTAAAATTTTTTTGAGCAAAGAACCAAGTAGGAAATACATTTTCAATTTTGGACTAGGGACGACCCTAGTCAAAATCAATTTTGTCACTTTATTCTTCGAGGGTTTATCCAAATGGATTGAAACTTTGCATAAATATTTAAGTGCTTAAAAAAAATACAAATAAAACATCTTAAAATTGTTTTGAGCAAAGAGCCAAGTAGGAAATACATTTTCAATTTTGGACTAGGGACGACCCTAGTCAAAATCAATTTTGTCACTTTTATCTTTGAGGGTTTATCCAAATGGATTGAAACTTTGCATAAATATTCAAGTGCTTAAACAAATACAAATAAAATATCCTAAAATTTTTTTGAGCAAAGAACCAAGTAGGAAATACATTTTCAATTTTGGACTAGGGACGACCCTAGTCAAAATCAATTTTGTCACTTTATTCTTCGAGGGTTTATCCAAATGGATTGAAACTTTTCATAAATATTCAAGTGCTTAAAACAAATACAAATAAAACATCCTAAAATTTTTTTGAGCAAAGAACCAAGTAGGAAATACATTTTCAATCTTGGACTAGGGGCGACCCTAGTCAAAATCAATTTTGTCACTTTATTCTTCGAGGGTTTATCCAAATGGATTGAAACTTTGCATAAATATTCTAATGCTTACAACAAATACAAATAAAACATCCTAAAATTGTTTTGAGCAAAGAACCAAGTAGGAAATACATTTTCAATTTTGGACTAGGGGCGACCCTAGTCAAAATCAATTTTGTCACTTTTTTCTTCGATGATTTGAAAATTTTCTCCGCAATGCCGCAACCAATTTGAAATCTGTTCATTGCAAAAGATGTGAAATTCAAGGCACAAACTTTTCATCTCTAAACATTTTAAGCTATCTTGCTCCATATCCTCACAAAATTCAAAAAACTGATTTTTAAATCTGAAAAAAAAACAATAGATTCACACGTGAAAACGGTGTGAATATAAACATTAATGGGTCCTTGGAAAGGCTTCATTGATATTGATTCTAAATCTTTATTATTTTCAAAAATACGAAAAGAAACTAAAATCTAAAAAAGCAACTTAATTTATGTGATAAAACCTGTACAATCGATTTTACGATGCAAAAAGATTAAGCCAAAAGTCCCAACTAATCTTTCCAAGGATTCTTAGGAAAATTTAGCGGCAAATAAAAATTGTGATTTGTTTGAACCAAAAATAAAATTTGAGATCCAATAAAAAATGAGAAAAAATAAAGGGGTTTCAAATCTTACAGTAAACTGAACTTGTTCATCCTTATGCTCACTATTTTTACTCTCACACAGTCAGTTTCTCTTTTACAGTCATCATGCAAACACATTTTACGCACATCACAGGTCTCAGTGTACTCAACAGTCATCTTACTTTAATTTGAATAAATTCAAGTCGTCATTTCTTAAATTAAGCATTTCCGTGCGACGTAGTGGAAAGAAAGAATCTAGAATAAATGAGAATATGCTGAAAATTTCCATTGTTGTGTCATTTTTTTCAACGTTATTATGCCATGTAGACTGTCATAATAATTTTTCAAATGATGATTCATCTGCTGGAATCATTGCGCTCATCTTAGCGAGAGGAGGATCAAAAGGAATTAAAATGAAAAATATACAAATGATAGATGGAACAACATTGTTGGGAATCTCATTGAAAGAAATTCAAAAGGCGGAAATTTTTGAAAGCATTTGGGTTTCTACAGATGATGATGAGATAGCTAAGGAAGGTTTGAAATGTATGTAGTAATAGATTATGACATTTGAAGTGGATTTTTTGTGAATTATTCTTGTGGAAATTTTAATATCCAAATTCATTTCGGTTTATTTACATCCTTAATATGTAGTATCTTCAAGTTTGACTCCTAATTAATGGCGCATGCGCTTTGAAAACTTTACATCGAGACATTCTTTCAAAATTTTATAAGTTTTTGATGCCATGCCAAAATTTCATTCATCTAATTAATGCAAGATTGTTTCAGTTAAGGAAAAATGTAAAAATGATGTCTAAAATTATGGGGGGTCTCCTTTTTCAAAAAAAGTAAATCTTTTTTTATAGAGTTGGATATTATCAGAATTGATATGAAAATTGTTAACATCACTAGCGAAATATCAATTACACCTTCCAGTTCCAAAATAATTTTAGTAATCTAAAGCAGTTCTTCACTTGCTGGGTAAAGCACACAAAATTCTAATAGACATTTTCCTTCTTTTTATGCACGTTTCATTTTAAAAAGACAACGCAAACATTCACGAACGAGACCCTCAACATGCAAGAGATGAATCCAAATCAATTGATGCCGTACAAGAATTCCTATTGAATCATCCGAATATTTCAAGATTAGCTTTAATTCAATGCACGTCGCCATTCATTAGTCATCAATATTTACGAGAAGCTTTTCATAAATTCACAAATCGTGATTGCGTTTTCAGTGCAGTAAAAAGTTTCAAACTTAGATGGAAATATGCTGATGACAACAGAAAGAAAATAGTTCCAATAAACTTCGACTATAGAAATCGACCGAGAAGACAAGATTGGGATGGAGAATTCATTGAAGCCGGAATGTTCTATTTTACTAAACGAGAGCTTTTGAATGAAGGACTGTTCCAGAATGATAAGTATGTAAATATTTTCACAACTAAATTGAAGAATTTCAGGTCCATTCGAGATATAAAATGAAAAATTAAATTCTAGTTGTGACATTGTCCAAATAAAAAATGAGGATTCTTTAGAAATTGATCGACCGGATGATTTAGAGCTTGCAAGAGTGCTGAACAAATATAGAAAGACATTGGATGCTGATGACAGATCTAGTTTTTGTAGCACTGGGAAATAATTTTTTGGAAACACAACTTATTAGTGCACTTGATTAAGAAATTATTCGGAAACTGACAATAAATGGCCACAAATTTATACAGCAGTACAACGCTGCCTTAAATTTACGGAATCTTTCATTTATGACGTTCATAATTTGGAATCTAAGTAGAAAATTTACATTTCTTGGTGGACGTCATTTATGAACGACTTCTGTTGACTTAATAATTGTAATTGTCACGTTTTCCTCCGTCAAATTAAATTGTCAACAATAACGTGTGTGCTTTACAAAGATCTAAATATTCACGTGCCAAATTTTCTCAATCAAGTTTTTTTCTGGAAATTCAATTCCAATTATCAAATCTGGACTAGCTTAACCTTCAGGAAAAGACAATTCGAACCATTCAACTAGATTAGAACTTGGACTTTCCTAGAGTTCTAAGAAAAGAATCACCAATTTCAAAGCTTTATTCATATGACCTCATAATTTGTTCATCACAGAGACGAAAAATAATAAATAATGCATCTTGGGAAGTGAGAGCTGAGAATAAAAACGATTCGTTAAATTGACATGTGCTTAGTTAAGTTTTGATTTTTGTACAATTTAGAGAGAGGAGAATCTGTAATAAAAATTTATTTTATCATAATAGTACATGCTATTCTAGTGCCATATTTTTTTATTTATTGAAGAAAAGTGATTCAGTCGTGCCAAAAAACTCACAGTGATCACACTGATCAAACGTGAATAAGAGTGAATTGAAAAGAAAATAAAATTGTGATATCATTTTTAGAAAAAATCTACAGATTATGGAAAATTTGGAGGATGTGGCGTTGCATTTGCAGCGATTTTCATGGCCTGATTATGCACTGTTCTCATTCATGCTATTCCTGTGCATCCTTATCGGTCTTTATTTTGGATTCATAAAGCCACACACCGCAGATGCTGAGTCTGAATATTTAGTCGGTAACCGCTCCATGCATTTCTTTCCTATCTCATTATCATTAATTGCAAGGTATTGTCAAAATAGAATCTTGACTGTGTCAAAAAATATATTACATTGAAATTTAATTGCAATTCTTGTTCAGTTTTATATCCGGAATTACACTACTGGGACTACCGAGTGAAGTATATCTGCATGGTATACAATATGTCTACGTATCTATTGGTGTTGTATTAATGGGAATTATTATGGCAACATTCTATCTACCAGTATTTTATGGCTTAGAGATTACTTCATCTTATGAGGTATGTAATCAAATAATATAATAATGAATGAAAATTTCACAATAATTTCTCTCATGACCTTAAGAATCAATTGAGAGGAAGAATAAATTCATTTTGCATGTAATCGGACGATTACCTCTTTATTAGATGATTGACTTGATTCGTGACAAAATATTAAATAAGTGCAATTCAAACTTTCATTCTGAATTCGTCATAAATTACTAATCCAACGTGTAATTATCTTTGTAAATTAAAGCTTATTGAAAATCTGAAGGAAAATTTCAATCTCTTTTTCTAATTTAATCTAAAAATACAGAAATTCGCTTCCGAACGAAATAAAGATTTACGATGACGATTCAAGAGAATTTCGTTTGCATCTTAAATGCAGATATTTTTCCTCCTCTCTCTCTTGTTTGTTCTGCAATTTAAATCATTCATTATAATTTTTTCCCATCCTTCCTTTCTTTTTTGCCATTCAAAAAAAAAATGTGCAGTAGGGGTATGTAAGTCAATATCGATTAGACTAAAAGTTCATTCGAGAACATTTTATTATTCTCAGGGTTGTTATTTAGATTTGATTCTGATATCCTTAATAATCCGTTCGAAAATATTTATGGAAAAATGCATGAATGTTCTCCATAAAAATAGTTTTAAACTTATTGAGGATTTATTTCTTCACAAAGAATTTTGTTGCTCATGATTAATGATGACGCTTGAAAAATATGAAATTCGATGATGTATGACATGCACCAAAAATCATACCTTAATATATGAGGAATCCCCTCTTTTAGATACTTACTTCAATAATTGAGAAGTCTATTTATGGATTTATTTGAAAATAATGCGGTATGCTTAGAACTTATTACAATGATTCGATTGCGATTTTCAATAATTCATTAAATGTAAAGAATCGATTCTGTTTTGTATAAATCTAGTTTACATCTTAGACTTAGACTGCCTACTTGAACCCTAAACGTATTATATGACTAGCTACAATTTGTGTCCAAAAATATTAAATTATAGAAATGTTAAAAAGTCATCAATCTTAAGCGCTGGTTTAATAATAATGTTCTCTAGGATCAAACCAAGTATTGCTGGATGTTTAGAAAACTTCCTGCTACTATTCAAAACTTAAAAAAATCTATGTAAAAGCACTATTCATCATGAATATGTACCTAATATTAATTCTCTAATTTCATTTCCAGTATTTAGAAATGCGATACAGTAGGAAGGTTAGGCTGTTTGGATCAATACTGTTTGCAGTAATGAATATTTGTAAGTATTTTTTTTTTATCGCCATTTCTTCTCCATTCATAAATAAAAGCTTTTTTTTCTCGTGCATGAAATCTTGCAATTAAAAGCTTTTTGCAGAGACAATATAAACAAATCTCTTGTATATCGCAATGTGTTGTGGCTACTGTGAATCATTTAAGTTCAAGGCTGCTATTTAAAGAGTGATTTACAATATAATGACTGCTTGCCAGAACGCTTGTCGCCATACACATACGCTATAAATTTAAGCGCCAACAACAATGCAAAAAACTTATCTCTTCTTTCTCTTTTTTTCTCATTCTCATAATTTTAGTATATTTACCGATCGTAATTTACATTCCGAGCTTAGCGTTTAATCAAGGTATGAAGAATTCTATGCGAAGAAATTTGTCAGATTTTTCAAAGCTATTTTTTTTTTGGAAATGGCTAGCAAATACTGACAAATTCTTTCCAAGATCAAGGTAATCAGAACTTTATTTATGGACAATCCGTAACATTTCTCTTTTCCAATGACTGTATAGTTACGGGCATAAATATTCATCATACGAGTTGGTTAGTCGTAATCATATGCGTTTTTTATACATGTGTGGTCAGTATTGTACATGTTTTATATGCATCCATGGTTGAAATATTATTGATGATATAAAAAAAAACTTATTATCCTTTAGGGTGGATTAAAAGCTGTTGTCTGGACGGATGTGGTTCAAACATTTTCCATGTTTTTGGCATTGATTCTAGTTGCTGTGAAAGGAACAATTGATCTAAAAGAAGGTGGTATAGGACATGTTATTGATTCAGCACTCAACACAAGTCGATTGGAACTGCCAAAGTATGTAGAAAATCAATAAAACAGTCATTGTTGGAATCAGTAATAAACATTTTACGTTATTTAGTATTGATATAAATCCTTTAGTTCGACACACACTGTGGAGCCAAGTTTTGGGTGGCGTGTTTTATTGGGTGCAGGTATGTATTGTATAATCCATAAATTTTCAGTGCTCTTACATATTCTTTTCATCCACAAAATTTAAAACTCTCAACCGATAGACAAATGCAGTATCACAAAATATGATACAGAGGTATCTTTCACTGCCGAGTTTACGTGCTGGAAGAAAGTCTGTTTGGCTTTTTGTGTCTGGAGTAGTAATTTTAATGATGCTGTGCTCATACAACGGATTGCTAATGTATGCAACGTACAAGAATTGTGATCCATTAAGCACAAATTTAGCAAAAGCTAAAGATCAGATGCTTCCACTGTTTGTAATGCAAACTTTAGGTGAGCTTCCTGGATTAAGTGGACTTTTTATCGCGGGAGTATTTTCAGCAGCTTTAAGCTCCCTTTCAACATGCCTCAACAGTCTTAGTGCTGTTGTTTTAGAGGATTTTATTAAGCCATTTACAGACAAACCACTAACAGACCGAATTATAAATTGGGTCATGAGATCTACAGTTGTAATCGTCGGAATATCATCTGCCAGTATGGTCTATATTGTTGAAAAAGCTGGTACAGTTTTGCAGCTTACAATGTCATTGGAGGCTATCACTAATGGTCCACTGTAATTACATTCAAATTTGATGTGAAATTTATGACACTTATTATTTCTGTTTTCATTGCAGGTTTGGTGTAAGAACATCCATAAATATTTAAATTTCTATATTAAAGTTTCATTTCCAAATTCAGGTCTTCACTCTTGGAATTTTCCTGCCGTGGATAAACTCAGCTGTAAGTCTATTAAATTCACATTGAGTTCATTATTAAAATATAATTTAATTTAATTCTCTTCCAATGTCTCATCAGAGCGCATTAACAGGGGGCATAAGTGGCGTTATATTCATGTCATGGTTAAGTTTTAATGCACAATATGCCATCGCTTCGGGCCAAATGGAATTTCCACCAAAAGATTTGGCAGCTGATCAATGTCCTTACAGTTTCATTCCATCCAATTCAACGATAAAGGTATCAGACGAATACATCTTTCCGCTCTATAAAATAAGCTATATGTGGTATACGCTTGTTGGAGCTATTTTTACAATGCTAGTGTCTCTCTTATGTTCAATATTTATATTTGGATTTAACGATCCATCAACCATATCATCGGAGCTGTTAACACCATTTTTAAGGAAGACGTTTTCAAAGGAAAATGAGATTAAGAACGAACGTCCAATTAAAGCAGTTAAAGACACTGAATTTTAATACAAAAATTAAAGTTTTTATTGTAATTAATTTAAAGGTAATAAAGTAATTTATAAGTTTTAAGACCTATCACGATGATGCTTACTCCTCTTGTATTTTCTCTTATGATGTCGCTCATCGTCTGATGAGTTGTACCGTTCTGGTACCTTGCTTTTACTTTTACTCGATTTTTTGCTAGACTTTTTTCTTGATCTATGTCTCTCACTACTTGAGGCAGAAGATGAATGTCTTCTTTTGTGCTTGTCGTGTGATCGACTTCGTTGTCTTTCATTGTACTTTCTATTGTATGTCTTATCATCTTCCGAGTCTGAAGAATGATGTCGTTTATCCTTCTTATAATAATTTGATGCTCTTTCTCTACTTCTTATTCTACTGCGCTCTTTTGAACGTTCACGCTCTTGTGATTTATTTCGTCTATTTTCATCTCCTCGTCCTCTTGAAACTATTTGTTCGTCTCTGCTTTTAGATGCTTTGTTGTCATCTCTTGCTCGTGATGTTGATGGAGATATTGAGCGACTTCTTCTTTCTACTTTTACCGGTTTATCTGCAGCACTTGATATTTTATTCTCGTCATTCTTAAACTCTTCATACTTTTCCGAATCTAATTTAGAATAAAGGAATCTTTATCAACATGATTACATTTTAAGGAAGCTTGCATCATTCTTATACTTACTCAATATTTTCGAGTATTTCGCAAATTCTTGCTTTGGAATTGGCTGAACCATAAATTCGTTCATCAATACTTTCAATCCCCCTATCGCTAGCTTAATGATTAGTCGTCCGCCACCATCATCAAAACCTTCAATCTATAAATTGTTTAATAAGGAAAAAACGACACACTTGTTACTTCAAAGATTTGATTACTTCCATACGTGGTATGCTTGCCATAAATGGTAAGGATTGATAAAACTCAAAAGGTGATGAAGGGAATTTTTAAATCTTATCTTATCTGATTAGGCACACTTACAAAAGAACTCATAATGAAATAAAAGCGTGTATGAAAATTTGGATTTTATTGATAAAGTGCAGCTGGCGCATTTCATTTGAAGTATAGGAATAGTATTGTGTTTTAAAGGATGAACATTTTGTCTGCTGTTGTCATTTCTGTTTACTAATCTTCAGTCTACTATTTTTGTAAATGTGCATGACTGTTTCCAACATTCTGTTAAAAATATGAAGCCGTAATGACAAAATGTCCAACATCCCACTCCATTTCCTCTCAACTTAAGGTAAACTAATTTACCAATATTTTATACACACTATCAACATTACTTAAGACAAAAGATAATGATAACAGTTGGTTAGAACAAAAAATTTGATTAAAGTGTTGGAACTAAAATAAAATTAATGTCATAACAGTTTGTGTATTGAACGGGTACAGGTTGAAAAATCTAAAGGCAAACAGGATGGAAATTGAGGCTACAGGAATTGTTGAAGTTAATGGAACAGCTCACATTGAGGAGTCCACAGTAGAAAATGGAACACCTATGTCTGATATTCCTTCCGCGAAGCTAGAGGAAATTGTAGTAACAGATTATATAAGAGAAGCTCTCGATAAAGTTGCAATTGCTGAAGGATTTCAAAATTATGACTTCAATGTTGATCATGGATCAAGCATCGGTGATGGATTTGTTGGAATTATGCTTAAAGTTGTGATCAATGAGCTCGACAGTGATAAGACATTGACAGTTCTGGCTAAAATTCCACCTGCAAGTAAAGCTCGTCGCGAACAGATGAAAGTTATGAAATTATTTGAACGTGAAGTTTTTGTCTATAACGTTATGCTTCCTGAATTCGCACAATTTCAAAAGGATAAGAGAATTAGTCAACAAAATGGATTTTTCAACTTCCCAAAAGTCTATTATGCTGATTACTGCGAAGAAAAGGACGATGGAATCATTATTATGGAAGATTTAAGAGAAAGTGGACATAGAATGTGGAGTAAATACAATCCAGTGAATTTAGAACACGCTAAATTGTTAATGGCATCTCTTGGGCGTCTCCACGCAGTTTCTTTTGCTATAAAAGCGAAAAATCCCGAAATGTTCGAAAAGTACAAGAATCTTAATGATTATTTTAGTGAAAATTTCTCGGATACGGGTTTTCAATTTTTCATGACCAGTGCAATTAATAAAGCTATAGATTGTTTGGATCCTGAAGATCTAAAGAACAGAGCAAAGGCTTTAAAACTTCTTGACTACTTGCAACATGGAATTTCTGATTGTATGACTCCTGAATGTATTGAGCCTTATGGAATTGTGAATCACGGTAAGTTTTCAGCTGGTAATGTTATTATGGACCAAAGCTAAAAAGAAGTTCTCAATTATTATAGGTGATTGCTGGACAAACAATTATCTTTTTCACTACACGAAACGAGGCAGACCCGAAAGCATTGTGTTGATTGATTGGCAAATTTCAAGATATTGCTCACCAATCATTGACTTGGTGTACTTTATTTTCATCTGCACTGACCATCAATTAAGAGCTAAACATTTTGATGAATTATTAAACATCTACCATCACTCGTTAAAGGTATTACTGGATCATTTAGGTGGTGATACAATGGTTCAGTTCCCATTTACAGCATTTTTAAGGCACTTGAAGAGATTCGGTAAATTTGGAGTTGTAATGGCTTGCATGATTCTTCCAATGTTACAAACCAAGAATGAAGAATTGATGGATATGGATTATATGGCAGAGAAAATGAACAATCCAGATCCTGTCGAGATGGAAAAATTGATGAAGGAATTTATGGAAAAAAGCAGTGGATATCAAACAACACAAATAAGAATGCGTGAAGTGCTTCTTGATGCCATTCGATACGGCTACTTGTAAATTGTAAGGAAATCATTCAAATGCAATTTTAAATAAAGTTTAAGCAATGATTTTTCACGCTTTAATATATTGTGCATGTATTTTATTCAACAATGATAAGAATTACTTAACAGATTGACCCTGAGACGATAAAACATTTTAAGTGGAAGAGCAGGAAATGACAGAGTTGATTGAACCATTTCAAGTTCATTTGACAAATCATGATTTTGTCTATCTACGGCTAAATCATATTTAATAGAAATTCCAGAAGCATTAATCATCAAGCATCGATTACTAAAACTCGATTTGTCAAATTTGCTTGAGCTCCGCTTAGTCATCCTCTTGAGAATTAACTAAGGCTCCAAACAATTTACTAGGATTTTTATTATCAAAAACTTCTAAAGCTTCAATTCAAACACCACTTAGTAGGTAGTGTGATATCACAAATTTATAGCAAATACTTCAGCTGCTCTTATCTAAGTTTGTGACGTAATTATTTTGTTTATACAGTTTTGCTCTAATTTTGAAGGTTGTACTTTTTATCGGTCGATTTGAAGCCTAATCTTATCTTGTTTAAAAATACTTAGACTACAAATGCAGACAAAACTTCTATGTAGTTGTTTTTAATAAAAGTTCTGGAGGTGCGGCTCTAGTTTTACTCGAAAGTTATGCAATTGATGAACAAAGAAAATAAAGGATTTTTGACCTTCTCCTACCCCTTTCCACATTCTCTTTGTCACAAACATGTTCGAAATTTCGACATCGAAAAGCTAAGTTTTGTACGCACATATTGGACTTAGGCCAAATAGGAACTAATGTGTGATAAGTGTGTCAGAAGAAATATTTATAAAAAAACGGTGCATTGACATAAAATTCACTCGAGTGCTTTTTCCATTAGTTGTTGGTTCAAACGCGATAAAATAAGTTTGGTATACAGAATTGATGGCTTCAAAAGATGAAAAATTGTTTAAAAATACAATTGAGGTTCCAATTGCAAAACAAGAGGAAATAATTGTTACAGATTATCTAAAAGAATGCATACATAAAGTAGCAAAATCTGAAGGATTTATTGATTACAGTTTGACAGTTAATTATGGATCAAATATCGGAGATGGTTATGTCTCGAACATGCTTAAAATTTCAATAAATGATGATAATCGCGAAACATTGACAGTTCTTGTTAAAATCCCGCTTAAAAATAAAGCTCGCCGTGAAATAATGAAAATGATGAGCTTATTTGAAAGAGAAATTTTCGTCTACAAAGTCATGCTACCTCAATTTGAGGAAATACAAAGGTTGAATAACCTCAGTGAATCAATCAAGTTCAATAACTTCCCAAAAATATATCTTGCCGAGTTCAACAAAGATAAGGATGATGCAATTATTATCATGGACGATTTAAGGGAAAGTGGACATAAAATGTGGAAAAAATCTGCTCCAATAAACTTTGATCACGCAAAACTTTTACTAACCACACTCGGACGTTATCATGCATTGTCATTTGCTACTCGACTTAAAAATCCTAAATTTTTCGAAACATTACTGAATTTGAATGACGATTTTAGTGATGTTTTGCTAACGCCGCAATTTGAAATGCTTTTAAAAGGTTCAGTGACAAGAATCATCGAGTTTTTTCAACCGGAAGAGGTTGTGGCAAGAGATAAAATCACAAATTTGATAGAAAATCTACAGGACATTTGCATTGAACGAGTAAAACCAAAATATGAGGAACCTTACACTGTAATGCTGCATGGTATGATAATATTGAAATTTTTCCTTGTTCTCAAGATCCACTTTAAAATGATTCTGACTTTCTCTTTATTTTTAATTATTCTCAGGTGACTGTTGGATTAACAATTTTCTATTTCATTACTCCAAAACTGATGCACCTGATGATATTAAATTAATAGACTGGCAAATTACTCGATATGGGGCGCCTGCAATCGATTTAATTTATTTCTTTTTCATTTGCACTGATCACAAATTGAGGACAAATCATTTCAATGAATTGTTGAAAATCTACTATAATTCTCTTGAGGAAATGCTCAATAATTTAGACTGCAATGCAAATGAGATCTATCCATTTGATGTACTGCAGAAACAAATGAAAATGTATGGTAAATTTGGCGTAATCATGGCTTCATTTATCCTGCCAGCACTGATAACAAAAGATGAAGAAATAGTCGACTTAAATTTCGTTATGGATCAAAATTCCAAAGAAATGAATGAAATGGCTGAACATGTCGTCGATAAAATGATAGAAACTGATTCATTTACGAAAAGGATTCGCAACGTCATATTTGATGCTATTGATTACGGATATCTCGAGTGATTATGATTGTGCCAATTTTGCTTCCATGTCGCAGTCAAATGTAACATTTGCCTTGAACCAATTTAGTTATTTTTCTAGCTGCTTTTTCTCTACAGCCAATCTGTGACATTCATATAAAATTTAATTACTGTTCACGTGTATCATATCCACGTTTTGTTATGCTTGGGTTACGGTAAAATTATTACTATTATCAATGCATAAATGGATAAGATAACATTAAATATTTTTAAAAGATAATTGATAAAATTAGGAATCGAACAAAAGAAAAATAAATTGTAGCTTGAGTTTAGATCTTGCCTTCAATCATTGCAGTTTAACTATTTCTGTTGTGATATATGATAAATTGACTGAAATACAGCCAGTAATAATGAATGGACACGAGGAAATTCAACCAACAACTAATGGCACTTCATTGATTCCATTAGCTAAATTAAATGAGATCAAAGTATCCGATTACGTAAGAGAATGCTTGGAAAAGGTTGCAGTATCGGAAGGTTTTACTAATTACACTCTAATTTTTGATCACGGTGCAAGAGTTGGTGACGGTTTTGTCGGACAAATTTTAAAGATTACAATCAAGGAAGTCAATTCAGATAAATCATTGAATGTCCTTGCTAAAATACCACCCGATAGTAAAGTAAGACGTGACCAAATGGGTGCAATGCAATTATTTGAGAGAGAAGTTTACATTTACAATGTATTTTTACCGGAATTAGTAGAATTCCAAAATGAGAAGCACATCAAGGAATCACTTGGATTTTTCAACTTTCCAAAATGTTATTTTGCTGAGCATAGAAAGGAACAGGACGAGTCTATTATCATTATGGAAGATTTACGTGACAGTGGACATAGAATGTGGGAAAAATCTAAACCTATAAATTATGAGCATGCCAGGTTGCTTCTTATTGCTTTAGGACGCTTACATGCTCTTTCTTATGCCTTAAAAGAACAGAGACCAGAACAATTTGAAAAATTTAAATCGTTGATAGACTATTTTTCAAATGATGCAATAAACGACACAATGGTGGCAATGATGACGAATGCTATGCGAAACGCAGTCGAAAGTTTGGATAAGGATGACGCCAAAAGAAGAGCAAAAGCCATGGATTTAGCAGACAATTTAGTTTCAACTCTCAAGTTTGCTTTAAATTCGGATAATGCTGAGCCTTTCCCTGTAATCACACATGGCGATTGCTGGTTCAACAACTTCTTGTATCATTACAAAAGAAAGGACCTTCCAGAAAGTATCGTCCTACTCGATTGGCAAATAGCTCGGTATGTTTCACCAGTCATTGATTTGTGCTATTTTCTATTTATGTGTACTGACCATCACTTAAGAGCCAAGCATTTTGATGAGTTCTTGAATATTTATCATCATTCTTTAAAGGAAATGCTTGATCGTTTGGGCTGTGATGTAATGACTCTCTTTCCATTTACTGCTTTATTACGTCAAATGAAAAAGTTTGGACGAGTTGCCGTAATATTCGCAGCTCTAGCAATTCCAATGTTTGCAACAAAAAGTGAAGACTTATTAGATATGGATGTAGCAGCTGAACAATTGAAAGATCAAGATCCGTCAGCTTTGGCGGAAATTATGAAACAATACGCAGAAGTCATAGGCAAAAATGCTGACAAAATTAACGACAGAATGCGAGGAGTGTTACATGATGCAATTAGATATGGATATTTGTAAAGAATTACTAAGCAATGACGTCAAAAAGTACTGAAATCTGTATTTTTTTGTTGCCGTCATTTCATTAAATACCTAATTTTTACATACTTTCTTTTTAATTATATTAAATTACATTTGTAGAACTGCCATTGATGTAAACAGTAGAAATGACATAATAAAGAAATCTTATCAAGTGTTTACCATAAAGCGAGTAATTTTTGACTTACATATCATGCACATGCCAGTAAATGTGTTAGTAACGTTAATTGCCGATCAGACTGTATGCATACAATCATGTGTTTACGCATATGTCTTGAAAATTTTCACACACCTAGTCAGTATTAGCTGAGATTTTATTTGCAATGGATCATTTTATTCCACAAATTAATAAAATTGCTGAGGAAAATGGATTTAAAGATTTTAAGTTAATCTTTGAAAAAGGATCTGATTTAGGATTCATTGGATTATTAAACAAGTGTCGTATAGTGGAAAATGATAGAGAATTGTCATTATACTGTAAATTTTTGCCAGAAGACGAAGAACGAAATTCGAGATTTAATTCATTTTTCCTGTTTGAACGTGAAGTGCTTGTGTATAATGAAATATTTCCAATTTTTGAGGAATTTCAGCATGAGCATTGGATTGATAGAAGTGATAAAGATGGATTTTGGACATTTCCTAAATGCTACTATGCTAATTTTGATCATAATTGTCCATCAAAGTCGATTATTATAATGGAAGATTTAACAATTATGGACTTTATAGTCAAAGACAAGTTTATTCCATCCGATTTTAATCATACTGCAAAATTGTTTGAGGAACTTGCAAAATTACACGGATTATCGCTTGCTATAAATTATAAAAATCCAAAAGCTCTAGAGAAATTTAGACAATTAAGAAATCCTATGTGCTTTACGATGCAGACAGAATTAATGAAGGATATTGCACCAAGAAACTTATCACTAATTACCAAACTATTTCAAGATGAAAATGAGCAGAAAATTGTCGAAAAATTGTTACCATATAAAAACGATTTATGGAACCAAATTGCTGAGAGATTAGATGAAGCTGCTCAGCAATCATTTAGTGTTATTTGTCATGGCGATGTCTGGATAAATAATATTCTTTATAATTACAGCGATGCTAATAAAGATATTATCAATGAAATGAAACTTGTTGATTGGCAGATAACACATTATGGTAGTCTTGGATCAGAATTGGCATATTATCTCTTTACTTGTGTTAATTATGAAGTAAGACAAAACCGACACGAGGAACTGATTGAGTTATATTACAGTTCTATGAGGCAGTTTTTAAACAAATTTTCTCTTGATATTGAAAAAGTTATTCCATTCGAAATGCTTAAGGATCAATTAAAAACTTTTGGACTATATGCATTCGGAATGGCAAACTTTGCCATACCATTATTATGCAAATATCCAGAGCAACTTTATGAGAATGAAAATGCCGATTTAACGAACGAAGAAAAGAAATGTGTTGAGAATTATAACAATGTAATGCGTCATGCAGTTCTAGACATGATTGATATGAACATTTTATAATAAAGGTTTGTTACTTACAGTTCCGTACATATTTTTGTGTTTTCCTGCTAATATTTTAATAAAAGCACGCTTCTTAATCTCCAAAACTTCATTTGGTGCAGGCTGGATGAGCAATTTTTGCTTCTTAATCGCTTTATCAGCACCAAGTCCTAAACCTTTTGGTCGAACCATTGGTACATCAAACTTTTGAGGATCATTTTTCTCTTGTTCATCCTTCCATCCCATTCCTCTCAACATTGCCTTTCCAAAATCAGCAATCTGAATTCTCTCATAGTCATCAAGTGACGATTCTGCAGCACCATTTAAAGGAAGCTCGTCTGGATGTAAAGGAACTTCAAAATCTCTATTTTCTGTTTTAATAGTTGTATTCTTGAGATCTTCTAATATTTCTCTAGCTGCTTTTTGATCTAGAGTCTCATCAATTTCCATCGGTGTTTCGGCATTTCCATTACCATTTTCCTTCTTTATTCTTCTGGATTCTATTAATTTAGAAATTGGTCTAGTTTTCTGATCATTTGTCATTGGAATCACAAGTTTCTTAATTTCTTCATCTCTTGGATCTTTCCCATGAATTTTAAGCTGTGTTCCTTCAATAGAATCAATTAATTCAATTTTTTTCGTTTCCTGAGCACTTTCTACTTTATTTTTAAGAAAATTTGGCTTTTCATTCGTCTTCTTAAATCCAAATGATATCTTTGCTGTTGTATTTTCCATGATTAACTGTGTACTTTTTATTTTAATTCACAATTTAATAAAATTCAGCATCGTTTTCAAACGAATTCAAAACAAAACAATCAGATGAGTAAACAGCATTATAAACTTCCACACTCTTAGATTGAGTTAAATTTGAAATAAAAAAAACCAGTGCGTGTGAAAAGTAATCAATTCATTTTATTTTTAAATTATTAATTCATTTTATTACAAGCTGGTGTTAAAATATAAGATACAATCTTTTGATCGATTGGGAGAAAATGTGTGTGTGAGTGTTTATAGATGCAAAAATTTGATAGATTTATGATGAATATTATTACTTATTATTAGCAAGAAAGAAATCAAAAAAAAAAATTGTAAGAATATGCAAAATTAAGAGAAATAATTAATAATAATGCGATTTGAGACCATCAAATTTATTCTTGTCCAGCAGCTGCTGCGCCTGGACCGGTTACACCATCTCCCCTCTTCTTTGATCCAGAAACAATGTCATCAATACGAAGAAGTAAAATTGCAGTTTCAACAGCTGTCTTATAGACTTGCATTTTCACAGACAGTGGCTCCCAAACGCCTTCAACCTTCATGTCAACAATTTCTCCAGTAACTCCATTAATTCCCCATGTACATGGACCATCACCTGAATGTGAAGCATGTTTCGCACGTAGTGCTGTCAAAGTACGAATTGTATTAGCACCGCAATTTTGAGCTAATGTTCTTGGAATAATTTCTAAAGCTTGTGCAACAGCACGATAAGGTCCTTGAATTTGCTTTCTAGTTAAGGCTTGTGAAATTGCCATTTCTACAGCACCACCACCAGGAACAAGTTTTGGTTCAAGCATTAAATTACGTGCAACATGTAAAGCATCTTGAAGATTTCTTTCCGTTTCATTGAGAATGTCTTTACTTGCACCTCTCAATAAGATTGTGCATGCCTTTGGATCTTTGCATTCTGTAATGAATGTAAAGTATTCATCTCCCATTTTTCTAATCTCAAACAATCCAGCTCCAGTTCCAACGTCTCTTTCGGACAATTCTTCTGTACGATTAACAATTGTAGCACCACAAGCTCTAGCAACACGTAAATTGTCAGTTTTTCTCAGACGACGAATAGCTGTAATTCCAGCATTTACCAAATAATGTTGAGCTAAATCAGAAACGCCCTTTTCAGTAAATACTAAATCTGGTTTAATAGCAATAATGTCATCACAAATACGCTTGACATATTCTTCTTCGATCTGAAGGAGCTTGGTGAAGTCAGTTTCACCAGAAATCTCAACATTTGTTTGACTTTCACCCTTCTTATACTCTAATGAACAATCGAGTAAGACAATACGAGGATTTTCAATTCGACGACGCATTTTTGGATGAGTTACATCCTTATTCAGCATCACACCACGTAAAACGGTACAATCATCAATAGAACCGCCAGGAATCTTTTCAACTTTAGCATATTTCTTGATGTCAATCTCTGTACGACCATTTTCTTCGAGTGCAACTGTTGAAACGGCATCAAGAGCAATATTTACAGCCAAATCAGACCAACGTGCCATAAATTTAGTTCCTACGCAAGCTTTAACGACATCAGCCATCTTTGCTCGATCATTCTTATCCAATGTAATACTAACATCATTCTGCATAACTTGAATCATGTCTTCTAAAGCTTCTCGATATGCACGAATGATTACAGTTGGATGAATTTGTTGCTGTAAGAATGGTTCTGAAACAGCCAACATTTCGCCAGCAAGAACAATAACTGATGTAGTTCCATCACCAACTTCTTCATCTTGAGTTCGAGCAATTTCAATCATACTTTTTGCCGCTGGATGTTGAACAGTGATTTCTCTCAAAATTGCATTTCCATCATTTGTCATGACAATTCCACCCATAGGATCCATCAACATTTTTAACATAGCTTGTGGTCCAAGACATGTTCGAATTAAATCAGCGATTGCCTGAACGAAACATAGAATTATTAGTCATGAGATCCAGTTTAACCTTTAAAGTACAACATATGAAAATCTTCTAGAACAATTAATGAATCATAAAGTGCTCAACAAGAGCATATACTCATTATTTGACTAGATATAGATGTAAATAGTGTTAATTAAGAATAATTATTTGCGCAATGCCCTTATTACCTTTCCAGCATTAATGTTTTCCAGTTGAACTTTTCTGCCTGATTCACGCTTTGTGTTTTGGCCTAAAATAATGAACAATCAATGAAAACACGAGTCTTACACGATAAACAATATGTTTAATTACTTAGCACAAGGATTGGTTGCTGTCCATACATGATTTTTGAGTTTTAAAGTGACAAATGTTTTTAAAATTAAATTTTTTTGACTTTCTTACAAGCTCCTAAACTTCCACACTACAAATTATAAGCTTCCGCACCACAAACATTAGTCCAGGGTATGAAACTACAACAGTTTTTCTCTCGATTTCTCTGAAAATTTTCACCTTAAACAATTTGTGATTTATTTAAGTTAATAATCTAGATAAAAGAGTGAAAGACGGACATTAACATTCGTCGGTGTGTGTGGAATAGAATTACTTAAAATTTGATATAGCATTTTATCAATTTCGCTAGTTTCTGAAGAATTATATTAATCAGAACAATCGCCATCATGAATAATCAAAATTGGCTACAATTTCAGCATGGAGGAACTCAATATGGGTAATTATTAACTTAATTAACATACTTTACATGATCTAAACAAAGTAATAAAGAAAACATAATAATAAAAAGATCCAGTACAAAAGTTTCTGGAAAAAATTGATTTTCTCCATTTTCCGGTACCCAAAAAAAATTGAACAGCCAGGGTTGTTAAAACATATTCTATTTTACAGAATATGTACACATATCCAACACATTTTGCATGTTTACGTGTACAATGTGTGGCAGATAATATATGTCACACATTGCATATGTGCACATATATTATGTGTGATGTGTGCACATATTTGATGCGTGACACATTATTTTGTGTCACATATGAAAATGTGTGATGTGTGACACATTATTTTGTGTCACATATGAAAATGTGTGATGTGTGACACATTATTTTGTGTCACATATGAAAATGTGTGATGTGTGACACATTATTTTGTGTGTAGATATCATGTGTAAACATGCAAAATCTGCACATATTTCTTAATTTGCGGGACTAAAGTGGTATTTTTTTGGAGAATTTATTTAAAAAATTATTAATATATAACCAAAACAGTCAAATACTGCATTAGTTTAAAACTACAGTATGATGAACATATTTTCGACAAAATTAACTCTTTTATGCAGTATTTGACTGTTTTGGTTATACATTAATAATTTTTTAAATAAATTCTCCAAAAAATACCACTTTAGTCCCGCAAATTAATAAATATTTGCAGATTTTGCATGCTTACACATGATATCTACACACATAAATATGTGTCACACATCACACATTTTCATATGTGACACAAAATAATGTGTCACACATCAAATATGTGCACATATGCAATGTGTGACATATATTATCTGCCAACATATGAATTCTGCAACACATTGTACACGTGAACATATTTTTAAAAAAGGCCAGATTCTATTTTTAACCACCCTGTGAGCAGCCATTAAAATCCAGACGAAAAAAATAAAATTATTTTATTATCTATTTTTAAGGACTCCAGGAACTGCTAATTACACTCCAGCTGCACAAAGTGGCTATGTTGCTGCTCCAAATTATGGAACTACGACTCAAAGGGCAGCAACTGGATATGATCAATCTCAATATGCATCGCAGACATATGCAAGTAAGTATAATACACAATAAATGATGACTAATCGAAAAAAAAACAATTACGGATTACTATAATTGATAAGCATCTCGTTTTCCTTTAGCCACTGCCCAATATGAGTACGGTTATGGACGACCTGCTCAAACGTATGATACAACAAAAACATATTATCAGCAGGCAAGTGCAAGCTATGTAAATCCACAATATGATTCTAATGCTGCACCCAAACCGGTTACAACTTATGCTCAACCGGCAAGAACAACGATTCAACAGAAACCTACTCAGTATTCGGCAACTTATGCCAGTCCTGCAACAAGTACATCTGCAAAACAACAAGCACCGAATCAGCAAACTCAGCAACAAACTGCTACAACTGCATATTCAAGTTATGATACGGCATTATATTCAGCAGTTATGGCACAACAAAGTAATAAAAGTGCAAATACTAATCAGCAACAAGGTGGATGGCCTAAGAAGGGTAATAATTTTAAGCCTCGAAAGAGTGTCGCTCCAAAGCCACAACAAATTCATTATTGTGATGTATGTAAGATCAGTTGCGCTGGTCCACAAACTTATCGTGAACATTTAGAAGGACAAAAACATAAGAAACGTGAAGCATTGCAAAAAGCACAACAAGATACTGCAACACCTGGAACTCAGCCAGCAACAACTCAACGTGGTTCCAATCTTCGATGTGAATTATGTGATGTCACATGCACTGGAAATGATGCATATTCTGCTCATGTTCGTGGATCTAAGCATCAAAAGGTCGTTAAATTGCATACTAAATTAGGAAAACCAATTCCATCGACAGAACCAACGCCAGTTGGAACCAGTAAGGATAAAGAAGGAGATGACGAAGTAATTGGTGATGATGTAAAGCCTGTCGGTGAAGAATACATTGAAGAAATGAAGGATCAAGAGGGCAAAGTTACGACATTTAATTGCAAATTGTGTGATTGTAAGTTTAATGATCCAAATGCAAAGGAAATGCATACAAAAGGAAGACGTCATCGGCTACAATATAAAAAGAAAGTTCAACCAGACTTGGTTGTTGATGTTAAGCCGACATTACGTCAACGAAAATTAGCAGAACGTGAAAAGCAGAGACAACAAATGCAAGAAGAAATTTGGAACCGACGTAATCGAATGGGCGAAGTAGAGATCGACGAAGAAGATCGAATGTATTGGGAGGAAAGGCGACGATTTGAAGAAGAAAATGGCGAATGGAATAGAAATTTCCCAATGCGTGGACGTCCACTTATGGGAATCCCACCAATGTTTAATATGATGAATGGAAGGCGTGTTGAAACACAAGATGATCGACATGTAATATCTCGTCATGCTGAAGTTTATCCAAAAGAAGAAGAATTACAGACAATCCAAAAGATTGTTTCTCACACTGAACGAGCCCTTAAATTGGTTAGTGATGCTATGACTATTCAGGTCCAAGAATCTGGAAAGGAGGAGAAAATGGAAGTTCAAAATGACACTGAATCTACTAAAACTAATGGATCTAATGATAAGAAAGACGATAACAAGGAGAATGGTGGACAAAATCAAATGATTACGTTCCAAAAGGATGCTGAAGGAACCGTACGCTTGTTGAAAGGAGTAATGAGAGTTGGACTTCTCGCTAAAGGTTAGTATTACTATTTTTTACCGGTTTTTTGTTTTACTATATTTTGAGTATTATTTGCAGGACTGTTGTTGCAAGGAGATAGTAATGTCCAGTTGGTTGTATTATGTGCTGAAAAGCCGACTTCAGCAGTATTGAAACGCGTTGTATCTGAGCTTCCAGCTCAATTGAAGAAAATTGCTGATGATGCAAAATATACAGTTACAATGGCACCAGTCGACGGAGCAGTTATAGTTTCAGATGGTGCCATAAATGTAAAAGTGTCACTAACATCTCCACTATTACGCGAACAAGCAGCTGCCGGTAAGTTGAGAATATTTCAATCCCAAAGACTTAATATTTTGTTTCAAATCAAGTGGACAAATAATGAAAAGTTTTTCGATTTCGAGCTACCAGTTTCATACTCTTGCAGCCTAATGTACTCATTCTGTTTTTAAAATAATGACAATCTTTTCACATAGCTTAACCATGTTTCATTAAGAAAAAAAAAAGTAAGACTTTGGAAGATGAACAACAATTTGTTTTTGAAATATATAAAAAAAGAGGAGCTCAGTGATTATGAATCGTGAAATTGGTGCTCCAAATCGGAGCTTCAACATTCAATTCCAAATGATTATAATTATTCAATACCCTTTTTCAAAAACCTATTTCATTCGATTCAAAGTATTTATGGATGGATAAAAAAAAGTTTAAAATGATGAGAAATGTAAAGAAGAATCAAGTTAGACACATTGTTAAGGAAATAAGAATCAAATAGGTTTTTAGTAACGAACTTGAATTTTCGGAAACATTTGCAAAGACATTTAAGAATTTTCCGATAAATGACGGTTGTTATTAACATGAAAAGAAGTGATTAACCAAAACAAAAAACAAAAAAAAATGTCAAGGAACAAAATATCTTACACGACTTGATGATGCATTGGACTAGATTTCTTATTTATCATATTTTTAAGTGCAACAGTGGTCCATAAAAAAATTAATTAAATATATATTACATACATGAACTGAAGGATAATTTGTTCTTAAATTGATAAAAAAAAACCTATAAAATAATATAAATAAACCAAGATGGAGCAATCAACATGTTGAGAAAGAATATGTTGCAGCCTGGATTAATGCTACAATCTCACAACACGACATATTCTTTCTTAATGGTGACAAGTCTATGGTTAAAAAATAAATAATGATGAAATTGTGTTGAAATAATGAGACTTGAATTGTCTGTTGTGCATGCAATATGACAAGGATGAAGCCTAATAAATTTAAGAGTAAAGAAAAAGTGCTTAAAATATTAGCTAGGTAAAATTCTAGCACCAATAATAATATTAATAATAATGAAGGAAAAAAAATGAAGAACCAAAGAAGTGTTGGAAGGAAAAAAATATGATTCAAGAGAATTGAAATGATTCGGATATGACAAATCGCGTGACCAATAGACAATAATTAACTTTTGGTTCTAAACAGGATTTTTGACCAAAACATGCCAAAAAAAATGATGATTAATAGCGGGGAGGACAGGACGCAAATATTTATATCCTATGAGAACTTCTGTTCCTTCGTTATTGATCATGCATAACTCCAATAATTTTATGGAAAACTTTTCATTGTCTTACTATATCTTAATTCCTCAATCTTTAAATGATATGATATCAAATCACACATTTTATGGTCAAACATTCTGTGCATTAATAATTAATGAAAAAAAATTTCTCCTATCCGTAATTTGAACTTCAGATTCCACCACAAACAATGAATCCGTTTCAAATTCAGAAGATCTGCTGCCACGCGAACCATGCTTACAAGCTTTACGTGCACTTCGTCAGAGTAAATGGTTTCAGGTTTGTTTTTGTTTTTTTGGTCAATTTTTGATGATTGAAATGAAAATTTTTATATGCCAAACAATGAGAAAAGAAAGAAAATTGATTAATTTTTTTAATAGCCTTTAAGTAATTTAACTGATTTTTTAATATTTTATTATATCCAGTATCTTTATTGTATAAAGATTTTTATTGTAAAAAAGAAACAAAAACAACAGAATTATCTACCTATAATCTAATGTCTTCTACTATACACATAGAATTGAAAATATTTTTTTTCTTATAAAATTTGATAGCTGTTTAAAGTCATAGAGTTAAAAACAAACAAAAAAAATTCCTAGCTAACAGTTAAAGCACATTATCTTTTTTTTGTAAAGCCTAAAAAAACTATTGTTGTATGGATTGTTAGGAATGCCTTTATTTGTGCTGAATCTAATCGAATTTCTCTTATAAACTTATTATTTAGGCTAGAGCAACAGGATTACAATCTTGTGTCATGATTATGCGAATTTTGCGAGATTTATGCCAGCGAAATCCAACATTCACTCCTCTTAGCCAATGGGTAAAATCTAATTTTAATCCTTGGATTAATTATTAAATCTAATCACTTTCAACTTATATTCTAGGCAATGGAATTGTTAACTGAAAAAGTAATTGCATCTGCAGGCGTTCCCTTAAGTCCTGGAGATTGCTTACGTCGTATTATGGAATGCCTATCAAGTGGTTTCATCATTTGTGGCCCAGGATTAATGGATCCTTGCGAAAAAGAGCCAGTCGATGCTCTAAATGGATTGTCCAAACAACAACGAGAAGATATTACACAACAAGCACAACAATTCTTGCGTTTCATTGCATTTAGACAGATTCATAAAGTTCTTGGTATGGATCCACTTCCAGTTCAGAAATACCAAGGAAATCGTCCATGGAAGTTTAACACAAGCCGTAAACGACGTCGTTCAGGCACTGAACCTTCTGAAGGTACGATACTCATTTAATTTTGTGTTATTTTCTAGCAATTTAATAATATTAATTTCCTCAGGCGACGGTCAGAAGATTGTCAAGAAAGACGGAGAAAGCAATGTCTCAGAAGCAGCAGCAGAAAAGATGAATTAAATAAGCATAAACTATTTGAATTAATTACAACATATATTTAAAAATATGATGATTTTCCTTTAAAAACATAATTCATAAAATGATAACGATTAGATTCAACATGGAACTATTACACAAAATAAATTTAACCAATCAATAACACTTTATTCGATGTAGAGACAAAATAATGTTCTTTGAAGATGAAATAAAGAATGATTTAAGATGTAAAGAATTTTGCTTGAAAAAACTTGTGTTGTTGAGTCATAACGTATTTCCTTATTATTTGAAATCATCTTATTCAGTCAGTTCCGATGGTGTAGAAGTCTTTGATGGATTTAAACTTGTATTGATGGAATTGATCGTCGAATATGCTTTAATCACTATTGTTATTAACCTTATTGGGAGTATTGACATCATTTATTATTTATAAACCTTATTCCTTACTATCTGATGCATGTCATACGATGAACATTGACCTAAAGCAACAATCTGAAGCTGAATTGCTTAAATTTGAATTTAATCTTTGCATTTTTAACGGACGATGATGTGCATAAACAGATGCGCGTGTTATGCCGAAAAGTAATTGACATTCAGGTATATAACATTGTCCTTATTTACGAGATTTAATGTAATACTCATATCTGGAATATTAAGATGGCACGAAACTTTTGACCTTAATAATGATATCAACTTTTATAATATTTCATTGAATTAAACATCCTTAAAACCGACAAAAAAAAGTCTGTAACCATGTGCATGTATCCTAAACAAATCGACGTCATAAGCCGAAAAATGATACATAAACCTCGTGCTAAAAATGACTCATGATCCTGTCTGAATATATTACAGTTATTTTAATAAATCATACTATAATACAATAAATTATCGAAAGTATCTACAAAATAGATAAATGTGTGCCTCATGATAAATCACAGCTATCGAAAGAATTAATTCAAAATTGAATTTAAAAAGTATAACGAGCAAAAAAGATTTAAAATTATGAGAAAAATCTAGAGGATTGTAACGGTTGTTTAAAATTCAAACATTTTTACTTGGTAATTTTTTTTCATAAAAACGGTTTATTAAATTTAATTAATATAATCGCGTATTTGATTCAATAAAACATGATTAATGGATCAATAACGTGATAGTGCAGTGAAATAACATAAAGCTAGTCGCTAAGTGTGCGAAAAAATCATAAAAAACATCGTCCAAAAAAATCTTGTCAAAAACTGAGGAAATTTTTGGAAAAAAATCGCGTTATTTGTGTAATAAGCTGGAATAGAATCAATTGAATCAGTATTAATGGGATATTTGGACGCATTTTAATGCCTTTTCATCGACTAACATATCGGTTATGTGCGAAATTTATTATTTGCGTCTATTTTCTTTAGGTTAGAAATTTCATAATTTTGTCAATAGTCGCGAATAGCTCATCATCTTCACTGGATGTTTTAATTTCTTTATTGAATATCCCATAATCACTTTGCAATGCTCATCACCTACGCACTTTTTCTGTTTCTATGACAATCATTTTCCGTGTGATTCTTAAAACACATTAAAGTTAAAAAGGTAAAAGAATCAAATTATGGAGAATAACAAAACAAAATTGATTGGTGAGGAGGAGCTGTATGGGCCACAAAAGTTTTTCTTTTCTTTTTTCTATTAACGTCATAACAAACACAAACGCAACGCACATCCATTCGCGAAAGATCAGAGAAAAGCAAAAAGTCGGAAATTAACTGAAAGAGAGATTGGGTCAAAAAGGGTCATAAGCGATGATTTTATGTTATTTCACTCTTTTCGCGCGATACTTGTTGTTTGTGTAATGAATTTTATGCGCTGTGTAATAATCATAACACAACCAGCAACAGCCTTTCTTAGTAGTATCAACAAATGTTTTTTTGGAAACTTTTATCAAGCAATAACACTAATGACTACCTATATTTTTTTCCCTCGTTCTTTGCAGAATATTTCATATTATTATTATTTCTTTTGGTGAATGGTTGAATTTGAGGAGAGGAAAGGATTAAACGCGAGTGAAAGAAAGTGAATAGAGTCAGTCATCATTTTACAAAATATTGATTATAACAACATAAGAATAAAAGTGAAAAAGTCATAATTTAGTGAACTAGCGTGTGTGAATCAGCATCGTGTGTGAGGAGTTACGAACGAGAGAGAGAGAGAATAAGTGAGAAAGAGCAAAAGAAAGAATAATATACATAGAAAAGTAGAATGGCAATGTTACGAATGGAGGAAGCATCAAAGCTTCTTGACTTTTCCCAAAAATTGGACATTTCATTGTTGGAGAATATCGTTGGATGTCTGTACAATAGTCAAGGTGAACAATTGCGATTAGCCCAAGAGATATTGACAACATTAAAGGAACATCCAGATGCATGGACACGAGTCGATACAATTTTAGAGTTTAGTGAGAATCAACAAACGAAATATTATGCTCTACAAATTCTTGAGGAAGTCATCAAGACACGCTGGAAAGTTTTGCCAAGAAATCAATGTGAAGGCATCAAGAAATATGTTGTCGGGCTTATTATTAAAACATCATCCGATTCAAAAGTTATGGAGACGAGTAAGGTCTATTTGAATAAATTAAACATTATTCTTGTCCAAATTTTAAAGCGTGAATGGCCAAAAAATTGGGAAACATTTATAAGTGACATTGTCGGTGCATCCAAGACAAATGAGACTCTATGTCAAAATAATATGATAATATTGAAGCTACTGAGCGAGGAAGTGTTTGATTTCTCAAGTGGACAGATTACACAAACGAAAGCAAAACATCTTAAGGACACAATGTGCTCTGAATTCTCACAAGTATTTCAGTTATGTTCATTTGTATTAGAAAATTCATTAAATGCACCATTAATTAGTGCGACGCTCGAAACACTTTTGAAATTCCTCAACTGGATCCCGCTCGGTTATATTTTTGAAACAAAACTCATAAACATGTTGGTGGAAAAGTTTCTTGTAATTCCCATGTTTCGTAATGTTACATTAAAGTGTCTATCGGAAATTGCCGGACTTCAATTGCCTAATTATGATCATATCTTTGTTCAATTATTTGTACAAACGATGGAGCAATTTGTTCAAATGATACCGGCTGATACAAATATGAATCAGATCTACGCGAATGGTAATGATGAGGAACAATGCTTTGTACAGAATTTAGCAATGTTCCTATGCACATTCTTGCGTGTACATGCAACGCTTGTTGAAAAGCGTGAAACAGCTGAGGCAGTAAACAAGGCATTAATTTATTTGGTAATGATCAGTGAGGTCGAGGACGTTGAATTATTCAAGATATGTCTCGAATATTGGAATAGTCTTGCGTCCGATTTATACAAAGAGAATCCCTACGGCAACACATCCGGATCGCGACGTCAATTCTATTCGAGCATATTGTCTAAAGTACGTAACATAATGATATCTCGCATGGCCAAACCTGAGGAAGTGCTTGTTGTTGAGAACGAGAATGGTGAAGTTGTACGTGAATTTATGAAGGACACAAACAGTATCAATTTGTATAAGAATATGAGAGAAACTCTTGTCTATTTGACTCATTTGGATTATTTTGATACCGAACGCATAATGACTGAAAAATTAAATAAACAAGTACGTATCGAATTTCCTCTTTTTAACAGACTTTTCATATTTGAATTATTCTTCGTTAAACTTTCGTCAAGTTTTTTGAATTTGATCAAAAATCTGCTAAAATTTGAATCTTTAAATTTCGTTAAATAACGTTTTTTTAATTCTCCTTTGTAGGTAATCGGAACGGAGTTTTCGTGGAAAAACTTAAACACACTGTGTTGGGCGATTGGATCTATTTCTGGAGCATTCTACGAAGAGGATGAGAAACGATTTTTGGTGGCTGTCATAAAGGATCTTTTAGGATTATGTGAACAAAAGAAGGGAAAGGACAACAAGGCTATTATTGCCAGTAATATTATGTATGTTGTCGGTCAATATCCGAGATTTTTACGCGCTCATTGGAAATTCCTTAAAACTGTCGTTAATAAATTATTTGAATTTATGCATGAGACACACGATGGAGTTCAAGATATGGCTTGCGATACATTCATTAAGATTGCCATGAAATGTAAACGGCATTTTGTGACGATGCAACCGAATGAAGGATGTACATTTGTTGAAGAAATCCTTACAAACACGAGCACCATTATTTGTGACTTACAACCGCAACAAGTTCATACATTCTATGAAGCAGTCGGTTACATGATTAGTGCGCAGGCTGATCAAGTTCAGCAAGACGCTCTTATCAAAAAGTACATGAGTCTACCCAATGAAGTAAGTTTCATGCTAATATATTATAATGGCTTTAAAATGACAAATGTAAATTTATTTTTCATCCTTAAAGGTTTGGGATCGCATCATCAATCATGCAGCTGAAAATGCTGACATTTTAAAGGATATGGCAGCAGTAAAGCAAATTGGGAGCATATTAAAAACAAATGTTCGTGCATGTAAAGCTCTTGGGCACAATTATGTCATTCAATTGGGCTGCATTTACCTTGATATGTTGAACGTCTACAAAATCATGTCGGAAAATATTTCGCAAGCCATTGCCATTAATGGAATTACAATTAATAACCAGCCACTGATAAAAGCAATGCATGTTGTTAAGAAAGAGACATTAACATTGATTAGTGAATGGATTGTGAGGTCTAATGATGCTCAGATGGTCATGGAAAGCTTCATACCTCCCTTGTTGGATGCTGTGCTTATGGATTATCAGGTAAAAAACATTTTTTTTGCTTTTAATTGAACCCTTGAAAATAATTTATACTTAATTGTTTAGCGTACAATCGTCCCAGCCGCTCGTGAACCTACTGTTTTGAGTACAATGGCAGCAATTGTCAACAAATTGGAAGGAGTAATAACATCGGAAGTACCGAAGATCTTTGATGCCGTTTTTGAGTGTACGTTGGACATGATTAACAAAAACTTTGAAGATTATCCACAACATCGCACTTACTTCTATGAGTTGCTGCAAGCCGTTAACATGCACTGTTTCAAGGCATTCTTAAATATTCCGCCAGCTCAATTCAAGCTGGTCTTTGACTCTATCGTTTGGGGATTTAAACACACAATGAGAAACGTCGCTGATACTGGATTGTCAATTTTATATCAAGTAATAATTATAAGAGTCTTAAACTAATGCTAATAACTACTAATTAAATTTCAATTTATAGCTTTTGCAAAACTTGGAACAACATCCACAAGCAGCACAGAGTTTCTATCAGACGTACTTCACGGACATATTAATGCAGATCTTTAGTGTTGTCACTGATACATCACATACAGCATCATTACAATCGCATGCTCAAATCCTTGCCCATATGTTTACGTTGGTTGAGGCAAATGCTATTACAGTGGCTTTAGGACCAATTCCAAATAATGTCTTATACATTCAGGAATATGTTGCATCTCTTCTAAAATCGGCCTTTTCGCATCTGACCGATAATCAAATCAAAGTTTTTGTTACTGGTCTATTTAACTTGGATCATGACGTAACTGCATTCAAAGAGCATCTAAGAGATTTCATTATTCAAATTAGAGTAAGTTGTTCAATTTCATTACTTCGCATGTCCTTGTTTTGTTTGTCCATCTGTCTTTAAATACTCGATTGACGTCAATTTCGGAACACATATAAATTGTTTACAAAGTTTATTGGCAGTGTCAATACTGATTAGCGTTCATTCAGGGGGGATTAAAATTAATCTTGAAGATTTAAAATAATATCTTAATAATTGGAACTAATGAGAAACTTTTTTTCTATTTGCAGGAGGTAACGGGTGATGATGATTCGGATCTTTACTTGGATGAGCGCGAACAAGAGTTAAAACAGGCACAAGATGAGAAACGTCGTCATCAATTGACTGTCCCAGGTCTTCTCAATCCACATGAGATACCTGAGGATATGCAGGATGAATAGATAGTGTCTATGCACTTCCGTTGGAATCGAAAATAAGTAAAAACAAACGTAAAGAATTTTAATTTCAGTATAAAGAAAGAAAAATAAGTAAAAACTAATTAAATTCCGATTCAAAGCTAGCCGAAAACTGTATTGAAATCACAAAAATTAAAAAAAAAGTAAATCTAAAGTCATTTTTGAAGGAAGTAACTTTTTTACGCAGAAAACCAATTTTTAGGAGATAAATCAAGATAAAAGAATTATTAAGTCAACAAAAAAAAGAGTTTTTATTTTGCGAAACAACCACAAAAAAGGTGAAAAAAAAATTGTTTATGAGTCATCAGCGATGTGTGGGTGAGTGTGTTATGGCACGAATCTATTTCATAATATTTTTCTGCTCTGAAATGTATGAATTTTTTTTTATTAATTAATGTTTAAGTGAAAAAATGATTATTCTTTTGTGTAATTCTCTTGTTTCTTCTTCCATTTTTTCCCCACTCTCATCGTCAAAAATCGAAAATTATTTGTCAAACTTTGTGTTAATTTTTTTGAAATTGGAAAATATATAAAGAAATGTAGATGGATAGGCGAAATTTGTAAAACATTTATGGCATCGATAAAAGAAACAAAAAAAATGGTTGAATGGAGAATTCTGCGTTTTTGAATTGTTCTCTTTTTCAGTATCCAAATCTAGATATGATGACTAGTTGATTGTCCATCTCTTGCTTAAATCTTGAGATTAAGTTTATTAAAATTTAACGGACTTAGAAAATTTGAATGTTCTCAATCTATCGCTTGAAGTTGGTTACAATTTAAATTTTAAAAAACCAATCTACATTTTTTGAAACCGAAAAAAACCGTTAAAAATTTAATCCTTAATATAATATCCATCCAATATTCAATCGAAAAACAGCTAATGGGAAGAAAAAGGAAGAAAGAAAAAGAAAAATCCTATTCAGTTCAATTTATTAATTTAATTTTTGATGAATGTAGTTGTGCGCATTATTTAGAATGAAAAGTTATGCGTGTGTTTTTTATAATTAAAATGTAATGATGAAAAAATGGAAATTTATGTCAGTAAGTGGTTGTTAATTGTAATTAACTACACAAAAAAAAAAATAGAATTAGTTTTTGCGGTATCACAAAGATGAAGGAAAGAAGTTTAATTCTGTACACATCCCTCATCATTTTTCTCTTCATTAAAACAAAACTTAAAAGCTTCTCATTATCCGTATAGACGAAGAAAAATAAAAGGAATCAGCTCATATACACCAAATATATCTCAGATATTTCTTTCTTTATTCATTCATGTTATTCCTTACTTAAATGAGAAACAAGTAACAACGTTAGAGGATTGAAAAAACTTTAAATCTAAGAAAACATTTGATTGTAAGGCACGATGAGAGATATATGTCGATAACGTTATGGGTAATTCCATGCTATAATTTTGCTATAAAATTTACTTAAAATTGATTTTTTTCATATTTAGGCTTTACAAAAGTTAATAAGATTTCCACAGGACATGTTAAAAGCCATAAGGTATGTTATTTGACATTAAAATGTCATCTAAAGTGATTATTAAGTCCAAAAAATTATATTTTATAGCGTTACTTGGTAACATTTATAGCGTTACCAAGTAACGCTCATGGAATCAATTTTTTGGACGAATTAACCACTTTAGATAAAAAATTAATGTCAAATCATATACCATATGACTTTTTACATGCACTGTGAAAATCTTATTAACTTTTGTAAAGCCTAAATATGAAAAAAATCAATTTTAAGTAAATTTTTTACAAAAATTTCTCATGGAATTACCCTTATGTAATTGGACAGTTTTTATTAAAACAAAATCAAACCATATTTTTTTCTAAATAATGAATTGTTCCATTATCCTTTGAGAATGTAATGCAAACACACTCTTGTTTTTTTCAGTTTTATTTTAAAAGAAAAACTATGAAATAAAATTAAGGAAAAGTCAAAGTGGATAAATTTTTGTGTCTTACTGTTATTTGAGTTTATTTCAGCTGATTTGTTCATTCATGTGTCTCATAACTTAAAACTGACTTTTGGTTTTTGAATTGTTCATAAAATCTGTTCAGTAAACTAAAGTTCATTTTCGTTCAGTTTATTTTTTTGAACTTTGAAAAAACCGTTAAATTTTGAATTTTAAAAAGTCGGTAAATGAACTTGTGATTAACTTTAACGTTAAACCTTTGAAGCATCGAAATGAAGACATCAACAAGAAAAACCAAAAAAGTGTATTTCCAAACCTTAATAGCTTTATTCATAAATTTTTAAAGAAATACAATTTATTTCGCATCACAAGGTATAAGTATAAATAAAATATATATTCTGATTCTTCAAGATGATAAATATATGTTATTCTTCCAAGAACGAAACATTTCTGATCTCCATAATATGCACATGAAAATCATTCAAATCGTGTCATACAGATCAAAAATGTTTGAGCCTTGGACTGTTCAATTAATAATTCTTAATTTTTTTTGGTGCTTAATGTAATTAAATTTTGTTCACTCGAAAGTTTGTTTAATAAATGACATTATTGCGTAGATTATGCTTATAATTATATGCTGTATGCTTAACGTCGAAGACGTGTGTCTCCACGTATGCGAAGTGCCAATTGAACATCTTTAGGCATAATCGTGACTCTGTAAAACATATACGAAGTCAATTAAAGCACTAATATTAATGAATTTTTTGAGTAATTACCGTTTTCCATGAATGGCACACAAGTTTGTATCCTCAAACAATCCGACAATGTATGCCTCGGTAGCTTCTTGTAAGCACTGCAAAGCACAAGCTTGATAGCGGAAATCACGTTTGAACTGCTGTGTTATTTCTCTTACTAATCGCTGGAAAGGCAATGTTTTGAGAAGTAATTCTGTTGTTTTTTGATAGCGTCGGATTTCCTTTAGTGCCAAAACTCCTGGTCTGTAGCGCTTCTTGACCTTCTCTTGGGACTTGTTCTGCTTGAATGCAATTCTTCCAATCGGTGGCAATTGCTTTCCTCTATTCTTCAATACCTTTGTCTTTGTCTCGAGGATCTTATAAACTTTTGGAGTGACACCTCCTGTCGACTTTCTAGCTGTCTGCTTTGTACGGACCATTTTTGTATTGCTGGATCTTTACTTTAGATTTTTTGCTGAAATGCATTATATTTTATTAGAAAATCGATATAATGCAACTCTGTGTTGATTAATATCCAGTGAATAAGCATAATTAACTAGTATTATGTTTATATTTCATAACAAAACATCAAGTCACGTGAAAACTTCTTCAAACTGCCAATACAGCATATTATTTAAATTCTTCAACATACCTTTACAATTTATAAGTTTTTCAATAGTTTTTGCTTTTTTTAAACGTTAAATTAGTTAAGGAAACGGTTATTTTAAGTAAATTTATACTTTTATCAATTTAAAGGTTAAGTCTTTGTTTTGAAAATGAAACGTATTTTTTATATTTGAATTGGGTCAATTTTGCTATAAAATTTGAATTTTTGAAAATCGTTAAATTTTGAATTCAAAAAGTGCGTTATGTTTGAAACTTTGAATAATATACCTAGTTGAATTATAAAAATTGAAAACCTCAACTCTTCAATATTCAAATTATACATAATTTGTTCACGTTCAATAAAGATGTGACTGTACTTTCTGCCAAATGGCGAATATAAATAAACTTTAAACAGCAAAAACCTCATCATTTTAACTATGTTATCACTCATTTTTGTGATTAGTGATGTTGTTGAAGCTATATCTCAATTTTAACCGGTTATATTGTTGTCAAAACAAAGTCGGCACGAGTTGAATGGTGGAAAATGAATTTTTGTTCGTTAGCGGGATCTTATTAAAATTCGATATTCTGCAATTATTTCACAGCAATTCAACATTTTAATCAGCAATCCACTCACCTTATTGCCTTTACTGTATGCTTGAATACCACTTTTGAGTTGATAATCAAAATTTGCCTCAATAAAAATTAATTTATTTATTTTGAATCAAAGTTGATGAATAAGTTCACATAGAATGACAAAATAAGACGCAATTAACAATGTTTCGCATATGATGTGATCACCGTCTACCATCTTAACTTGTCCATATTATTTCTACAAAATTTAATTCACTGTAATATTACTTTTAAATGAGCCACGTGAGAGAAATGCAACAAGCCAGAGAGAGATGAAAGGAAGTGGAAAATGAAACAAAATAGAGAATGTTGTAGCTTTTCTTGATGTTGATGCTAAAAGCAGCTACTGACTGAACTTTTAAGTGAGTTTTAAAAGGCTGTTGGAATTAAATTGACATAAAAAACTTAATGTTAATCATAAGAACTCAACGTCGGAGGAAATCCTTATAAATATATCACAAAAATTTATAAAAACCACCGTTCCTTAATGTTTCATAAAACATTCATACCTTTATTCCACAAAACATCAAGCAATGTTGCACTAGAATTAAATAATTTACTTTATCGAGCAGCTCCTTGACCTTCTGTATTTGTGACACCACTAACGAGGAGTAAGATTACAGCTGGTACAATATACATCCAGTACTTCTGTATAAAGGATCTGTTGTCAATTTCTCCTTTATCTCTCATTTCCTTCTCTCGTTCTAATTTCTGGATGAACCCTTGAGTGTCTGGAATTGGAGCTGCTTCAATATTCTTTAAATTAACGACTGTGCTGAATTCATTGAAATTATCTAATCCCAAGTTATCGCAATCATCTGATGTTTCATCTAAGCTTACTGCCTTAATGTTTACACCTAGGACTGCGTTGTTATGATCAAAATTGATGGTAATAAAATCATGAAGTGCCGATTGGATTAAATGACAAGCTTTTAAGGAGCTCAAAAATGTAGTTTTGACTCCATCACTCCCAACAACTTCAGCCTTTAATCTATATAGCTTTTTGTCTTTGGCAAGTCTCTTTAAAACATCCCGTTCCTTACTATTTAATTCTTTTTGGTTAACGACTATATCACCAAGATTAATTGAAATTATTGTGATATTTCCTCTTGATGTAAATCCAGTAACATCATTAGCATCCAATGAATGATACAGTTGAACATTTAAATGAGAATCAAATGCACTTTGCTGCAAATTGAAAATATTAATTGATTTTTAAACATTTAATTATAATATTAAGCCACTTACTGAAGAAATCGATGAAATCAGTACAAAAACTGATGCCATCAGAGACCAGATGAACTTTATGCTACTCATTTTAATTAATTTATGTCTAGAAATACCTTAATTTTTAATAATTTAATAATTTTTCTCGATCAGAAAAGAATCTTGAAAATTATCACTTACTTCGAATTGAATAATTTTCTCATGGATCATACAATTTTTAAAAATATAACAACCGTTATTATAACGGATTATTTTTATATCAAAAAGTCAATGTGAGTCAATTAATAACCACGTGCTTGGAAGCACACATCTCTGAGTCATTGGTATTAATGCTTGCATGATTGCGAAAATTCTTGTAAATAGAAAGAAATGTCAATGAATGAGCAAATTCAATTAGAACATTTCTTTAAATTAAATTATTAATCTACCAATACTTATAATTTACTCACTTACTTATTCAATATAAATGAAAATAATAACGAAAGTAAATTCTTATCACAAAATCAGTCTCTCTCTCTTATTCTCCCACTTCTCAATTGTTATTCTCACGAAGCGTATACATGTATTAGTATCGTGGGATTTTCTGTTTCTGTTTTTGTACAAATTTCATTTACTATAGATCTGTTGAACGAACAACCTCAGTCGTCTTAGATTTTCAGATATATTCGTGGAAAATTCGTTTTGTAAACCGTGAAAAGTGTCTAGTAAAAAAAATTAATTTTCTTAAGTTATTATTATTATTTGTTTTCGTTGGAGTTCTTCTTTTATAACATTCAGTTCATTTTCATTCAGTTTTCTTTGACAAGAACACAAAACACCGAAAAAGAAGAATATAAAAGTGAATTAAAGCATAGTTTGACCGAATTTAAATGTTCATTAGTGTATAAATAAATGAATGAATCAAGCATAATAATTTGGATATAATCTCTCGAAATAAAAACATTATAATTTATCAGTGTTGGTTGATTAGATAGACCTTTTGATTGGATATTGAATAACCAGGTGTATTTAGTGCTATGAGATTTTTGATGTTCATTAATAACGAATCAAAAACTAGTGCGATAAGAAATCGATGATTATAAGCTCCGATTTGAAACAAAAAAAAAGGATATTGCACAAATAATAAAGATAAAAATAACAACAACATTATTATCATTGTATGAGTGAACTATTTAATTTGTGAACAAAAGAAATTGAACAAAAAAAAGCCAGCGAATTAAATTACAATTTAAAACTATAGAATGTGCATAATTAAATTTATTATACAGATATAGAGAGAGAATAACAATTGATTAAGAACAATTAGATCACACAATCTAGATAGTATATAAGTGAAACAGAGTTACTACATATATTTATATATCACAGTGATTTCTCGTGCATTGAAAAGAGATAGAGAGACACAATAGTGAGATAAATGATAAAAACCAGATTCTAAAAATATAAAACGCTATTCAAAGATTATATTTAAAAATATCTTATCACGTTGCGTTGGCTTCTATATAAAAATAATACCGAATTTCAAAGGAAGCGCATCGTCTTATTTGCTTATAAATTTCCGAAGAAGCTCCAGACAGAAATTTTTTTTCCTCCTTTTTCTCTCAATGATTTTTCGTACAACATACAATTTATGATAAAGGAAATCTTCAAACAAAAGGAACGGAGAATACACGACGAAGTAAACAAAAATCCATTGAACCGTCGTGCTTGAGCAAATATTAAAGTTTTAAAATTTTTTTTTTTTCGAAAAAATAAAATAAAATTTTACCCCCGAAAAAAAGGCGAGCATAAGAAACATCGTAAAGACAAACACACAGAAGAAGTAGCAAGCAGCAAAAAGAGACTCATAAAGAAGCAGATGTTGAGAAAGAATAACAAGAAGAAGTATATAAAAATAAAAACTGGAGACACATACAATTAAAACGATAAGAAGGCATTAAAGGAATAATATCACTTCATGCATGATATACATACATAGATCGTATGGTAGAGGATATAAGGGATAACATCAGAGCGAAAAAGAACTAACAGACAGTCTATATATAAACATAGTGAACAAGTTTTGGTTGTTATTTTTCGAGTATCAAATTTTGCTGGATATAGAAATATAAACACCAGATATATCCTTTTACTGGAAAACTACTTAAAATTACTTCATTAGTGAGAGAAAAATAGTTCTTCTTAAAAAGAGAGAGAGACGAAATAGCAACAGGGAAGAAAGAAGACGACGCAATAAAAAGAAAAAGAAAGAAGCATTTTCCGTTCTAAAAGAAAGAAAGAAAATCTTATAAAAATATATTTTTTGAGAATATTAAGGAAGGGGGTATTACCATTTATTGCAGAACCATCGCCGTCCGTATATGATAAAATCAGTAATACGGGAGCAGACAAAAGGAAAAGAAGATTTCGCATAGTGTCGTCAGATTTCATTTCTTTCTTCATTTTGGTGTTATTAAAATTTTTTCGTGTGTACGGAGAGAATTCCCCTCATACTATACACATTTTTTTCTTTTGCGTTTGAATGTTAAACACAAAGAACAAGAAGAAGACGATTAATCATTGAATTTGATAGAAACGGAAAGGCATTTTACATGAAAATAACGCAACGTCGTCATCAACATTCGTGGATGAAATTAATTACGCAAAAACGTGTAACGTGATTACAAATTTTGGTTTTGGATAAAGTTAGACCACCAATCATTGTTTATTACTATCATATCTATATATTTCCGTTTTGTCGTGATTGTGTGATTATAAAATATCAGACAAAAGATTTTTCATCAAACAACTAAACTGAAAAACTTTTACATTTTTAATTTTACATGAAAAAAATTTCAATTGTTCAGTGCTATTTTTCTGTATTATTTCCATCAACTTGACGATGGCTTTAATTATTATCACTGTGAACAAAAGCGAACATAAAATTGTTGTGAATGAATTAATGTGATAATTAAAATATACAGAGCTAATATTGCCCAGAGAGAGTAAAAGTGAAACATTGTGAAAAAAAATAAATTTTTTACTGCAAAAAAAGGACACAGGTGTGAGGCCATAAAAAAAGTTATAATTAGTGCCTCACAGAAAGAAAATTGTGTAATTAAAGGATAAAAACTTTAAACATAAAAAAGAAGGTTGACATTATTTTTCGAATAGGACTTTTTTCGGTGTTAAGAACTTGGAATATAAATTTTTTTTGTAATCATGTTGAATGTACCGCCAAAGTTCAATCAAATTTGTCGCCTTTGTTTGACGCTGGTCGAACCAAAGAGCACAAATGACAGTGATGAGATTATTAAGAACCTCTCAATATTTAATACGAATGGCCAACAAGCATCGTATAAGAGCAGTATTGATAAAAAGAGCAATGATAATAATTTTCGTGACGATGATCAATTAAATAAGAAGGCAAAGAGAAGCAATGAAATTTCTATAAGTTTGAGCGGTGGAAATACCAGTGTTGTAAATAATGGATTCATTGACGATGATTCAGATGAAGATATTACCGAAAGGATATTGGAGTGCTTGTCCATTAAGGTGAGTCATACACTTTTAATTGTGAAAAACAAAAATAGTCTATATCAGTAACCGAACGACCAAACGATACAACGATACGTGTGTGATGATATTTCGCATAAAAAGGAAATTTGTGGTTTTTACACATTTTACACATACGAGCTTATATCGATTGCTGTATAGCTAGGGGACGATACTTGATTAAGAGGGGGACTTTTATTAAATTTACCTATGATATAATAAATTTTTGCGTCAATTTTGTTGAACATACTTTTGAGGCAAAAGTTTCTGCATCATTATTACTGAACGTACTCATGATGCAAAAATCTTTTGCGTCAATTTAAAAAAAACCTGTGAAATGTAAATTCCGTTGTGTTACCCTGGGTATTAATATATATTCACATGACTACGTATCTATATATAATACATAATAAAAATAGAGAAAAATGTCATTTACGTAAATGCAATAACATAAAGTGATATTGAAATTATTGATCAAGGAATTAATTTAATCGATTTTTTGTTTTCTGATGAAATTATTATAAGTCTCGACAGCACACAAACGAAAAAAAGGAACTTTATTTTTATTGTCCTACACGCACACAACCATCTCAACATTTTTGCGATTATCCATTTATATTATTTCCTTCTTCTTCACATTTTCTACTTCATTTTATTCCTTTCCTTCCTTCGTGAACACGTGAAGGCACCATTATTCCAATTTCAGTTCACTTCTCCAATTATTTTTTGCACCAAGGCAGTTTTGTTCTCTAATGAATGATATCATTTCACATTCACATGCATAGATATAGATAAATTTTAATGTACATAAGGCAGAGAATTGTGTTTACATTACAATTTTATTGAATCTACTGCTGCACATACATCTACATATAAACGGCGCCCTTCATCGTCTTCATTCCATACTTCACTTTCATCCCCCATTTTTCATTCATCGAAAACTTCGCCGAATACTCCCCGAAGAAGGAAAAACAAAAAAAGTGGCAGTGGATAGAGATTTATGTTGTGCATACGTACACACATTTTTTTGCAAATGAATCCCTCTGTTTTGTTACGGCTCTCTTGTCGTACTTGGAATAGTCAGTGCCGACATCAAATGTCCTGTATAGAGTGTATTTATTCATTGCAAACACACAAAAGCATTTCTCTTTTATTTTATACAACTTTTATTTTTTTGAGACAGGAAACCTTTTTCGTTTTATGTGTGTATATATAAAATTTATACTTATACATATTTTGAACTAAAATTGCTTTTTGATAATACCATTGGAAGTGGTGTATGGTGAAAAACGAGTGCAAGATATTTCATTGATTTTTGCAAGCCGAAAAAAATAAAAAATAAATTTCCCTGCTTAACCTTTTGAATACGTAGAAGGCCATTTATGCTGAATTGCTAATAAATTATGATGAAATTTAATAAAATCAGTTTTTTCTTTACTACATAAGCATAGGTGGACGTGGTATTTATTGATAGAATTAAGATATAGAATCTTTTTAAAGTGTGGGGATTTTTATGATATCCCAAAAGTTTATTGAAATTAATATTTTGGCAAGAGGAGTTTGAGAATGGACAGAACTGGTTATTAATTGATTTTATACTCCAATTTACATTTATTCATAGTTTATGTTAACTTATTCACTAGACGCAAGCAAAAAGCAAAAAAGTTTGCATCTTTTTTTACTAAACACACATTTCATGCAAAAAAGTTTACATCTATTTTCTAAACATCCTTTTGATGCAAAAATCTCTGCATCTCTTTTTTTTAAAATCTTAATCAACCGTTACCAATAAAAGTACACATTCAAGATCATTTAATTGATTTTCCTTATTAATCTCCGCTAGAAACACGACCTACTTAAAATTCTAATGCACAAAATACAGCAGAAAGTATTTTTTCATCATCTTATAAAATATATATACAAACTGGCTATCATGCAGGCACTTGAAAACCATTTACACACACAATCATTTAAATGATACTAAATTAGATTTCTCAATTGATTACATTATCGTTGAAAAATCTATACGAAAATAAGTTATTTTAGAGCGCGAGTGAATATGATACAAAGTAGTTAAATACATCGTTTTCCGTTTCTCATATATTCATGTGAGAATAACAGATAGATGTATTTTAAATCGGATGAAAATATCATTAAAAAAAATTTTAGTTTTCCTCTCTTTTTCTATTCAAAAACTTTCCTTCTTCTTCATTAGTCATCATCATACATAGTTTATATATATTTTGAGAAAACACGCGAGAGCAAAACAACTGCGGCAGGGCTGAGTGAGTGAGTGAGGGTGGTCAGGGAAATTTTTGTTTATTTCACATATTTCTCGCTTTACGCAATCTCAATATATCTCAATGTGTGATAAATAAACTCGAATGTTCATGTATATGCCTTTCCTAAGAATTTTCTACACACATTGCGTGTCGCAATAGAAACGATTGTGAGCGTTAACACACCGCGTGAACAACCTAGTGCGTTTTATGATTCTTTCTTTTTCTTGTTGGCCTCTCTTCAAAATATCACTTTACTGTTTTGTTTATCGGTCGATCGTCACACAGATTTTTGTGATATTGGGAAAGAGGATCGTAAATGAGATTCTGATGAATTGCGTCACTTTTTTCCTTTGCATCACTTTTTTGCAATATTTGCATCTCTTTGCATCAACCTTCAAATTCTGCATCATTTTTTGCATTTCTGCATCATTTTTTGCATTTCTGCAACTTTTTTTGCATCTCTTAAATTTAATTCATACAAAATTTTCACAAGGAAACTCGAGAAGAAAAACAAAAATTTCCTATTGTCGATTTCAAAACCGTCTACTATCTCTGTTTTAGATATTGTAGCTTTAAAAAAAAGATGAAATCAAAGATTAAAAGTTCATGCATGTATGTTTATAGTGATGCGCGATAATAAGCGATTAAAAATAGGTCCACATGATTGAAAATTGATGTGCTGATGATTCGACCGTAAGTGACAATAAATAACGTTGTGAAATCGGAGCATCTTTAAAAGATTATTTTTTTTTTGAGAAGATTTTTCTCTCACTTCACTAATGCAGATGATAAAAAAAGTGATAAAAATAAATTATTTATATCTTTTCGAGAACGGGTGGATCTGTTCCGATTAATGATCGTCACTTTGCAACAAGCAAGATTGTAATTAATTATTAACAATCTCTGACCGCCTTTATTTTTGCTATTTACAAAGATATATAATAATGTACAAAGTGACGGATTAAGGGAAGCTTCAATAATATGAAGATCAATTGCCCTTTATAAAAAAACCCTGATCCACTACTGGCTGTACACAATCAAAGCATTTATCAGCTGTCATCAACGTGCACTTCTATTGCCAAGAAGATAAAAGCAAGCCAAAAAATACAATTTTTCAAGCTTTACGCAAATGAATGAAATTTTCTACCTCTTTCTACAGAAACATTTTATTGTTGCAAAATGGAAACCTTAACAGATACTAAAAATTTGATAACAAAAGACTCTTTCCATTTCACATACGTTTCTCCTTCCTTTCATTGAAATTTTAAAGAAAAAAAAACAGCAACCTCATCAATCTGCAAAATTCGAGATCAAAAACAAGATGCATAAAAATTCCATCTTTAAGCAAACAAGGAGCAGCAGAAAATCTGTAGCAGAAAGAATAACATTGTGCAGGTAGAAAATATCAATTCTCTCCTGATGATGATGATGATCACACAAATGAATTCTCTCTTACTTATTTTGGCTTATAAGAACAGACCTATATATGTACTCGTGTGGGTACCACAAAAAATTCTCAATATGGATTTTCCAAAGCATCACACAATGAACAGAGTAAAAAAAATCGCTTTTGTCATTATTTTGCTGGTTCTTATTTCTCTCTTCCCCATTCACTATATGTATATCTCTTTATATCTATACATAAGGTGCTGTTAAGAAACTTCTTTTGAAAGAGAAACGGAAAGGAAAAAAGATATAAAAAAGAACAAAGAGAGTGAGATGGAAGTATTCTATTCAAAAGATTGATAATACTTCTAAGAATTACTTTTCGTAGTATTTGAGATGCTCAAAAAATGGAATAAGAAGCATTAGTGATGAAGTAGAATGAAATAAATCATGCGTCGTTTTATTTAATATTTTATTTTATTTTTTTGTTGTTGAGAATGACATACTATCCCGAATAAATCATGTGTCTTGTATATACTTTTCTGGTAAACTTCAATGCTCAATGTTCTGTACTATTTTAATTTAGAATCATTTTTTTAAAATTTTTTTTTGAATCAAGCCAATGTTAAAGGTATAAATGAGGGGGGATATTGTGGCATTTTGTTTTAATGTTATGGTATTGTCTTGTAGTCTAGAATGTAGAACCTATTAAATATTCATTTTCTTGGAAGTACGTATAAACGCGATTTTGCCGTTTTGGCTAAGTTTTGATAACTTAAAAGAGCTTAATGCGATTTTTGCCACTTTTTTCTGACACAATATCAAAAATAATAGTTTATATCATCTCAAAAATAAGAAATAAATCAAAATTAAAATTTGAGGTGAGAAGTCATGTCCATGGAAAAATTAAAATACATAAATAAAACAAATTGAATCAGGATTACAAATTTACTCGGTTTAAATTCAAAAATTCCGTTAAATCTTTAATAGCATGCTTAGCGAACCATCAAATAGTCAATTAACTTAGCATTGCTTTGAAGTAGCAAAGCGCCTAGACCATACAATTTTAATGACTCATTTACTCATTTCAATTTCATTTCTACTTGAAAACTTGACCACAGAAACGATTTTTTATATTATTATCATACAGTATAGAAACTAATGAACAAATGATATAATACCAAAAAAAATTACAAAGCATTTTCAGCTGATTGTAAATGAGCGGTGACGCAAAAATATAAAATATAATCGACATGTAAAGACAGAGAAGCAAAAAAAAAATAAAGTGTGATTGAGGGAAAGGGATCGGCTGGAAGAGTGCTTGATAGACAC